GATGTCAACCAAGAAGCTTGGAAACCCCATCATGCAACTTCGCCTGGTGTGCAACTCCCCGCACAACTTCTTCGATCCTTGGGGCTACGAGGGTAGTCCTCCCATTGACGAGAGCATTGTCACATCATCTGGCAAGATGTTGATGCTTGATCGTCTGCTTCCTGTCTTGTTCAGCAAGGGCCACAAGGTCTTGATCTTTTCCCAGTTCAAGACTCAACTTGATATTCTACAAGACTACTGCGAGCTTCGGAAATGGAAGGCTTGCCGATTGGACGGATCCGTCTCTCAAGAAAGTCGCCGCGATCAAATCAAGGAGTTTAACGAGAACCCCGAGTTCAAGATCTTCCTGCTTTCCACGCGCGCCGGTGGTCAAGGCATCAACCTTGCGAGTGCCGACACTGTGATTCTGTTTGACAGTGACTGGAACCCGCAGCAGGATCTCCAGGCGCAGGACCGCTGCCACCGGATCGGCCAGACTCGCCCCGTCATTGTCTACCGTCTCGCCACCAAGGGCACTGTTGAGGAGGAGCTTCTCATGAGCGCTGACGCCAAGCGTCGTCTCGAAAAGCTGATCATCAAGAAGGGATCCTTTAAAACAATGGGCCAGAAGATGGACCTGAAGGAAGACCTCGACGGCGAGACTCTCAAGTCTCTGCTGCTGAAGGATGGTCAGATCTTCAAGTACTCCGGTGATCACGAGGTTCTTAGTGATAAGGATCTCGAAGTTCTATGCAACAGGTAAGCTTATCAGTGGCCTTCATCGAGAAATTAACAGTCCTAACATTTCCTGCAGAAGCGACGAGGCGTACTCCAAGGCAGCCGAGGGTACCGCAAACGCCGACGGCTACAAGGTCATCGAGACTAGTTCCGACGGCATCACCATTGCTGGACAGTCGGCCGCTTAATGGGCTGCAGCCTACTCTGTTTGTCCTCTTTCGATGTTATCCTGGCGAGAGAGAGACTTGCTCGGCAGAGCGTGTACACTGCTGCTATAGATCCCACACCTATGTCGATCGAACCCAAAATCACAGGGAACAGCACAATCCCGTGAGCGACTATATACCAGAAGCATCAGCAGATGAAGCTGAATGATGTTGTGGAAAGGTGTGGATACTTGCCGAAGGCTAAACATAGGCCACGGATCAAATTACTTTGCTAGAATATAGGGCACCCCTCACATATCATGTATTCTGGATTGGATTTGTCCATTCTCTAGATGACGACCGGTTCCCACTCTTGTACTATGTACCTTTAGCGTTTGATACCCAGGATTGATCAGACGATTTGCTTAAGATAGCTTGAAATAACACCAGTATTTGTTCATTCTTCTTGGTCTATGACCCCGCGAAGTGTGTCCACGGCAGAAGCTAATGATGAAATGAGAGGCGCGAAAAAGGAGAAAGTTGCACAAAGCGAGCCCAGCGGCGGGCATCCTCACACTCTCACAAGTTCATATCCTCCCAAACACTCTGCTTCACCACGAGACCCTCAATCCAGCGGCCCACTTCGAATATGAAGTCTCCGACATACAACAAGACCTCCGCAGTGAGATGGACGACGTAACCTTGCAAACACGGACGGAACGTGTCGACAATCATGGTATAGAGCATACAGGCTAAACTAGTACACGCGAAGCCGGCGACCAGCTGGAGGAAGAACCACTCAGTGAAGAGCAATTTGCTGTCGATGGTAGCCCCAGTCTCACCAGGGAGCTCTTCGAGCCAGATGTATAGAGCCAGGAGGAACTTCTGGGTTGATTCACAGGGGCGTTGGGGGATGTAATGCGAGGCCATCCATACGAGCCAAGACATCCTGGCGACAATCCACCGAAGGATGCGGAAGACAAGGTGAACGACAAGACGAACAACCAAGCTCAGCAGCAGCGGCGCATGCAGCATCCCAACGACGAAGCCATAGAGATGGGCGAGGTTATCGAGGTACCTGTTGTCAGCGAAGAGGACCCAGCATACAATGATGGGGCCGAAGAGGTTGGGGAAGAGGAAGAGGCTGTGGAGGTAGCCCTCGACGAGCCAGCGGTTGAGGATACCTATCTGCGAGAAGACTTGTTCGTTCCTCTTGATGTTTTGGACATTGATCTTGAGGGGCGTCATTACGATGGCGGCGTTGAGGGTGAGGGAGAGGTGGATTGAGGCTGCGGCGAAGACGTGGTATGCGATGGAGAGGTCTGCGCGGTAGAAGACCTTTTCGAGGGGTGTGATGGAGAGGCTGAAGATTGCGGTGAGGAGGGTTGGAGGCCACAATGTGCGGGCGGCTAGAGAGAAAGGGCTTGTTGAGGCCGTCATGATTGTAATACCCGACGTCTCGGTAAGAGATGATGGGCTGAAGTCTTGGTGAAAAATGATGGGTTGAGTGGACGTACCGGGTGACTTTGATCGTAATAGAGACTCTTCTATTTGTGTCCGGACGGGATGAGGTCGACAGGAAGAGTAAGCTACAGGGATGTGTGCTCCTTGAATTGCAGATCGACCCGTGCTTATGAAGTGTCACTTAACAAAGCATCTGGCCAGTAGAGCTATTCTTGAGTCGCTTTGGTGTTCAAGGATGGTTTCAGCACGATCTGGACAAAGCATTACGATCTTGGTCTTCCGAGGTGGCCCCAATCATAGGGCTATCCTCGATCAAGGGATGATTGTTAACTTACAATGGCCAAAGGAAGGAACCAGACTTGGGCAACGTGTAAACAAAGCCTCGTTCGTAGAATTTCTGTCGGAAGATACCCAGTAAAGGCATCCCACCAGCACAAGTTACGAGGAAGTTGGCCGAGGAAGATGTCACCGGAGTTATGAGAAGGGAGCGGCCGAAGCGGCCGCATCATCCGCATGCCCGGATATAAGTATTGATCGCGGGCCAGCACCACCAAACCTGCCTCTTCGAGGTCTACTTGGGCCGCTGATTCGTTGACTAGTCTCATTCCGTTCGAGTCGAATTCGATGCCGAGGCAGTTTAGAGCTTTCACTTGACTAAGTACAAGTCACCGCCTTTGAGACAGGGTCCTTGTGCATGCCGTGTGCGATCGAAGTCTATGCATGATGCCGGCAACGAGATCAAGTTCACGGAGTTTAGCGCTCGATCTCAGGGATCGTGCAGCTACGGGTCTGGCGATCATGGCCTCGACGACATGGATCAGAAGTCAAAAGAGGGCAATTCTTACGAGAGAGCCATAGACTATATAAGCGCTCCTCACTCTCGATGATGAAAAGGTCTTGTTCTGAAGTAAAGTCGACCTTCTCATCAAATCTAGTACCAAATAATCTTGACTGCCTTACCGGCCAAACAACAACACCGAGAATCTCAAAATGGCACCTCCAGCAAGCCTCCCCGCCCGCCGCCTTGGCACGACCGGCCCTGAGATCACCGCCCTCGGCGTAGGACTGATGGGCCTCAGCGTGGCCTACGGCAAACCTGGGTTCGTGGCCTTGCATCAGCCAGTAGCCAGAGAGGCATCTCGAACTAAGTCCATCTCTTCCACAGACCGGACGAAGAGCGTCTTGCGTTCCTGGATCGCGCCTGGGAGCTCGGCGCCACGAACTGGGACACGGCCGACGCCTACGGCGACAACGAGGACCTCATTGGCAAGTGGTTCGCGCTGCACCCCGAGCGCCGCGCCGACATCTTCCTGGCGACCAAGTTCGGTTTGCGCGGGGAGATCAGGAACGACGGAACGTTCAACATCAGGATCGATAGCTCGCCCAAGTTCTGCCGCGAGGCGTGCGAGCGCAGCTTGAAGAGACTGGGCATCGAGAGTATTGACTTGTACTACATTCACCGCTTGGACGAGACCACGCCCATTGAGAAGACGATTGAGGAGATGGTTAAGTTGAAGAAGTGAGCCTGAACCTAGGCCGATACTGGGCGCCATATCCCTGAATGATGCCCTGAACCTTTTGAGTAGCTCAAGCTAGCTGACAACGTACGTGAAGTGAGGGCAAGGTCAAGGCCTTTGGCATCTCCGAGTGCTCCTCAACTACCCTCCGCCGCGCCTACGCCATCCACCCCATCTCAGCCGTGCAGGTAGAATACAACCCTTGGTCCCTCGAAATCGAAGGCCCCGCCGGCACAAACCTCCTCAAGACGTGCCGCGAACTCGGTGTCACGACCTTTGCCTACTCGCCCCTGGGCCGTGGCATCATGACGGGCCGTTACAAGTCGGTGGACGACTTTGAGGAAGGCGACTTCCGCCGCCAGAGGCCGCGGTTCATGGGTGACAACTTCAAGAAGAACACGCAGCTCGTGGAGGAGTTCGCCGCCGTCGGGCGCGCGAAGCACGACTGCTCTGCGGGGCAACTTACGCTTGCTTGGCTGCTTGTGCAGGGGGAGGATGTGGTGCCGATTCCGGGGACGAAGAAGATTCAGTATTTGGAGGAGAATTTGGGGTCGTTGAAGGTTGTGTTGGGCAAGGAGGAGGAGAGTGAGTTGAGGGCTTTGGTCGCTGCTGCGGATGTGCAGGGTGATCGGGGTGCAGCGTTTGGCAACTATTCTGATTCGCCTGCTCTCTGAAGAATGAGGATGCCACGATGCCTTCAATGAGTGTGATGCCGCAAGTGGAGGGCGCGCATGGGGGGGGGGGGGGTTGTCCCGGGAGTCGGCGTGGGTCACCGGCCCCAGCTTCCGAGGCCCCGAAATCTGGGGAAGAAGATGAAGGTCACTGATCAAAAGTGAAATGAAGCACCCTCTTTTGCAGCCACACAAAGCTAGTTTAACTATATAGGATATGGAGGAATGGTCATATTGACACTCGCTCATACCGTGAATGCAACTCATGTGCGAAGACAGATCTTGTGAGTTCCCCTCGGGGAAGAAGGCCGATGCCGGCTTGCGTTCGGAGATCGGAGTGGGTCACCGACACGCCGGTTGATAAGTGACTTGGCCGAACTACCTTATGCGCGCTTGGGCCCATCAATCAGTTGATGTCGATATTCGTCTTATCAGCCTGGGAATGCAACTTCGACAGATTGTTGCTCCATGAGATTGCTACTAAATCTCACCAAACGACCTCTTGATATCGCACTTGGGGTGAAACCTAACTCTCCCGCAATCCTCTTGAAACAATCCACAACTTCGTAACACCAACGAACCATGGCTACTATCTATAAGACGGGTGAGGATGCTCGACTTGCGTGCCGCTCCGGTACCTTCGCCTCAACTACAGCCGGTCAAGCCCCAACATATCTCCAAGCGAACCTCATTGTTCTTCCACGACGCTACGCCGATGACTTCCGTCTCCTCTGCCACCGCAACCCAGTACCATGCCCCCTCCTCGCAGAGTCGTCAAGTCCAGGGGACTTCAAGAAGCTCAAGTCCTACGTTAGATCGCCTGACGGTGACAAGATTCTACCGGTAGCCACAAACATCGATCTGCGCCACGACTCACCACGATACCGTGTCTATGAGGATAGCAAGCACGTCCCAGTCAACGGCGTATGGGAACCCGTAGACGTGGAAGACAAGTGGCTTGACGGTGACCACGTAGGCTTCTTGATCGGATGCTCCTTCAGCTTCGAGAGGGCTCTCAATGAGTCTGGACTCACGCCACGACACATGACGCATGACCGCAACGTGCCCATGTATCGTACCAACATCCCACTCTGCGCGGCTGGTGTCTTCAAGGCGGCGACATATGTAGTTTCTATGAGGCCGTATAAGGTGTCGGAGATTGAGAAAGTGAGAGATATCACCAGGCCTTTTGTGGCGACACACGGGGAGCCGATCGCGTGGGGATGGGATGGGGCCGAGAGGATCGGGGTAGCGGATATCACGAAGCCTCACTGGGGCGATCCAGCGCTGCAGATGGACGGGAAAACTGTGTTCGGGCATGACGATCCGGAGTATGTGCCCGTCTTCTGGGGGTGCGGGGTCACGCCACAAGAGGCTGTGATGAGAGCCGATATCAAGGGCACAGTCATGGGACACGCACCTGGGCATATGGTCATCATGGATGTAAGAGAAGATGAAATCTTTCCCGTCTCATAGGTATGAAGATGTATTAGCATAGGATCATGAGTCTTCTAGAAAACCCTTCATGTTGATACTCGAATCACATTTTTCCTCTGAATGAATTGGTGTCGAAGACATGATCGAAAACCTACAATATCTACTCCAAGTCGCGAGGCCGGGTTGTGTAGTCAACTTGGCGAATTGACTTGGCCGAGAACCGCCAATCACATCTCATGACGCGTCAGGGACTCACAGGCAACCAGGTCAATTGAGTTGAAATCACCAGAGGCATCCAGATAACCACTACATCTGAGCGAATATCTGTTTTTCTCATTGTCGTATGATGAAAGACCTTTGATTTCGCCTATCTTTTGCTTAGCAACAATGCGGCCCAAGTCCAGACAAATGCATGAAAGACACAGGCTCCAAAGAACCTTGTAAGCCAGACAAGACAGGTCACCTGTGTCAAAGACTCGAAAACATGAGAACTGAAAGGAAGAAAGTAATTGCACAATGGGCGACAAGACTGACTGAGAACTTGAACTTTGGTATATATATGACTTCGATATTCTAGAAAACATGCTGTATATTCGACTCACAAGAACCCATCACCAGCATATTCCATCCACCTAAACCAAACAACTCACCCAGACCTCACTGCATCTCCAACCAAGTTTCCAATCAGATTTCCAACGCCAATTTTAACCTCCAATCGATTTCAACAGAATCATCCTCCCCTTTCGCGTACGATCTCCATCCATCACTTACGCTCCGGCGCTGACGTACATTAGCACCCAATAAGATGCCCCCCAAGAAAGACAACGGCACGGCCCCTCCGAAATCCTGGATCCCTCCCTCAGGATATACTCGTCGACAGACTCGGAATCAACAACAGCAGCCCAACCTCTGGCAAGGACTCACCGATAGAGGAGAGGCATACGACACCCAGGGCAACCATGTTTTAGTGCGCCCGGTGCGCCAGCGTCGAAGGGGACAGCAGACGGCGGCACCCCCTCCTGCACCGCCTCAAGCTCCAGCACCACCTGCTCCGCCGCCGCCCACTGCTCCTGTCCTGCCACCGATGCCTTCTCCCCGTAATGCTGACTCTGGAGATGAATCTGATGACGATCCCGGTGGTGAGCCTGGGACTAAACCTGATGATGGATCTAATGATGAACCCAACAAAACAGCTGAGCCTGAAACTGACGGTGGAGCTGGAGATGAACCTAACAACGAATCTGGCGAAGAACCTGAGGCTGGGTCAGGTGATGAATCTGAAGAAGAATCTCGGGCTGGATCTGGGGATGAATCTGGTAACGAATCTGGGGATGAAGCTGAGACCGAATCAGGTAACGGGCCTGGCGATGGAACTAGCATTGGATCTGGCGACGAATCTGAGGCTGAATCAGGCGATGAATCTGCCGAGGAACCTGAGGCTGAATCAGATAATGAATCTGGTGATGATACTGCGGGTCCTTCATCGGCTCTCACGCCACCAAAACGCCCTACAAGAACGCCCCTTCCGACTGAAAGGCCAACAAAAATCAAGATCAAGCTAAAAACAACAAAAACACGAACAGCAACAGCTGCAGAGAGCCTAGACGGTACGGATAGCAATGATTCGGACTCTCCCGTCGGCCCATCTGCAGGCGAATCCGACAGCGATTCACCCGGCGACGGCAGTGATGGAGAAAGCTCGAAGAAGAAGAAGACGAACAAGGGAAAGCAGAACGCAACACAAAACAATGCAGAGACCGACTCCGATCCCGAAGCGCCTGAAGAAAGCTCCGAGCCTGAAGAACCCGAAGATGACGCCAGTCGTGACGACAATGAGGAGCAGACCGACAACTCTCAAAGAAGCGAAGGCAGTGACCTAGAAGGTCCACAGGATAGCGACCAAGGTACACCCGATGAAGCCACGCCGTCGAGGAGATCAGCTCCCGGGTCGGTCGGAGGAGACTCTGAGCAAATGTTCACCCCTTCAAAGACACCTCAAGAAAGAAAGGGGTCGAAGAACGAGGATCCCATTCAAATGGGCAGCGACGAGTCGGAGAGTAGCGAAGTTTTCCGTGATCCACGGAGCGAAGAGTCTCAAGGAGAAGATGAACCGCATCAACGTACTATCGTCCACTATGGCAGCGACGATGAAACGGAGATGTTAGTTCATGAGAGGCCTGACCCAGACCACACCTTCGACAATGGAGAAAATACTCTCAACTTGGAGGACTATCTAAGCTCGGTTGGCGGAGATCCAGACTGGAGGGGAGAGTATGATGGAAGCGAGGATGACGGTGACAACCGGTATGACCAGAGTAGCAACGTCGGAGGTGACTATGAGGGCAATCAGGATGACGACGATGATTCTGAGATGCACCTTCCCGACTACACGATGTTCGAACCCGACGAAACCGAGGGTCAACCCGAAATGGGCCGCGGACAAGGCAGCGAGTCGAATCTTCCGAGGCAGTCCTCGCCGAGCAGTGTCTCGCCAAGCTTCCCTCGGAGCAATCGTTCGCCCAGCCACTCTCCGGACCCATTTGCCGGGGGGCAGCAGCAGCCGTCAAGTTCGAGTGGCGGGCAAGGTTCTATAGCTCAGGGAAGTAAGAACGGACAGTCAAGTGGTAGCAAAACGGGCTCGGCAACAGGAAGCGGAAACGGCCTCGTGGCAATGAAGGCGAAGAATGTTGCGGGGAAGAGAGGAAGGTCTGAAGAACACACCAAAGACGACGAAGCCAGGCCACAGAAGCGACAAAGGGAGGACTCGGGCAAGACTGCGGTGCCGACGGCGAGAAACAAATTCCCTCGGACCCAATATCGCCAAATATGTCCTTACCCAAGCCCCCGGGATTTACATTCTCAGACTTCAGACAAGTGGGCAACAGCAAAGAGACCAGGCAGCTCGCTCGAAGAAGCAGTAGTGAAGCCTGCGAAAAAGACAAAACTGTTATAAGGAGAATGTGAAGGATATTTAGAAAAGTAACGGGATGTTTAAACGATGTGGTCCTAGAGTCGTAGATTTTGTTCGAATTGACATTGCCTTACTGAGGCATTACATGACTAGCAAGAATATGAACCATGTGTGCGTATCTTACCACATGGTGATTTCTCCTCTATCAAGAGTGTTTGCCATGCTTGTGGACGGGTGTCCTCTCATGGGTTGATGACAGGATCAGAAGCGTGATTTTCGTGGCACTGGGACAATAAGCATAGTTGAAACCGACATGACTCCTCCCCATACCCACTTCGTACGAGGGTCGTGGTAGACGCAATCCGCGCAGGAGCGCAACTTCTTCTTTGTTGTATTGGCGTTGGAAACGCTGGGTATCATAGCATATCTTCGTCTTCGTCGTAATCGCCGTCCCCACTGCCTCGTTCCTCCTCTTCCTCACGCCTACTGGCTTCCGCACTGGCGCCAATCTTCCGTACGCCCTCTATGACGCCCAGGAAGAGGCCGCGGCTCTCAGCCAGCTCCATCGCTCCAACTCCACGCAGACTCATGACACCGCCTACACCATCGGACAGGTCCTGCGTACTCTTGCGCATCTTGGCAGATCGTACCTCCTGAAGATCCTTGAGGAGAGACCTCACCTCGGAAGTGGAGGGTATATCGTCGGATGCGTGTGCCAGCAGGACCTCGGCGAGCTCGAACCAGTGGTAGGGGAGCGCATTCGGGGGCGCGTCGGCGGTACATGAGGGCAGGAAGGGCGGTGACAGGGTTTCGTCGAGGGTCGCGCCTACTCGACGGGCATTGCCTCTTGCGTCGCCGCGCGCAGGAGGTGGCGGGGGAGCAGAGAAGGCGTCGGGGTTGAGTGTCGTTTCTTGGTGTACGATCTTGGCGAGGGAGGTTGGATGGAGCCACTGGGGTGGAACAATGTTTGCTCGTCGTTGCTTCTTGAGGAGAAGTGCCAGCCAAAGAGGTAAGTTGGCACGTGCCGGGGGTCGCAAGGCTGGAGTTGCACCCTGGGAAAAGCATCGAGAATTAGCAGAAGGATCTATCCGCGACGCGTCGCGTGGTAAGTGGAAGGGGGCTGCTCTGTCCTTACGCTTAGAAGATCGATGCTTTCCAGCCGCTGGCGGGGAACGATTGTGACGAGCTCCATCTCGCAAAGAAAAGCCACTTCGGTGGGTACGAGACCCGAGGGGAGAGGCAAGGCCATTGTTGGGTTTCGCAAACAACACCTGTCGCTGCAGCAAGCCCCCGTCGAAGTTTGAAGCTGCAAATCGCCCTCCTCAAAAGACGCGTCCAGTTTGGTGGTGCGTCGGCGCCGCGGGGTTGCGCACGGAAGCAGCCGGCCCGCTTCGGTTGGAGGGGCTTAGAGCTCGGGCTTTTTGACGACAGGGGCCAGGTGCTGATAGCAAAAGGGTACGTACCGTCTGGATCGGGGAACCGGGCAGAGCTCCACCCTGCGCTAGGTCTGTGGCCCCACCTATCCCCGGGGGAGACCCACTTTCAGCCCGGGTCCTCCGAGCCGTCTACCAGGGTCGTGGAGGAGCCCAGCTGTCCAGGCCCCCAGGGCAGGCGCGATGGAATTGAGATAAGGTAATGCGCCCTACGTAAGGCTGGGCGATAAGTGAAAGGGCCTGGATGCATAAGAGCTGAGGTTGTTCCTTGCCTTGACCAGCTGAAAGTTCCGGGCTGGCCAATTCTAGGCGCGTCCGGACCGCCGCGGTATAATATCTGGAGAGGTGGTACTGCAATGTTGGATGAATCTGGACTCTCCACATATGCTCGTTATTTTTACTTTTTGTGCTACCAAATATCCATGACCGCGCCAAGCTAGAAATGGGCGGATACCTTACGAATACAAGGTAAACAACAAAATTCTCGTTCTCGCCAATCGGCGCTCGATCCGCTCTATCACGCCAATAGCGCGTGAAAGAAGAGATACCCATTCGAACAAGTGCGACAGGTCACAGGTATTGACGTCCTTGGTCTCTCTCTCTCTCTCTCTCTCTCTCACCTGAGACATCACCTTAGCTAATCGGCCCTGAGAGATCTGTGTCACCTCATCTACTAGGGAAAGGGGACTTCTGCTCCTTAACGGCTGCAACCCTACAGCTGCAGATCTCTCCTCACTCTTCTTTTCTTTCTCCGCGTCGCCTAACCTAACCACTCGACCCAATGGCCCTCGAACTTTGAAGTTCTAAATTACTGTCTCGAGCGGGTTGGGCCGGCCCTGTCGTCCCATCTAGAGTTCATTATTGCATTGCCGTTCCGTCACCTGGAGGCTCCATCGACCATCCGGAGGATTATGTCAGTGAACTGTCCAATCGTTCACAGCAACGATCTAGATTCCTATTCCGTGGCGGCTGCCGCAAGACCGCAGCCGCCCACGCCCTAACCTTTACCCTCCGTGGTACTCGGGACCGGGCTCCGAGACCAACAGATAGGCCCATTCGGATTTCCACGATTAAACTGATTTTATCTGGGTGTCATGATGACGAGTCACTGCATATTCTCCGACTCGCTGCTCAAAGGCCGCTAAGAAAGCACGTTGATTCATACAGCAAGAGTCAATAGCGCAATACGAAGGAAGAGGAAGAAGGAAGAGAGACACACAAGCCCAAAATTGCAAGGGTATTGCAGTGAGCGTCCGTCGCGGCACCGCCCAACCGCTCTAGCCCTTCCTCCGAGTACAGACCTACGGGAGTACCCCACTGTCATCCTCGACCCTCGTTAAGATTCCAAAACCCCTCGTAGCGGGATTGGGCCGCCCAGATCCGCCTGTTCGGCCGCAGGCGCCTTCTTTGGAACTTCAGCTGCAGCAGTAAAGGCGGTGGCCCTGACGTGGTCTTCTCCTCTTGGACCTTCCATCTTCTCCCACACCGAAGTGGAGTTTTTTGGTTCTATCCTCATCATCGCCAGACGTTTAACATCGATCATCACACGTGGCAACCGACCCTCGTCTTGATCAGCGCTCGGAGCCGGGACAGTGACACGGACGAATCCATCACCACTCTTCCCGCTTGGAGGGGCCCTGCCCGTTCTCGTTCTCGAGTCCAGCCCACGCTCGGATATGTGGGCAATTTTGAAGCAATTATCAAGCACTCTTGTTGGTGCCTTACGATTCCTGACTGCTTTATCGTTTAGCTGAGGCCTACTGTCGTTCGGGAAATCCGGACCGGCGCCAGACGAGCCTTCTAGGGCTTCGGCGCCGCATCCCTTCCCGAAAGAGACTGCTTGTCCGCCCAATTTTCCCCACCGACGCCCAAGAGAGCCTCATCGTCAAACTTTTGTCAGCACGCTTGTGGTTTATCCGAGCAGATAGTCTGCCTGTTCAAGTTTTAGGGATTTTTTCAACTACAACCATGTCGTCCAATTTGTTGAACTTCAACAAACCATGCAACGGATGTCGACGTCGAAAGGTCCGCTGCGATAAGGCCAAGCCATGCCTCAACTGTGTTCGTCATGGCATTTCTTGTGTCTACGATCCCCAGAGGGAGCCCGGCATCCCCAGCCCCGAAAGTCAACAGCAGCTGCAGGAGAGAGTCGACCGACTGGAAAGGGTGATCGAGGAGATGAAGGGCATGTCTGTTCGAGGAGAATCACTTAAGGCGACTAGCAGCTCGTTTCCGTCTGCGAGTCCAGCAACAAGCCACTTTGGCGAGTTTTACCACGAACGAGATGAGTCCCTGGCTGGAGATCCTGGAATGCAGGTTTACGACGAGAACGTTTCCTATTATCTTGGACCCGACTACTGGCTCAACCTCCAAGACGTTGTCTACGAGCCGAGATGCCTATTCCGTATCGACTCGGATAAGACGGGCAAGAATCCCGCAAGTCCGTCTTCCTGGCCTATTGGTCGAACACCCGTTCTGACCGATCTTTCTCATCTACACCTTGAACCCGAGAAGGAAGATATCTTGACCGACCTTTTCCTTGCGCATGTTGAGCCCTACGTTCGAATAGTCCACGAGTCCTACTGGCGGCAGCAAATCACAGATTTCCGAGTGGGCGTCCACAAAATCCCGATAGACGTGGAGGCAGGCATGTTTGCAACCCAAGCCATGACCGTTGCGGCATTGCCGGCAAACCTTATCCAAGAGAGGTTAGGCAAACCGAAAAAGGATCTCCTTCGACACCTGCAGGAAGCTACCCAACTAGCCCTCGAGAGAGCAGACATTTTGCGGAGTAGGAAGGTTTTGGCTTTCTTTGCTCTGCTCTATCATATTGTTCGTTTCGCCACTTTGCCTTACCATCCACTCACAACTCTGAAGATAGTCTTTGCTAATTTTTCTAGCAAGCGAAATTCATCACGGGTGATGGAGAAATCGCAGTTTCTCTCCTCGGATTAGCTGGCCGATTTGGAACAAGACTTGGACTGCACCGAGATCCGAGTCACTATAGCTATTCGCCCTGGATAGCAAATATGAGACGCCGGGTCTGGACTCACTTCGAAATCATGGACAACCCGGTGTACAATTTGGAGGGCGCAGACTCTGGCCTGCCATCAATATCCGACGTCCAGCCCGCAAAGAATGCAAACGACAGTCAGTGGATGCCAAATCGATTTGCAAAACCAGGCTCTGCCCCTCCAGATCAAGATGGAATCACGGACATGTCTTTTGTCTTGATACGGCAGCATCTGTTCAAGACGATGCAATCAATAACGCGAAGGAGGAACGACACGAGCCCGGAAGAGCTGAATAGGATAATTGACCAGACTGAGAACTTTATCAAGGCTAAGTTTATATCCCACGTTGACGGCAGCTCTGCAAGCCATGCGATAATTGTATCATATTTCAGAACAAGTATGAGGAGCATGCGACTTCTAGTTGAAACCGTTGTGGCTCGACATACCGGTGCTGGTCAAGATGCTGAATTCCGATCGGGGTAGGTTAGAACGTAAACCCAAGAGGCTTTGACACTTACTCACATTCATAATCGCTAGATTCTATCAAGAGTGTGTGGAAATTCTAGAGGAAGCAGAGCGCGGTGAAGCAGTGGCTCTCCAAAACCATTGTGGCTGGATCTACAGATGGCCGACGACACCCTTCACGATTTCAAATATTCTCATCGGTCTCGCTCAACAACCAAAACATCCGGTTACGGATCGAGCATGGCGGCAAATGAACATTGTGTTCCGGAGACACAACAACGAGGACATTAGCATGCGCAAGTTTGCTGCTTGGAGAGTCATCGAGGCTCTATGCGACCAGGCTATGCTTTACCACAAGCAGAGATCACACGAAGGAGCGTGGTATGCCCAGAGGTTAGACCAAGTCCAGGCCTTAACTACGGCGCAGGGAAAGGCCTCCCTCTCACTGGAGAATGCGACAGTCGACGACATCCTAGGCGACGTGCAAATGTTTGGTCAAGATGCTTCAGTCTTGGGTGGTCACAGCTATTTTGCAGCTCAGCAAGCACTTGAGCCGCTGGGTTATCCTCCTTGGAATCAGTCGCCAACTGAACAATCTCACGGTCAGAGTCAACCGCATCCGCACCAGCATCCTCATCCGCATCAACCACCGTCTGATGATGGCGAAGACATATGAATTGCGGATGACGCAATCCGTGGGAACAATGAAACTTCTAGAACGGCGTAAAACAAGGATGGGACAAAATTCAATCATCTATGAATGATTCAACTCATGGGACTCTACGGATATAGAGAAAGAAAAGATTACTACCCAACACCCTGAAGCCGTTCGATCCTATTCTAAAAGACCAAGACCGTTCGATCCTCGGAAACGGCACGGAAATGTGGATGAGGCCAAGCCATGATTCCAAGAATTCAGAGCTCAATGCTTGCTTGGTCTGTGGGTCCGTGTGCGTCCGAAAGGCCAACCGTCTGGGAACATGAGTTTAGCCAAAGTCTAATTTATGGAGAAAATAACGCTCTTTGGGGTTGGAGAAAATGGAGAGACTCTTCAACTCACATTGACTAGGAGCATGGACGTCAATGTCCAACTCGTCAGCCCAAGTCCATACCAGGTTAGGGTCTTTGAGGAACGCCCGGGCCACGAGGACGGCGTCTGCCTGGCCGTCCGCCAAGACCTCCGTGGCGTCCTCCCCCGTCGCGATACCGCCGACGGACCCTACCAGGGTACCGGTGTCCTCAACGGCTTTCCGGATAGCTTCCGCTATATACGCCTGGTACTTTGGCCCGGGAACCACCTTCATCCTCGCATCTTGCCCGCCGGCGGAGATATCGAGGAAATCTGCCCCCTTGTCTGCGAGGATCTTGGCGAGCTTCTGGGCTTGAGGGATGTCCCACTGGGGGATCGAAGGGTCAAACTCCAGATAGTCGGTGCCGGCGAGACGCACCAGAACCGGATAGTCGTCGGGCACGTTGGCGCGTGTCAGTTCCGTCAGCTCGACGAGCAGGCGGGAACGGTTCTCGAAGCTGCCGCCGTACTGGTCGGTTCTCTTGTTGGACGTGGGTGAGAGGAAGTTGTTGATCAGGTACCCATGGGTGGCATGGATCTCGATGGTCTGCAGAATAATTCAACAGCTGGAAACCAAAAAAGACAGTGATTAACTGGGGCCCCCGGCAGTGAAACTTACGTCGTATCCGACTTTGACAGCACGCTTAACGGCATCAACCCATTTCGCTTTCAGAGTCTCAATGTCTTTCAAGGTCATTTCTTTGGGAACGTAGGTGTCATCACTGTACGCTACGGCAGAGGGTCCGTAAATATCCTTGGGCCATCCCCGACCCTGTGAACATTTTGTGTTAGCTATGTGCTCGTCACTGTCACACGCACAAGTGTGTGTCATACGAAGCCGAAGCTCTTTAAAGCGCGGATACGGGGGTTCATTGCGCCAAGTAGATACCTTTTCGCCTGCCACTGCCTTACGGTCAATCCAAGGTGCAACGGTGCTCGCTTTCCGGCCGGCATGGCCAATCTGGGCACCAATGTGCCCCCCCTGGCTATGGACAAAGTCAATGACCTCCTTAGCGGCGACCAGCTGCGAGTCATCCCAGATCCCCAGGTCCTCGGGCGAGATGCGGCCCTCGGGCACCACAGCCTGGACCTCCGTCAAAACCAGCCCGGCGCCGCGGACCGCATAGCTCTGGAGATGCGTCTTGTGCCAGGCCGTCATGTGCCCATTGTCGGCAGAGTACTGGCACATGGGCGACACGATGATGCGGTTGTGCAGCGTCAGGCCGCGGATCTTGAGCGGCGAGAATAGGGTGCCGTCTGGCTGAGGGTCCCTGGCAGTCCCGGCGGCTGGGTCCTGAATGGGGGTGAAGTACGGAACCTTTCATCCGGGCTAATCAGTATACGTACGGCACTTTGTGAGCTTTGGACAGTGGTCTCGCGGAGGATTGTCCGCGGTGCAGTCACCGTCTCAGTGCTGGCAGCATGGCATCCCACAGAACGAACACCTCTCCCTGCCACCGCTGGGGGTTAGGGGTCTTACATTTTTGGCTCCCTCGTTGATCAAGCCGGGGTCTGAGACTTGCAATGCCCCGGGAACTGGTGCCTGGTCTGCGGCCAGCGGAGCTTCGACCTTTGTCATTTTGTTGAGTGGAGATGATATTATATTCGGCTTTGCGATCGGAGTAGGAATTTACGATTATTGTTTTCTCTGTCCGTGCTTCTTGTGAACGACAAACCTTGACGGGGATCAAAAAGGGGTTGGACTTTATATGGATGACTCTACAACGGCATTGTAACTTCAGTATTGTACATTTCAAAGCATCAAGAATACCAAATGTCGGCGAGAGAGGATGAACTGTTGAGCCGCTCGGTGCTGAGTAATTGCCGTCATAATGCGCGCCAAAGACGTAAGTCGGTGGTTCGCTGAGAAATCGGCTTAATTCATTGCGTTTTGCGCTGCTTGCGACACCGATGTGTACTCTGATAGTTGGCCGAGACCATACCGTTTTCGACTGATAGCTTTGTCCTACGCTGACTGCATAATGCGCACGAATTGTGCAAGCAGTATTACAAGCGCTTGTTAGTCAGGGTACCTTACATAACCAACTTACCAACGACAAAGTTATCCTGCCTCCGTGGGACAGAAATACGGGATGACAGAATACAAATGATGACTTAATCCCCAAGCACAAAGCCCTGATATTCTCGCGCTTTCGCTACCTATTCCGTACCTGTTGGCGAAGCCAGTGCGGGTCGTCTGAGATGTTTTTGCCTCTCTGGCACCAGCCGGTAATTCGAAAATTGTCTCAAAACTGTGAGATACCGTAGTGCCTGCAACTGAGTGGCCGGTTCGTCAGGCCATCGCTGACCAAGGTCTGCATGCCAGAAGGATCCGAACCCCTGCCGACACGCGGTCTAATGTTGCCCACGGTGGTCTCGCCGACTCGCCGACACGGCGGATACCACCCTAGGACACGGCCACAAAGTCTCAAGCGGCGTCAGTTCAGTCGCCGATCGTGGGGTTAGCGGCTCAATGTCGGTTATTCCATGGTGAATTCTTCCATTGCTCTCGTTGATAGGCACTTCATGCCCCTTTCTAGCTGTGGCTGCAGCTGAGCGGCCGAGGTTCGGTCAAATTGGGCTGTAATTTCGAGCGCCATGCATGATTACTGTCCAGGACATCACTAATCACTGATACCAGATAGTCGGTATTTGTACTACAGTGTACGGATAACAGTACACTGACGCCACTAAAGTTCTGTCTCTATTCATTCTCAATTTAGCATGAGAATGGAGGTTTCGAACTTCTCAACTCAGTGAAAAAGTCAAAAGACAAGCACGAACTTTGAGATGATAGGGCCCCGAAAGTAGTCCACAACATGTGTTGTAGACTCTTACGATCTCTCAAGGAACACACACTCTGAGAACGAAGAGTAAGAACACATATCGTGATGGACGAAGCCGCCATTGGGTATTAGACTTACCCTGGGTCCATTTGCGAATCTTACGGTTTTCGCTAAATTGCCAGGCAGAACAGCGGCACATAGGACTCTTGCGCAGTTACAAAGTGCGAATATTGTACACCTGCAGGGAGACAACAGCGGAGGGAGGGCAACATGTGCGCGACCTTTGTTTAACGTCATGCCTCTGAACAGCCCAACATCACTCAAACAGTTCTGATGCTAGACCGAGTTCTGGTAGCGAGTGGTTCTTCGCCCATTCCCTAAATCCTAGTCACAGTCTCTGAACTGTGTTAGTATTCGAATGCTACTGCAGTCACGAGAAGCAAAATGCTCCGATTGATTCAAACTCAAAGTGCCAGCTCGCCTACAGCATGGCTGGGTTGAACCTTTCATTCCCCTTGACACTCGCACTCTAGACTGGAGAACCTAAGCGCTCGTCCCATGTCCGTGATCCATATCGATGCGTCTAGATCAAACTAGATGTTGTTGACTCGTTTACGAATTCTAGGCCTTTGTCTGCCGTTTCATATTGGATCACTGTCAAGATTTGCTGTAAGGAACACCTTCCCTGAGGGTATGCGCATTTTGCTAAGGATCTACGACAACAGTTGACTACCTTATTCGGATGCGCAGAGGTAGACGTAGCACCCTCGCTCACCGACTGCAACATCCCCACATACATGCTGCACCTATTGTTATCCAGATTCCTGAAGAAACCAGCCCGCGTTTTCGTCAAAAGGTTGGAAGACTGTGGCGAAGACGCGCAGCTTCAATAACGGTTCACCGCCTCGAACGCTTTGCTTGGACGCCAGAAAGTACCTGCAAACTGTGTGGTGCCTTTACCGGTGATTCCCTCGTGCAAGTATCAGAGACTGGTTGTCGATACCCCGTAGTTAATGGATATCCTTGCATTGCCATCATGAGGGATATGCAAGCCCACCGGCGGCCGCTCGGACAATGTCCGCCGCAGAAGAAATCCTAAAAGACGACGAAGCGAGGGCTTGTCAGCAGCCGATCAACTCTAATGCAACACTCTCCGAATTCGACTTGGCAGCGGCATTTTGGGACGCAATTTTATCTACACCGATACTGCCGGTGAAGCTGGACGTGCGTATCAGTACCCTATATGTTAGGATGAAATGCTTGTGCGTGAAGTGCCGACCTCGGCACCCAACTGGGGCAATGGCAGGGGTGTCATCCTCGGTAGAGGGTCCGGCAGTGAACAAGGTTGAAAAGGGGTTCGAGTCCGAGATTTTGGTCACCACAACATGGAGTTTTTGGACGCGAGTGCCGGAGTGGTCTTCACTTTGAGAGTGGCGAGTGGCATGTTGAAGGGTACGATACCCGGCGACAGACATGGTGGCATTGGGTGCAAGACATCCACACGGAGAATGAGGCGTGAGAATACATGGCGAATATCGAGGTTGGCGTGCGGTGAGTGGAAAAAAAAAGACTTGTCGCATTTGGAGACCTTGATCGGAGTCTTGCCGGTAAGTCCATGATCAAATCCCGAGTCTGTTGTCAAGGCACAGTAAGCCTACTACTTGCGCAGTAGTTTAGGTAGGCAAGCAGATGTTTCACAATTTAGATCAATAACTTAGCGATTACAACTTTAATTCTCAGCAATGCGACTTACGTTTTTGTCATTTGACTCTCCTCCATAGGATAATTTGCTTGATGAGTTGACCGGATCTGAAGAATGCATTGCTGCGATTTGCGTTTTTGAGATGCAGGTGTTTGAGAGTGTAATAGACTTCAAATGGTAGGTCGATGTTTGCATCTCTTATTACTTGCTGATCAACAAGGCTTGAGTCGACAGCCAGTCCCGCTGAATCAACAATTCCAGCGCCTCGCTGTTAACATAAGCAAAGTATCTAAAGCAATTGCGCATTGCTTGGCCTGGAAGACTGAATTTGAGGCTGATTATATGTATGTCACCACGTTAGATGGTGGAGGGATGGCTCTTTAATCATAGCCCTCTTCGAAAATGATTGCCAATCATAGGATCAAGCCAATGTTGAGAAAGAGTCGAGACACTCATTTCTGTAAAGTAGAATACGTAACACCATCGACTCATTGAATGTGGTGAGCATGCCAAAGAAGAACTTGCTACATGGTGCCAAATACTCCGTAGGCATCGGAAAGGGGAATTGCAGACCGAATTTATGATAAATTGAGCGGAGTCTGAGGAAACTTAGACCATTCGGTTAACACTAGTTTTGGAACTCTACACTAACCCTTTCGCGTGTACAAAAGCTGCGAACAGTCCTTGGTTCCTTTCTCGGGGTTGAACGGATAAGCGGACCACGTATGATGTGGGTCTCAGTCCGGGAGAAACACGGCGGCACGGTAAAAAGCCCAGCGGGAATTCGGCGGAGGTTCGGCGGAGATTCCAATACGATCTGGCGCATTGAGATACTACAACTGAGGTCCAACAAGACATATCAGGAACTGCCAGTCTCTTGCTATCTGATGTGCAGCCGCATTATTACAGCACACTCCCGCCAAAGCAATCTTGCAGAACACGGAAGGCGCGAAACTTCGCATGAAAGCAAGGCTTTGCATTTCCGCACACAGGAATGACAGTTGAGGCCGGGTGTTTCAAGCAATCTGAGGCCCTTCGCGTTCGCATGTGGCACCTACGGATAGTCTCGCTGCACTGCGCATTCTACACTTGGAGTTGAATCGCAGCCCGAAGCAGAGATACTTGGAAAAGTAACGGCTAGCGCCGCTGCCGTCGTTTGTGTCACCAAGTTGCTCACACGGGTGATAAGGATAACTTGGAGCATTCTAGCCAGGGGACCGTCCATACCAGACTACATAACAAAAGTGTAGTTTGTAGTCCCAGCACAAGGTAAAGACTGAGAGCTGACACTATCAAGGCATCTTCAGCTTCAAGTATCACTCAGTGTCATGTTTCTCGCCGAGCTCCTGGCGCTCATCTCCTGCTTCCCCCACAAGCTCTTTCAACCTCCTCACTGCTCTTTCTCCTAGAGCTAACAAGCTACCCATGCCGAGGATTTCCAAAACACTGACTTCAAATCCGAATACCCCTTTCCATCACCCGCGCATTTCTACCGCCACCAAGCTATCGAGTCCGGCATCTTGAAGCGACATACTCACGTCAGTTTCTTTCTTATCTTCAACCGGCGCCAACAGCAAGTAAAACGACTATACTACAATGTATCTTGCAATAAACTTCGAGGCTTTCGACGAACCCAAGATGGATGTGTCGGCAGTCACAGAATTTAAGAGTGCAGAGAGGGCACCTTGGTCCGAAGAAGTGCTGGCTGCAGCTCTTTGGCTGTTGTTCAAGTTAAAGTAACATCTCATCCGTCGGTCTTCTTTCCAAGGAACTCTATTCGCCAGGTCACTCAAAGATGTGAGACTCCGATGGTCGATCACGACCTGAGCATTGTTGACAAAGGAAAACGCTGTTGGGTATTTAGCACTGGGTTCAGTTGCGCTTAGAACCAGTGCCAGGGCGTCCAGCAGTTGAGGGATTTTGATGCCGTAGATACCTTGGCCCATCAGTCTTTCAGCATCACCTTAAACTACCAATAAATCCAGGACCGCAGCCTCAGCAAATTACAACGTAGACTTAATCAGCACCCACGAACGAAGTAGTTCTTTAAGACAGCGATAAACCTCTCAGAACGAAATGCCTTCTTGCATGAGCAGTAATGCTTCTCACTCCCTTATTGTCATCTGTATCAATGTCAAGTATTTCATGCCTAGCCCTTAAACGATGTTCACAATTCAAGCTGCAGGTCCTGAGCTGTCGCTTCTACGGGTTGGTCTCCCGCACCACCAATGAATGATAGTGCGTCATTCTGCGTCATCTTTTCGTCAGGTGGGAGTATCGGAAGTACCTTTAGGGAATGGTTTTGCAAGTTCATGTCCTATAGACTAGTGAGACCCTGTGATATCTGAAGTACTATTCTTTGGAATAGACTTTTCACGGATATAGATTGTAGGGCTTACGTTATAAACCTCAGCCAAGATGTAGTGACAGCGAAGAAATGCTGGGTTGGGCAGGTTCTCATCGCCATTGTGCGCACTAAACTGAACTGTGGAAGGTAGGCTCCATCGTAGAAAGAATTGTTCGCCGGCACCGAACCATTGGATGGCATATTGATTCTAAGTAAATAGGTTAGAACCATAGATGTTCCCAAATTACAGCTCATTGAAGGACTTACTTGGACGTCTGTGGACTTGAAAGCCATCTCCAGCCTTCTAAACTGTTTATGCAGCGTGTCCATCAACGTTATCGCATTTGAGATCTGATTTATGCTATCAGAAGCAATCGCTCCTTTGAGGTCGGTGAAATATCGATGATACGCATGCCAAATTGTGGCAATATTTAGCGTCTACAGCATAGTGTAAGCATTCTAGTCACTAGTTTTGTACAGGGACACCTACTTGGGTATAACTACCGTTGGTAGTGGAGAGAGAGAAAGGAATGCAATGTGCACACTTGGTGCTGCATTGCGCTCCCTCAGAGGGGCGCTCCTCCCATGACCTAGACCAATATTGGCTGAGGATGCATTTCCCACCCTCTCTTTTCAGGCAGTCCCGTCTCAAAACTTCGTCTCTCTGTACTGTTTCAACTTCGTGCAAGGAGCTTTCTATCTCAGTCTGGGCGTTTTCATCCACCGGCTGGGAGATGACTCCCTTTCCTCTCCCACGAGCGAGCACTGTTAGGTCAGTTATTAATTTGAACACGTATCATACTGATGATTTGGTACTCACTAGGCTTAAGCAGCGCGTCGATTAAATGGTTTCTGAGAGCACGGAGCTTGTCTGGCTCATTTTGGTACAGATAAACCTCCGCCGCAAGAGTGGTGAGGCCGTTGCCCTCGAGCCGACGTAAAAAGATCTTCAACACTTGGTCGGTGTCGTCAGACTTTCCGCACGGGACGTAATCATCGCAAATATTAAGTGCTACTGTCACTCCCAGTTGAGCCACCGAGTCGTCTCCAAGACTTGTGAGTCTTTCCTCTACCAAGGCTCCATCGATCTCTGGGTGTTCTGAGACCGACATCGTGGATGACAACTGCTTTCCCTTGAAACTGGATAATTCCAAATGTGTTTGTCGTCGAAAAGAATTCCACGAGGTTACGTCGACTGCGAGATGATGTCGGGACATAGTCACGTACCTCTCACGAGTGCAGAACCAGGAAGGTGCGCAACTTCTCCAGGTTCTCGAATTTAGCTGAAACTTTGACAAACTTACCATAGCCTGATCATCGAGATGGGAGTATCCGCGGGCCTGCAGTCTTGTCCCAAGCGACGCGGAATGCACCAATGATCGTCCTGCTTGAATGTCGTATGTGACCCAACATAAGGCCTGGATTAGTTGTGATGATGGCTCTCAATCCTGTCAAGTGGATCGGCGGGGACATGATGCTGAACAGTTAGATTCGAAGAGTATCTCGTATTACGACGTGAAATAAGTAAGTGATGCCAGTATCCAACTGGCATTCTGTACATGTCCGAAATCGAGATGCAATGTGTCGCAATAGACTCTCGAGAAGTAAGTGACCAATCAGGGAGAGCCCTAGCGCCACTGCAAAGTCATGAGTTCAAGCTATTCGCAATGTACTTTGGTCGATAAGAACATGCAGGTGATTGTTGAAGGATTCAGATGGCAAACTATCGACAATCACCTGGTCAATGGAAGCCAACGCCTCCGGACACCACGTTCCCCTTCCAGAAAGAGTGAGTTCCGCACGGCCGCAAAACCCCAGCACCGTCCGGGTTGGAAACGGGATTTCAGGCGACCGATTGTGGCGGTGCAGGTTCCAGTTTCTACCTAATATCTGGTTGGAGTTTGCGCGGGTAGAAGAACTGAGGTCCTGCGTGCGGATATTCCGCTCCGTTCGAGGTACGCCGCATATTGAACAGGTGAGTACCAATGAGCCAGGACCACTATCCCATGGTCCTTAAATACGGCTGCTGCCTCTGGAATATACAGAGACCATGCGGCGCCGAGAGAACTCTGGGAAGCATGAGAAGGGACAGCTCGGTACGAGACAGTCCGTCTTTAGACATAGAATGGTTGAAAACATACGGGGCACAATGCCAGCTTGATGCTAATCCCTGAGCCTTACAGTAAATGAGGGCGGTATGTACCTGATCAGTCTGTGTATGTAGGATATATTCCCGCATCTGGCACTCCCAACGGCTCACCTGCAGCTAAAGCATTCTGAATCAATCAAGATCGCCAAGTGTTAAGTGAGCTTGATCAGTACAGTCGTACTCTGGACGATGACGAGTTGGCACGGGAGGACCCGACTTTCCCAGAAAAGCAAAGTCCATAGCGCTTAAGCACTGTGTATGAATAAAGAAGAAATTGCGTCGCCATGGTGATAAGTTGAGCTCCAAAAATTGACAATGAATAGAAATCCTGGGGTCAAGCTTTGGAATACGTTCAATCAAAGACCCTTTCTTGAGTTCGACTTCGTGTTCTGTTACCATCCCTCTCCATCCCAGTCGCCGTGCTAGCCCATGACTTTTCCTCCATTTTACGATCCCTCAGTGTCCTTGTCAAAAAGGTTTTTGTCCACTCCAGAAATGCATCATGCCATACGCATGTACATTGGGGTCTCTCATGGCATTCCGACATTCGGCGAAGAGAACTTCCATCTCAATCTTGCTCCATCCCAACATCTGAAAGTGGATTGCACCTACTACCGGAAAGAACTCTTCGCAAGCGGTGCGGTAGTACATACCAATCAGTCGCATAATTCTATGAGAAGTGATTGTTAGAATTTCACGGCTTACATGTGTGGACGCTCTAGCGGTACTTACTTATCCCTGGGCCATGTACCATACGGTAACTTCACTGTGTGATGTTGGATGTTGACGAAGCCGGCCTGTTCCAAATACTGCCTTCCAAACACAGCCGCATGAGAATTTGTCCCAAACTTTGCGAATGCCTCTACGAGATGGTTCGTGAAGCGGACAAGAGGCCAGTCAGAAGGCATTGTGCCATCATCGCAGTGAACTTGGCCGTCGACATCCTGAAGCTCGACCCAGCCGCCGGGCTTCATGTGCCTACAGATTGCGATTAATCCCAAGTATGGCAGAGGCGGATATTTGAAGTTAGAGAACGTACTCAAATGCATTCCTTAGCAGGCCTACCGGCGACTTGAGAACAGGCACCATGTTTCGTAGGTGAACAAAGTCAAAATTTGTGCCGTTCAACCAGGTATCCTCAACATCGTCTACTAAGAACTTGACATTCGGTGGTACCCAAACGGGCTGGATGGGGCTCAAGTCGAGGCCATGGATCTCCGCGCTTGGGAATAAATCTCCCACTGTTTCTTCGGTCAGCTGCCCTCAACCCCTTTCGCATGTTCTTGTCTCTCAGAGAGACATTCGGATACTTTTACGTACTCTCAATTGCCCAGATACCCGTTCCCGTGCCGAGATCGATAATCTTCTGTGGGTTATCCCCGATGGGCGCAAAGTAAAGCTTCCCGTCTGTGGCTTCCAGCATCATCGCATGCAGCATGTCCTCGCGGTTCTGCTCCGTCTCGTCGTTGGGGATCGGGTACCGTCCGTGCCGGAACTTATGGTAACGCCGGCCGTGTTGGAAACTATGCTCATAGACGCTGGAGTTCAGGGAAGTTGAGCCAGTCCTTTGACTCCTGTCGTCGGCTATCGATGATCCGTCAAAGACGCTGGGAGTAAATTCATCATCATCGTCGGTGCCGCCGGCCTCGAGGGTGTGTTCGGCAGGAGGTCCGGCGAAGTTTTCTGCTGGAGAGCCAGGAATGCTTGATGCGACTGGAGCCGGATCGGTTGATGTCGTCGTGGTTCCGGAGACTGTTGTCGTTGTTTGCTCCGTACTTGAAACGCCAGCCGTAGGTGCCGCAGATGCTGACGCTGCTGTCTTTTGTTACTACCATCCTTGTAATAAGACGCGATCTGACGCGTTCATTGTCATGTAATATTTTATTTCGAGACTTTCTGTTTTCATGAGACCACCTCCGAAATCAAAAAGTCAATTCAGCTCACCATCATCGTCGCGTCGCGAGCCCTCAGAAGGGCCCGTGCTAGGGCTTCCAGGATGGCTTGCCGTGCCCATCGTAACAGCACGGCTCGCAGCTTCTTGAGTGTATGCCCGCAAGCTGCTGCCGTGATCGGGTCTTTCGAGCTCAGTTCGCGTGAAATGTGAAGCCTTGCCGAGTTCTGTGAAATTGTTTGGAATGACGGTGAGTGAGAAAATGACAATGTTTTGGCTGTGACTTTGCGTCGTAATCTCTAGCGGCCCTGGCTCCGAAGGTCAAGCTACCCTAGCCTGGATGACCCATGAATTGGACCACCCGTCAGTAAAACTAGCGAACGGGAAGTCTGTCCGAGTCAAGAGTGTGGAGGCGGGGTCGACGAAAAGTGCGTCCGGGTGCGCTCAAAGATCTAGGCTTCTCATTCGTGCAGGGGATTAAGGTTTGGAGGTTGGAATGCGTTTGTCTTACAGAGTACTTGTACTCCTAATGTCTGTATGTTGGCTTCAAGGGACCTAACGAGATTATGAGACTTCTGGACTGGTGTAGATAACAGGATGAGACCGGCCAAAAAGCAGGCGCGGCAGGTTTAGATAGTTCACGAGGAGGATGATCCGGAATGGGCCCATGGCTCATGAGCGACTGTCTCGAAGCCCCCAGAAATTTGCCGGCCTGAGACACGACGCATACCGGACGCTCAGGGCGTCTGGATCAAGTTCATGGACGCCTCGAAGGGCAAGCGATCTCCTTCATGTTCCTGTCTATAATTGGCACTGATCAGGACATTGATCAGGCTACAAAATAGCGCGGACAAGCAGCGTCGGAATAGGGACGTGGGAAAAGTATAGTCCTCTTCTGCGGTTTCTTCAGGCAAGCGATGGACCGCTTCAGCGCTCGCGCTACGATCGTGTTTGTGGCACCGTCCATCTGCCAGGCTGGGATTAGGAGGGGAATCATGTCATTGTTGCCGTCGCCTCTGCCATTGATGACTGCAGCACTATCCTGGAGCCTGTAGGAATTGCCCCCTTGGATACCAGTCTCTGTTCGCCAGTGAGGTGTGCCTTGTATGGGGTAGTACTGGTTGGACAAATGGTGGCATTTATTGGATGTCATTAGGGCAGTTCAAGCTGGTACCGTCCATTCCCGGGTGCCCGGTTATCAGGTTGAGACGAGTAATGTTCTAGACCTGCTAGACCACTATTATCGGCAATACTTCGTACGCGCTGGACGACCAATCCTCCATAGCCAGGTTTATTGTCATTTCTCGAACGCTCCGTTACAGGTGTACGGGTATGAACCTGAGCCATGAGGGAACACGTTCATCTTCGACCGCTTCTTCATCACCAGTTCCTTCCAATCGTATTCCGCTCCTGAGGCTCTTGCTTTCCATTTTCCTGCGGTGATTGGATGGTCGTTCTCCCCTATGCATTCGCGAGCGGACCAAAACCGTTTAAAAATGCAAGCAACGTCGTGATCAGATCGATCGACTGCGTCCTGACTTCTGAATCCCCATGAGAGCCAAGGACTTTGTGTCCTCAAATACTCAAAACCATCGACCTGCATTGCATCCGAGGCGTGTATCTTCCAACAACCCTTCGCTGCGCCTTTTGCTGGCAGGGCTGATATGTGATTAGTCGGATGGCGCCCAGCTGCATCTCGCTCTACCGGGAAGTGGTAGCGGAGCTGATCGTAAAAAGCAACTGATGTTTAGGCCTCTATGCAGTCTCAGCCCACACAGACCCCGATCTCCGGCGGTCGGCAGTAAGATTTCCGATCCTTCTGCGCTTACCATGCTGTGTGACTCTCGGCATACGAACCCACTGATAGAGGAGTACTGAGATTAAGAAAAGAAACCCCATGACAAGTCCATTCTGCGACCGTGATTCTAACGGTCAAAGCCGACAACATAATCATCAAACATGACATGTAGCTTGCCACGTCGCCCAAGGCGTCGCAGCGTGCAGCGGGGAAGCATGGTTTAGCTGCCGGTCGGTCTGCCGCCTCGAAAGGAGCTTTCTCCGACCCTAGCGCGTCAAATGCATCCCAATCTCTGCACTAGGGTCGGATGCCATTTTCGAACTCTTGTGTACCTGATTCAATAACTTAACACATCAGGCGCCTACTTCGAGAGCCCTTTAGTTCGATGTGATAGCTCAATTGGCACGAATGCCGGACTCACGCTCCTGGGCATCAATGATTGCTCCCGGTTCTAAGGACCCTGTCATCGAAGAAATTCGATTGCTCTTGGTTCGGTGGCCCTCCAAACTCGAGCGCCAGTTCAGTCTTCGAAACCAATGTAGATATTCAACAGCCATACAATCCTACAAGTCAGGGCCGGTCGCTGCGTAACAGCTCTCTCATTTCCTGGTTTCTTGGATCATACGAATGGATAATTCACAAGATCTCCTACCTCCACCCTGACTGCATTTTAGATGGCCATGCGCAGTGGAATGCACGATTTCCATGATCAGGCACGTGATGTGCTGCCCCGCCCATGGCCTGTAAGACGGAGTAATAGAGACCGCCTAAAATCCGTTGAGGGCACAGTTGTCCATCGTCGAATTGAAGAAGTTGCGTACAAGTTTCAACAAGAGTGCACTCCCTACTCCGTCAACGTGTCCCTTTCCCATCCAACAATTGAGCAGTCAAGTGTATTTCAGATAAAGAAGGACCTATTATTTGTGCTCCAGATTGAGTATCAGCACCAATCACAATCACACCATCTTCTGAGGCAGGATTAGGCTTTTGTGAAGATTGACTTTGCCAACCATCTTTCATATCAATTTGTCCAATATATTTACGAATTTTAGTCCAAAAATCTCAGGAAACGATGTACGACATTGCCATGCGGCGTCATATTACCTTAATACCAGCTCCTTTGTTAATGTGTGTGTTACTAAGTCTAGATCCGAGTGTAGGAAAGGCGCAGAAATGACCATCGACTCTATGCTTGATCTAGCAGCAGCTTGGTAGGCGCGTCATGCATATTTCAAATTTACATTCATCGCACAAGGATAGGCTATTGATCTTGTCCTGTATTACTGTAGGAGTGTCCTCCCGACAGTCGCCGATCTTACATTTCGGGGCTGGGGAGTCTTCAGGCGTGGTTAATGGAAGCGGGATGGACAATGCCGCATTGGTGAAAACGCCGCTGTATGATTGGGCACAGCGGTCAGACTCTAGTCAGGAGGTCAACAAGACCTGACCCTCAATCTCCCGAGCGGAAGTAATCGGGCCTCACCCGACTTCAGTAAAGAATCGTCCATATCGAATTTCCCTTCTTACTTGTATAAAGTGTGGCGTTTCTTGAAGTGATGATGTAGATAATCACTTCAGACCATGTAGTATCCTGTGTTCTCTGCCAATCATTGCTGTAGACTTCTCTATCCAGTCCTCGCACATTCTTTCACATCATGCCCTATTTCAAGCACAACGACAGCATCTCCATCTACTACCTTGATGAGGGCCCGCAAGATGCACAAGCTGTGCTTCTCATTCCCGGCATCACCTGCGACCTCCACGATTGGAACTGGCAGGTGCCCTTCCTTCTCACGCATGGCTTCCGAGTGATTACTCCGGATCCTAGGGGACAGGGACGTTCATCCGCCCCGGCACCTACTCCGAACATCAAATCATACCCCGGGCCGGACGCTGATCCTGCCATCATCGACTACTATCCGCAGTCCGCTGCCTTGGACTTCATCGCCCTTCTGCAGTACCTCAATGTCTCATCTGTCGTCGTCATTGCCCATTCTCTTGGCACAGCCGTGGCGTACCACTTCGCCACAGTGAAGCCGGATTTCACGCGGGCGATGGTGATACTTGACCCGCTTCACTCAATTCCAAGTGAAACAGTGAATAAGTATCTCACCGACCCTCTGCAGACTTTGCAGAACCTTGCTATGCTATTTGGTCCCGCTCTATATCCGCCGACGGTCCCTGCTTGGCACTCGACCTGGATAGGCAGACGTCGTTTGGCCGGAGATATGAATGTCATCTTGGCTCAGTCATATGCATGCCAAGTTGACCCAGAAGCAATTGGAAGGCGAGAAATCTCCGCGGCTCAGCACGACGGCAAGATTAAGTGCCCACGGTTGACTATGGGAAATAGCGAGTATTGGGTCACGACGGAACGAAACTATTTGTCTCCCAGTAGTGAGTTCGATGAGATACATCTTGTGGAGGGGATTGGTCATTGGTTTCACCAACTGAAAAGTGAGGAGGTCAACGGGCTGATCCAGCGCTGGTTTGAGAAGATTGGACTGCTTCCAGTAGAGGAATAGAAGGAACTGCCAAGTCTGGCACCGCATTTGACGTCCATTGTATAATTAGATATCCCATAGAAACAACTCTACTTGCTCAAAGAAGCCTAAGATATCTCCTCACTCAATCATGAGTTACTCGCGGCCATCGATGGCGTATCCTTCAGCGAGTCGTATCTGGAGTGTATATCATTTCCCATTGATCTGGATATTTCTGTATATATCCGAGATGAAACAGATACGGTTGCGCTAATTTGTACCACGACATCCCCGACGAAAGAGTTGTAAGAAGATCTTCAGATTCTGCGTAATCATGGAGTCCTCAATGGCTGAAACGGAAATCCCACCGCTTATTGCCTTCGTCCTTTGTTGTTTCCAAGTATGCAAGTCTCTGCTCTTCCGACATACCTTCCCAGATCCGATCGCGTCTCTTGTTCCGGTATACATAGTAAGCCTTCACCAATGGGTAAAGAACCAAGTTCATGCAGACAATGCCGAGGAGAGACCGGTTGCCGCGTTTGTACAGTGGCGCATCGTCTATTGGTAGAGTTAGTAAGCATTTTGACTTCGTGCATGTGTCATATCCAACTAAAGACTAACCAGACCGATAAATGTTGGAAGAAATGATTCCATCCGTCTGTACAAACATGTTGTAACAGGCAGCCGAGACGGTTCTTGACCGAACAGTATTGGAGTTGCGACTATTCCATCCAACCTAAATTGGAGTCAGCACTTGCACAACGATGAGAGCCGATAACACATTAAATGATTGCGTCTTGTCTGCCGGCGTATTTCGAGCTTACTTGAATGGGGTGAGCTACAATGCAGTTAGAATCAAGTACTGAGCAATATTCGGATGCATCGATAACTTACGATTCGGGTACATCAGAAGCAACGTGATGACGGAATAAAGAACCCATCTGTTGACTCCGGATGTGTCGACAACATTGAGGTAGATCAAAAATGGGAGTGCCCACACCTGACCAGACATCGAGACAAAGGTGAGTTCGCCGATGACTTCGCCCAGGTATGTGATTGCCAGCATTGTGACCACTAACTCGCGTGTTAGTCTCGAAGATGCAGTGGTTTGGAGATGTATGTAATATGTCCTTACTATGACCAACGGTCCACGGAATAGCGAGAAGGTTCGCTTGAAAGGTGTCGAAGCCGAGGTTCTTCAATGTCAGGGTGAGGTACTGTGATGGAGGTGTCATAGGAATCTGGAAAGTCAGGCCCAGGATATACAAGGGCCACAGATCGTAATCCTTGAGACTGTCCCAGAGCAACCTTGGCGTGATTGGCTCGCGGTTGTGCATGCTGCTCTTGCTTGGATCCTCGCGCAGAACTCTGTTGACAAGAATGACTTCCTCTCTGTGTCTTTTGTCAGTACCTTCTCTGAAAGCACAGCGTGCCGGAGAGCATTAGTCAAACTCACCGTTCAGAGAACCAACCATTCTTCCCACGAAACCAACTCGCAGTTTGACAAGGGCCAGCTGGCATCAAAAGGAACCCGAAAATACCAATGACCAGTGTCAACAGCCCTTCAATGAGGAACAACCATCTCCATCCGGAATGTCCTTGAACGCCACGCATGTGAAGCAATCCATACGCAAAGATCGCAGAAAGGATATCCGCGATGCTCATGGCGGTCCAAAAGAAGCCAAGTCTCAGCGACAGCTCGTGATGCTTGTAGAAGTACGACAAATAGAGGATGATCTTGCCATTGGATGTTAGTCGAGGACATTTCATAGGAAGTCAATTGAAAGAGGTATAGACAACTTACATCGGGAATGAATCCTCCCTGGAGGAGACCTAGCAATGCGCGGCAGGCAAGGAATGAGTCTCTTCCGTTGAGCCAGAACTGACAGCTGGCTACGATACTCCAAAGGATCATCTGTGCAGGAATCCAGCGATCGGGGCCAACCCATTTGGAAACAAGCTGAGATGGCAACTCCGCGCAAAGGAATGCGAGCTTGAAAACGGTGTTACCGAGGTTAAAGTCTATGAGCTCTGTCATTAATTATCCATATATGGCGCCAGTAGTTGAGAACATACCATTGGTGCTCATCTTCAGATCTCCCAGCATATTATCCGTGTTCGCTACAACAGCCGCGTATTAGACTTGCAATTGCACATGCCGAGATGATTTGAGCGCACCTTGGCTGATGTTTGCGCGATCCAGTTCAAGTGCCATGAACATGATACAGGCCCATATCATAATTCGTATGTCGATCTTTCGTACTTTTCCCCAAGTTAGCAAAACACAATCGCACCGCAAGTAGCTGGAAAGAAGGGTAACTTCACTCACCCAAAGCATACTCCTCGGCCCATGTCCATCGGGCGAGAGGATCAAAGCGGTGGTGATTCTCCCTGTCGTTGAATGGATTAGAGATAATGAAATTTGAGAATATGTATATTTGGCACTCTCCAGACTTACCAGTCTTCCCGTGGATGGTACTTCTCAGCCGAATCTGGGTCGTCAAAAACACTCGGCTGTATCGCAAAGTTAGCGGTTTCTCGAAATGTGCACCAAAAATTGGGTATCTATATACTTGAGTAGCTACAGCGAAAGGATCAAAATCCTTATTCCGCTGGAACCAAAACCGCTTCTCCTCGATGGGGGCCCCGAGAGCCGGGATGCTTTCAAGAGATACGGCAGATTGGTCTGCCTCCCCCTTCTGAAAGGTATTCTTTGCCAGAACGGTCGCCATGGTCCCTGACGATGATGTCGTCCTTCCGACTTGGTGTTGAGGCTGAGGGATGAGTGTCGGATATGTTGTCTCCTCGGAGCTTCACCTCAATGCTATATAAAGCATGGCAACGAAGAAAAGACGGGTCGGCGGATCTCGTCAAAAGTTTCGGGATCGTGGAGCTCATCCGCCACCGGGACTTCACTTTCATGCTAGACTAGGTATGCTGCGATGGCGAATGCGGTCCACAGTATCACGTTGTTGCAAGGGAGACAGGCGCCGGCGTCTTCTGCGGCTGTAGGGGTCTGGAATTCGGGTCCATCCTACCCATATGGCAATTCGCTAGACCTTCCGAAGGGACTCGCGAGACAAACTATCCTTGTTCTCGGGTTTCCAAAGGGTGTGTGGCTTGTTGGAGGGGAAAATAGACTTCCATATGCGGGAGAACGGCCAATGAAGTAGGCCGTACCCGAACAAACGATCGGGAATGTCTCGACGACATTCACGTGGTTGACCTACAACTGCCAGTATTCAACGGGGCTAAGAGTAAGCCCGCAATTTCCAGTGAGTGAGTCTCAAATCTGCCATCATTTCCATGGATATTCCCGTAGAAGTGACGGTGGAAATGCCTACCTCAGCTCCTTTCTTTCACCTCTCCGTTATCCTCACCCTCGGGCAAACTCCATGTATGTACTTCCACTCGCAGGGAATCCTACAAGTTTCTGCAAATTTGTGAACGCGTATCACTCAGCGCGGCCGTCAGACGACAGGTCACCCTTTTAGTCTGAGCTCGCCTGCATCCTTGTCTGAGATGGGGTGGAGTGGGGGTAGCCATCCGAGGTCGCCGAGCAGAGAATCAACCCTCTCAGTCCGAATTCCTGGGCTCACTGGAAACTTAAAACCAAGAGTATAAAGCAATCGCCGCTATCGCAACTGTTACGGCTGTTTAATGACAATTCAGAGTTCCCTTCGAGTCTGGGTTGGGCTGCGTTCTTCGAGCTCGCCATAAGCCAGGGATCTGACGCAAGACACCACTTCAGACCCTTATCAATCATGTGCTGTTAGGTTCAGTCCCAACTGCGCAAATCAACCAAGATCAAATACTATCATCTATCCGTAAGTCATGTTGATGGAATATCTGCTTCTTGTGAATGTCAACATTGCCGCTCATTGAAGTTCAGGCTGATAAAGCACCTACGTGGGCTTGCATCAGCTTGCCCCCACGAAAACCACCAGCCATCAGCAGTCCAAACTAATGCATATGCTAGGTTTCTGGTGCAAAAAGTTCTCCTTGCTATCGTGGAGCTGAAGCTTGATAATGGAAGGGTTGTTCAAGAGGTGAAATAGGCGAGCACTCATTGGCCAATCCGGTGGGACAGAACCTTGATCACATCATTCTTGCCGGATCCACGTCATTGTGTAAAGGGGGTGATCAATCACGAAATGGGTTCACTGTCTTTCACCATTCCAAAGCGCTTGTTAACTCACGACCTGTCGAATGCGGGGAATACCCGAGCGATTGAGTCTTACCGGATGTCGCTTTATCGGGATTTCAAAGTCGTAACCGCCGACAGGATGTCGCGATAGCTTGCACCTCACTACTCCGCATCATGAGCGAGCCGGTCGACTTATAAAATGGCATTATTTGCGCCTGATGGGAGTAGAAGGAAAGGCAAAATTAAGATACAAAACAATCGATCGCATTTACCACCTACATCTGAAATCTGAAGCATTCCGCCAGCTTGAATTATGGCTCCTACAGCTATTGACACCGAGGTGCCTCTCCACACCAGCAACAAGACCTCACTTCCGACCCCACTGAAGTCGTCGAATTCATTGGAACAATATGAGTCTTTTGATGTTACCCCGAACATCGGTCGCGAGTTCCCAAAGGCAAACCTGGTCGACTGGCTCAATGCCCCCAACGCCGATGAGCTGATTAGAGATCTTGCCATCACGAGTAAGTGGCTGCGGTCAAGAATGAGTGTCAAGCGGGTGGTATAACTAACTGTGCGGTCAAGTCTCGCAACGTGGTGTCGTCTTCTTCCGTGCTCAGGACAACCTGACCAATGATCTGCAAAAGCAACTAATCCTCCGATTGGGAGAGCTCACCGGCCGACCCTCCGACTCCGGGCTCCACATCCACCCGGTCCTCAACTCGGAGCGGGAACTGGGTGGGGCTGACCCGGAGATCAGCACTATCAGCTCTGTGCAGCACAAGAAGATCTATCGCAAGCCTTTGGAGGGTGAGGAGCTTAGCCCCAAGAAGCAGTCGACTGCACAATGGCACAGTGATATTGCTTTCGAACCTGTCCCGGCCGACTACTCATCTTTGCGCCTCGTTGAGCTCCCCAAGACTGGCGGCGGTAAGTAGTGCACGCATAATAGGTCTCGGAGTGACCGTAATGAAGCTAAGACAGCATAGATACTCTTTGGGCATCCGGATATGAGATTTATGACCGTCTCAGCACTCCCTACCAGAAGTTCTTGGAGAGCCTTACAGTCACTTTTGAACAGCCTGGTTTTGCAGCCGCTGCCGAGCGTGGCGGCTTTCAGCTTTATGATAAGCCGCGTGGTAACCCGAAGAATATTGGCAGTATTCTGAAAGCCGTTCATCCCGTTGTACGAACGAACCCTGTCTCGGGTTGGAAGAGTGTCTTCCCTGTCGGCGGCCACGTGAAGCACATCAACGGCGTGACGGCAGAAGAGAGCAAGCACCTGTTGGATTGGTTTCTGGACATCTTGCAAAAGAACCATGATATCCAAGTCCGTTTCAAGTGGCAGAATGCCAATGACATCGGTAAGTTGATTCATCTGTGGCTGTAACTGGATGTGCAAGTAACTAACATAGAATCGCAGCCATTTGGGACAACAGAAGCACATTCCACACAGCAACCTTCGATTATGACGATCAAGGAGAAAGATTTGGAAACCGGGCGGTTGGAATTGGTGAAGCGCCTTACCAGGACCCCAATAGTAAGGGACGTCGGGAGGCATTGGGAATCTCTTATGTGACCGGACCTTGAATATGAGCAAATGGACTATTAAGTACTTGAAGATGCCTCAGACCTTCAATTGACTCCTAAAACACACACAGTGTGGAACCAATGGCCGGAGATATTGTTGAATAGACACAGTGAAATGCAGACTCGCGTGACTTCTCATGGAAATCCCTACTGCAGTCATCCAAGGCGTCCAAATCTAACAAGCAGCCTAGTTTATAAGTCATAGAAACGTTCCCTCATATGGGTTCTTGACTCAGCAGCTTGCCTTCATCTGTGTGAATTAGGCTACGCATCCTTACGACAGGCTCGGCAGAAGCACTGACCTTGGCAGCCGATGAGACGAGCGACTTGCATCAATCTCCTATATTGTGCATGAACAGCTGACGTCACTCGCCTTTAACTTGTCACATTTACGCATACAAGCAGGTCTTGACTGTCTAGTATAGCAGACTGCAGGTTCTTGCAATTTTATTCGCAGGAAGTAGTCCAACAAATTGCGTTCTTAGATGTAGAATTTACATACCCTGAAGGTAGAAGTGCATAGTTACTCCACAGCAAGTATGCCCAGCGGCATCGCCCCATAGACTTCAGAGTACCCTGTCCAAGTCTCCCTAAAGCTGCTTCTCGTTCTCCTTGCCCTTTGCCTCCTTCGGTGTGCTAATACCGATACCCAGGACAATCAGGATCCGAATTAAAACCATTGGCGCAGTCGTGAAGAAAGCAACATAGTCCTCGACAGTCCACGTAGATCTATCCAGCCAAATCTCCCAGCCTCCGACGGCTTGCGCAGTACCGTGGCAGAAAGCAGCATCGCTCAGAAGCATGCCCGCGCAGAGAACGCGCCAGAGGGTGAGGTCGTCGAAAACCCGCATGACCACGCCCTCGGTGAATGCGAAATGCAGCCATCCGCCGCCAAGCTGCGTGTAGATGAACTGCGTGTTGGGCTCGTATGCGAAGGCGTTGCGCGTCATTCCCGCGAGATATTGATTCGGTGTGTGAAGCACCATGACGGCGCCGAGCAGCGCGAAGATCGGCTCAAGGGTCATGATGATGAGTCGGTAGATGCCTGGGACTGCGGCAGAGCCCTTGATTGTGACCCGTTGAGAGGCCATGATGTTCCAGTTGTCAGATCCAGTTCGCGATAAGAAGGCCCCGTGATTCTTCAATGGATGAGGTGATTGTGTTTTCGCGTCTGAGGTTTTCGCGTCGCAATGGCAAGTGTCGTGCAGGGCAGCAAATGCAAGTTTGGGGTGAGAATTGACCGAAATTGCGATGAAAGAAACAGCCTTAGCACAATTAAGCTGCAGTAAAGAAATACCTGCCGGTCCTTAGCTTTATCAATCACTGATTGTCGAAGCTTATTCCAGCTCAATGAAACACGCACTCGGATACGCCGGCTGCGGGGTGACTAGATTCCGAGACGAGCAGCACCAGTGACCCTAGTTTATTCGAAGGTGCCGAAGGGCACGCACGGCCGATAGTGACCGAACTAAGGAGTACATAGTGACGCACAGGAATATGAGCATGAGTGCAGAGACCAACAGTTGGTTGCTTGCCACGGCTAGGACCGCTTGATGATCCTGGCTTCTTACTTGTGTTTCGTGATACAAGGCGGAACGTGGTCTTCTGCTGCGAAGGATGGAATTGAGGCCTGAAGGGTCGTATCATCCAGGAATGAGACGGATTGCTTGCGGCAGAAGCCTCACAATAAATACTGAGCCTGCCACAAATCGAACGTTGCTTCAAATTCTTCGAAAGAAAATCGTGCTCATAGCCTGTGCGGTTCAGAGTTTGAAGTTGCTGAGGTCTCCAAATCTCGGAGATGAACGAACCACTAGTTGAGCATCCGTACAGAATGTCTTTAATCATGCTCGTGCACCCACAAGCTCACCATCTATTCCCGTTTATGGCAGAGTCAAAATCTAGCAACGCTGGCCTTTTCAATTCGTTTAAAAGCCAAGCATCACCGCAGAGGCAAGGAAGCACCAGGCCTTGTCTCAGTTACGTATGGATCCATCATCAAAGTTTCGGCTCCCACTTGAACCATTTCTACCGAAATGATCTGGCCGAAAGCGAGAATTATGATGGATGGTTGCGACAGGCCTGTGCGAACTAGTTATCTTTATGTATTATTGGAAGAAAAAGTTAATTGGAAAAGTTGGAAAGTGCTGGAAAGCTCCCCACACTCAGTTGTTTCGAATAAGAGCAATGCCAAAAACCGCTGCTCGCCATCCTACATGAATAGTGCGAGAATCGATCGTGCTCTGACCACATCGAAGGGGTTTATAGATCCACAGTCTTGTTCAGGTCCGGGATTTCAACACTGACTGACTTGCCTGAGACTTGGTGTGGGTAAGGGGCGTCAGACCATTAAGAAATTGATGCGCAGGGCTTGTGCACGCACAGAGAGATAATAGCCTGGTTTGAGTAGTTATGAAGGAAGCAACAAGCATTTTCTAAATACGCGCCCTACATATCTAGAAACCCAGTGAGGTAATCCGTGGGTAGCCGGTGAATGAATTGAAGCTGATGGAATTGACGGTAAGCTGTCGATTGTTGACCGCGACTATCGTCTAGACTAAAAGCACTTCTCATTCTGCTCGCGATGATTACCCAAATTGGCCACCGTAGTGAATGCCCGTATTGACGGTCTACTTCTTGTCGGTCTTGTCACTCTCTCCAATGCTCTCATTTCCTTCAGGGTGAAATTCCACCCGTCCAGATTCCAAAGTTGTCTGTCCATCCTTGAATCCTTGTTTCTGTTCTCGGAAAACGAGAAGACGGATGCCAATCACTGCAATGATTGCGGCGATGATGAAACCAAACGTTGCAGGAAATCCGTATCCTGAACGCCAAAACTCATTAGTAGTCGTTCGTGCATGGAGCAATCAAGGATGGCCAATCATAGTCGTGCTCCTTGATAGCCGTGACCGTCGATAGAAACAAAGTGAACGACTTTGGAAACTTACTAAAAGTCGGAGCCATGGTTTGTGGAAAGATGACTAGAGGAAGCCATGCGTCGACGGCATATTGCATCCCGTTCATACTGCTGATGACCAAAGCGCGCTCCTCATTGTCGCCGGCGCATATTTCATTTGCCCAAGTGTAGCTGAAGAATGGCTTGTCAGTCCAAAGCCCAAGGGGTTGGTCTTCGATGCACTTTTGCATGATCTCTGAGGCAAAGACTTACAATACCGCTGTCATGAGATGCACGCTGCTCGTCAGGAAAGCAAATAGCTTCAACTGCACGCTTGGTGGCCAGAAAGCCAAGATGCCGTTTGGGATCAAGGCCAGCACCTGTAATTCTGTTAGACTTGATCACGTTGCAGAGGAATTCTCGATCTTTGGGGCTATGGCGTACCAATGGGCAAATTATCAATGCAAAGCGGCTCCCGGTGTAGTCTGACAGGAACCCCCAGAGAATGATACAGAAAGCACTGATGAGCTTTGAGCCGGTTGGGATGACGTTCCTGTCTACGACCGAAAATTTCTCCGCCTTGAGCCAGATGGCAAAATATCCACCCGATTGGCAAGATTCACCGTAGAGCTGATGAACAATTAGGTCTCTGTAATACACATGATTCCCTGTTTGTATGGGAATGGTCTACTTACGACGTAGCCCAATACAAAAGCGTACCATCTCCACTTCAAAAGTACTCTTCTGAAAGTAGCCAAGGTGACTCCTGCAGGTGCTGCTTTACCAGCCTTTGTTACTCGGTCAATGGCCAGCTCACATTCTTTGGCGGTCAGAAACTTCGACTTGGTGGTGTACGGTGTGTCCGGTAAGACGAAAAGGGTTGCAACGCCGACGGGAATCGTCATGCACTGCCACATAATATTAGCAACTTTGTCCCGTTCGAACACAAAAGGGCACCTGAAGTTATCTCACCCCACAGACAATGTACAACCATCGCCATCCTGCATGGCCATGGGCACCGTCGAGGCTCTTGTAAACTGCTGCTTGTAGGTAACCACCAAAAGCCGAGCCTAAAGGGGCAGTCATGTGGAATATGGCGACTCTCTTTGCAAGCTCAGTCTTGGTGTACCAGCTTCCAAGTACGTAAAGTAATACAGGGAAGAAAGAGCTCTCAAAGAACCCGACAAGGAAACGAAATGTATAGAGCTGGCCGACGTTCTGCGTCCCTGCTTGGGCAAAAGTAAAGACACCCTGAAGAATGATGGTGTCAGCATGCATGCGTGCTTGAGATCTCTCGAGAGGGGCAAGACATACCCATCCGACTTCCATCGCGGCTAGCCAGATGCTCGGCCTGATCTTCTGAACAATCAAAGTGCTCGGGATTTGCATCACAGCATAGGCGCAGGTGTAAACCATTTGAGCATACGTATACTCGTTGGCAAACATCTTGAGGTCCTCCTGCATTCCCGAGACGTAGGCGTTTGCGAGGTTTCCCTGATCGAGATACTTCATGAAAAAGCCTAAGCACTCGATGGTCAAGATTGACCAATCCAGCTTGCGAAGTAACACGCGCTCTTCATGGCTCTTCAGGTGCGTATCCGTGTCCCAGATGAAAGAACGAAATGATCGCGAGGGCACATTCGAAGGCTGAGGCGATGTTTCTGCCATCGTGGACGTATGGAAATAACGGCTTGAATAACGTCGAAGCTGAAGGTAGCAGAACAATCAGAGTCCACAGTCGCAGGACTCGGCAGGATGCAACTCTCTTTAGTATGTGCCCCTCATCCTCCACTGATGCGCCATCAGAATGATATCTCTGCTCGTAAATGTGCAGACATGCACTGATAGCACGGAATGGCCACTAACAATGATCAACACGGACATGTAAGCCAGAAGTAGAAAAGTCCAAGTGCCGCGGTTCGGGCGACAGACTGATGCTCCCGTCTCATTGAGAACATCTTGCAGAGCAAGCCGGCGTTGTACTGGGGCCATCGGGGCCATTCCGACGAGCTTAGCCAATAGTAGTTGAAATAGGATCGCGGGGGATGATAAGGCGACAGAGGCAGGGGGCGATGACGAGCTCAGCCAACCACCCGGACGCTTTCCGGGGAATAAGAATTTCGGAGTGTTTCTACCTTCGGAATACAAAAAGGAGGAACATAAATATGCCGGGCTGGTTGAGTGGTTCTTCACGCGATCTTCTATTCCTGCACGTCAGGAAGACTGCATGGCTACGTTGAGGTCGGGCGGAGGACATCGCTGGATTTGAATGTCCAATCTGCTAAAGAGGGTAGCTAAGAGACTTTTGTCTTCGACCGCGCTGATTCCTTGCCATTTTGGAAATGGTTCCTGAATTCACCCTCAAACGACAAAGGTTAGTGAGTGTCTATTGTACGGTAAAGAGAGCAAAAGAAATGATATAGAAACCTACAGTAGACTCTGTTTGATGCAGAAGCTATGACTATTGAGAGTGAACAGCGGTTTACCTAACCTGCCATCATCGGTGGAGTAGGTAGATTCCCTCTCTTTGGACGCCAAGCGGATAGTCGAGGAATCACCAATGGACCAGAGTCTTTTATCTATTTAGAAGTTAGAGTATCCAAATGTTGGACCAGACATTTTGAAGTGTCCCACCAGCCATCGGAGCGTCGGAAATGGCGAATTGTTGTTCAGAATACCTAAAGTAGATGTTCACCGCGAGGCACAAGGCTTTACAATCACTCTGCAAAGGTAAATGTTGTTTGAACCACTCGATCATGCCTTTTTGGACGTTATCATGATGGCATTAATATTATGTAGCTATACTACTTGCTATATGGCTCGCTCAGTACACGTTGTGCTCGCCGTGAGAGCAGCTCTTAGCATGCTCAGCCTGCTCAGAAGCCAAAGCCCACTTCTGGAACTCGCGGCGGATGGCATCACGGCTGCGGCGAGCAGGAGTGGTGGTAGCACGGCGAGGCAGATCAGCGGGGAGTTCGTTGGCGAAGTCAGCTGCAACACGGGCGGCGGCCTTGGCGTTGATGGTAAGAGCGTCCCAGTTGATATTGTCGAGGGTATCGCAGGCCAAGTGGTAGCATGGGTCGGTGGGGGCGCCAGCACCGGTGAAGATACCGGAAGAGGGGATACCGAGCTGGAGGAAGCCGACGTAGTCAGAGCTGGAGCCGAAGCCACCGAAGGCAGCGGGCTTGCCCTGGGCCGCGATGTAGTCGTGGATAGGCTGGGCGCCGAACTTGTCACCCTCGTTGTCTCCGAGGTAGACGTTGTAGACGGGGTTGATGGAACCGATCATATCGTAGTTCCAGTAGAAACGGATGGCATCGGCCTCGGCCTCGGAAAGCTGGGCAGTGTAGTAGAGAGATCCGACGAGGCCGGACTCCTCAGCACCCCACCAGATGAAGCGAACCTTGTTCTTGAAGCCGCTGTACTTCTTGAAGGATCCAGCAATCTCGAGAAGAGCAGTGGTACCGCTGCCGTCATCGTTCACACCGGGTCCGGCCTGGACAGAGTCCAGGTGAGCACCAAGAACAATCACGTTGTTAGGGTCGCCTTCCTTGGTCTCTGAAATAATGTTCCAGGTCTCGCGCTCATCCCAAATAGCATCAACGAGAAGGTTGACCTCGAGGGTCTCGCCAGCAGCCAAACGCGCCTTCCACGCAGTAGCATCCTCAAGGGGAATGAGACCCACGGGCACCAGCAGGCCCAGGTTCTCAGCGCTGAGGGTGGCAGAGCCAATGTCTTTGCCCGGGGTCTGGTTGTACAGAATGACACCGACGGCACCGGCGGCCTTCGCGAGCTTGAGCTTATCGGAGATGGCGCAGACACCACGCTTCACGAGAGCAAGCTTGCCAGTGGCATCAATGCCAGTCCACTGGTCAGCGAAGCAACCAGAGCCTACGTGTCCTTCAGTCAGTTATTGTCGCAATGGCGCAGTTATTAAATTCCTCCTACCTCTGGTGTCATCGACGGGAGTGTCAATGAGAGGGGCCGTATCACCACCGGGGAGAGTTGTCGGGTGGTTGTATTGAAGAGCAACGACGTAGACATCCTCGCCGTCCGGGCCGGTAACGCTGATCTCACGCGTCTGGGAGAAGGTGTGGTTGAAGTATTGGACCTTGGTGTCGAGCTGCTTGTAGAAGCGGCCCTGTACGCGCTCGAGGATGTAGTCAGAGGAGGCCTTGTAACCAGGCAGACCGAAGGCACGGTTGCCGCCGTTATCGCGGGCGATCTTATTCAAGTTCCACAGGTTGCGCTCGAGTCTGGCAATGTCACGTTAGACGCCTGCATAGGCTCCAATTGAGGTATGGAAGACTTACTCCTCGGTCTTGATGTCGGCCTCTGCCTTGTCTGCCGTGAGGGGATCGGTTGCGAAAGATCGCAGGGCGAACAGCGCCGCGGCGAGGGCGGTGGCGGTCTTCATCGCGTATGAAAGCTATTCTCAACCGCTAATTGAGGCACGAGATGAGTTTCAATGGCTTCTGGAGAATCCTAACGAATGGACTGATCAACAGAGAAGACTAATAGGTTCCAGTCAGCAGCGCGGCGGGGGACATTTATATGCTCCGTGTCTACGTCTTCTCGGCGCGCCAGGAGCATGGATACGGCGAAAACAAAATTGCGCGATAAGACGACATGCAGTGACACCGCATCGTGGGTAGCGGGGGAGTTTGCGAGCTCGGTTTGTGCTGGCGCATAGCAGCAGAGCTACGCAGGGGGGAGACGTTTGCCGTGTTTACGGTTGGCTCGCCGCAAAAACCTGGGCATGGCAGGGAGGGATAGCTTCGCAACATCGTAAAGATGCTCAGAGTGGCGGGACAAAATTTGGCTTGGATGAATCACGTCCCAGGGTCAGGTAGGGCTGCTCCTTGGCCGACAGGTTTACTGAGGCATCGATGCGTCGCAGGCGATGCTACCTCTGGCAGGTGAACGATGTCGGGTGTTCTTGGCAAGTACTTTTGCTAGAATGGATTGCGAATGTTGGTCTAAGGTTAAAGTCCAATTCTCAACCGATGCCGATACTAGGACGCGGAGAGCAGGTCAATGACTGGGGGGGCGACGCGGAGCAGGCGTAGAGCTTGAGAGAAGCACGGAAGTGGAAATGCGACAAGCTCTGGGCTACCGGCGGATCTTCCCCCTCTAGACTTTGTGGATCATCGTTGCTCTATCGGGCAGGTGCCAAGCCTTACGAGAGGGGCTTTTGTCGAGAGTGGCTGATGCAACAAGTCTAATCGGACCTTGGGCCGTTGGCTACCATACTCCTAAGCTCTTGTCCTTTGGTTTGGCATCAATCCCCTTCCCTCCCAATGTCGCAAGAAAGTATTATGAGGGCCACAAAGCTACTTTGGAAGCTTCAATATCAAGTGCTTCGTTGAGCGCTTGCGGCTGATTTGTTCTGGCCTGACCCGTCTGGTCCCCGACTTTCAAAGGACGCTCAAATGTGAGTATTGCACGGATCACATCAACAATCATCCGCGAATTGCCGCTTGTAAGCCTCTCGCGTGTGTGCCTGCATGCTGTAGCTACAGCGTTGCACTGCAGCCGAGGCCAATTGAACTCGGCCAGCTAAGGTCAGGAACATCGCGTCTCTGTACGGATTAGTTGGGTGCTCGTCCAGGTCCAAATCCGTACGTTCTTAAGGTGGCGGGTCAGTGATTTTCGCTGAAGCATCACTGAGAACCGAATCAACTGATGAGCACGTTAGTTCAGCCATCCAGCTTCTTCCCATTGGCGCAGAGAAATAGTTTGTCGAATAAAATGATAAATGCGGTACTTGTCGAAACATTCCACCAGTTCTCCGTACGCCGGAAACTTCTCACCATCCCTAGAGACGGAGACCGACCCTAGTAATGAGGCGCTGGGCCAAGATGACGGGAAAGGCATGTGCTTATGGTTGGATGCCGGCTCAGAGGCTTGGCAACGAACAATGCAATCACTTATCTTGGCGAAGCGGGGAGTTGCTGATTGATGCGATGACATCCATGGCCGGGCGTGCTCTGCCATCTTGCCTAAGTCTTGACTGCCATGTTCCCTGTAAGGTTTCTCTTCGGAGATGGCGATCGGCCCTACGACAGGCTAATCAGTTAGCGTCACGCGTGAGTGGGATGCCGGCCCAGCAACCTTCGTTTGTCAAAACTCGGTAAATCGCGAAGTATCCATAGTTGAGGTTTGAGATCATAATACTCAATTCTATCCGTACATTCTGTCCTTCAAGACCTGATGTGATGAGAATACAAAAAGAATGTTCTGATTTATACCCATTGGAATAGGTAAGTTAGTAGCTAGTTGGAGTACGGTACCTACCTATATGTAACAATCATGAAGGTCTAAATTATCTTTGTCCCAGCAGTCTCATTTATTGAAAGGTCACATAACGTTTCTGCTTTTAGCTGACATTCAAACTTTACGCAACGTCACTCGTACCGATATTCCCAAAGGAAGCCAACCAACAGGCAAGTTCAAGTGAAAATAAGCTTTATGACAGCTAGAGACGATTCTGCGTTGACTTGCATTCGCTAGCGTCCAAGATCTCGGGTCATGTTGGCTAAGTATTCGAGGACCTTGATGGTCGCGTCCTAGGCTTTATCAAACCCGGTTCATTGAGACGTTCCTGGTTTCCTTACCTTACCTTGGTACATACTGTCCGAGGTCGTAGTGGAGTTCGAGCCGATCCTCGATCACTCGGTGCTCGGGTAGATAAATGTAGCGGCCTTGACGCTGGTCCGCACTCTGAGACGCACATGGAATGTAACCCTCGTGCCTATATGCCTGCTCTAGACATAGGTACATGTAATCTGCGGGGGAGGGGGGACACTTTAAGGATTCTTGATGCAAAAAGAAACAAAACAGGCTCTCTATCTCTCCATGATAAATCCTGACAGGATGGTCACTGCTGGCAATTGCACACGGAGCCTGGAAGCCGAGTCCCGACAGTTGACAGTTCTAGGACTCCATAGGGTATCGGTGATATGGTACTAAGGAGATGCTCAAATCCCACACGCCTCTGTAAACATTCACCACACAAAGAGATCTAAGCCTGATGTACGCAGTCGAATCAGCCAACTCTTTCTCCTTCTACATCGCCTGGGTGCAACCTAGCCCGTGTGCCTCGCGTCATTCCTCGCTACCATGTGCCAGCCCTCTTCAACAACGCCGCTACTTGCAGACGCTGATACAGTAGATAGAGTATTAGCACTCCCTTGAGGTCCCACTTTACTCTCCAAAATCTTCTTGATCTCCGCATGTGCCACACCGGCACTTCGAAGAGTGGTAGATGGAATATTCCGATCAGCACCATGTGCTATCAGCATTCGAACGATATCGACCTTCTTCTTGATAAAAGCAGCTTGATTTCCTGGCGTTCCTCCATTTCTGACGTTAGACTTTGCTTGGATTGCAGCCATGAGTGGGGTACACTTGGTCGGACCAGAGATCTCGGTATCTGCCTTGAAGGATCGGAGAAGAACCGACACAACATCTCTGTTCCCCTTTTCGCATGCATGATAAAGCGCCGTCTTACCGTACACATCCCGAGAGTTGAAATCTATAGACGAAAGAGATGTGTCGCTAACCCTACTTTGAACAGGCGATATGTCCAAGCGCGCCGTTGAAGCACGCCGGAGTCTACTAGCCTCCGCAGCGACGCTGAGTCTCCGAGTAGACGTTGCTGCGAAGATTTCCTCGGCCACTTCTTCTGTCTGGCATTTGTAAAGAATGTTACGGCCGTGCTTGTCTTTGAAGTTGAGACAAGCACCATTTTCTAGTAAAAGACGCACAGCGGACACGTGGCCAGCCGTCACCGCCGCCATTAGGGGTGTTTCTCCGCTGCTGTCGGTAACTTCGAGGTCTTGATAGTATTGAATAACTTATTCGAGAACGCCGACTTCCATATCGTCGTCTGCTATGGCGGCGAATAAAAGTGGTCGCTTTTGTGAATCACAGACATCAAACTTGGGTAAGTTCATGTCATCCAACGCCGCTTCGTGGAAGCCTTTCTTGTGGGCCCAAGACAAGGCTGTATCAAACTCATTGTGAGGCGAGTCTTCGACGGGTCCAATTTCTCCTTCGACCCAGTCTTTGGTAGCCCAAAACTCGGCGTGGCTGCCACGGAGGCCTTGCACATGACGCAGAAGTTCATAGGTCTCCATGATCCTCTCTCTATCCCTTAGATCTTCCCGTAGTCGAAGGTCCATCGCAGTCTGAAGGTGCCGGCGAGCCTCGACCAGACATTGACCGTCAAAGAGTAGCTTCCCAAGTTTGTGGTGTAGTCTGGATGATCGAGCTAGGTCGATCGGTTGTTGCCTGTCGCATTTATGATTCGGGGCCTCCAGAATGTGTCGTGCCTTTGCGGTTCCTGCTTCAGTCTCACATAATATATTGAGATCTGCGAGTTGCTCGTCCATATTCTGCTGTTCTGCCTCACTGAATTCTTTCTTTCCCGTCTCTGCCAGCAGTCTTCGTATACCCACCGCTTCTTGGAGATGTTAAGTCACGTTATCAAATAGTTCGCCAACTCGCAGTAGCTCTACAATCTCGACGGTCCTATTGTATTTGTAGAGTTGTAGATGAGGATTGAAAGGGGGGGGGGTCCCTCCTCATGGGGCGCCGAGCGCTGACTCGATATGGATCCTCTAGGAACAATACTATGTACTCTAGGTCTGAAGATCCTCAGGTCCTGGTTTCCTTCGAGAAGAACCTCCTCTGCTAAACTGACTGCTGACCTACTCCATTGTTGGATAGTCCTTGCGAATATGGGATTATTGACTGTTTGGCCTCCGATGGCTACATAAGCAGGGCCAGGTAGGGAAGGGATGTACTGGGAGACTTCGACTTCGACAGGGAGTCTGCGCGCAACATAATGCATCCTCCCTATTATCTCGACATGCGGTTGCTTCGCTTCTAATGTTTCTGCACTACATGAAAATAGATGTAAGTCACGGCCGTTGATCATGAGTGGTATTTTGCTCACAGCGACAGGGTAGAAAGACAGTGGTTCAGCACGGAAGTGTAGTGACTTATTTCTTCCGACGCTTGTTGAACATCGTCTCGACTGAATGCCAGGTCCCACGCCATCCGCAGGTTGCGAGAAAATCCTGATGGTTTGCTTTCGAAGGATCAGCTGTATAAGATAGAGAGGATGCGTTCTACTCTATACGCGTAGTCTCCGATGCCGGCAACAAAGTCACTTGTTTAACTATGCTATACTGAGGAAAACCCTAGAATCTGGGGCAAAGAGATCGTAGTTACTAAGAGAGAGCCTTTGATTGGGAACGCGTGGAGGTTTTGTGTCTTGATGAGGATGGGTCCATTTAAGAGTACAGCCAATAGAAGCCGCCACGGAGCGTGACGAGACTTTTAATAAGGGTAGGGTAGGCCAAGGGGGTGGTATGACCAATAGTAATACATAGACGGGCGTACCTCGACGCGTTCCGATACTGAATAGTAGAGTAGGGTTCTAGAGATAAATAGTTGTAAAAGGTCCTATTCTAAGCTCTAGAACTGACGGGCTGGCATTAACTGCTCAAATTTCAGATCAATGTCCTCTGTTGTCAACCCTTTCATCTCAGGTACACAGAGCCAAGAAATAACACAGGCAGCAGCGGCCAACACAGCTAATATAAACCCGGTCCTTCCACGAAGATCCCCTTCATCGGTATTATAGATATAAGGCAAGACAATGCTAAAGACACCAGACACCACTCCCTGTGACAGCCAGCCAAGGCTTTGTGAAAAGCCACGGAGTTGAAGGGAAGATGTTTCTGAGGCAACGACTACTGAAGCTGGCCATGCCCCGCACCCACAGACAAAGATGATAACCATCATACACGCAGCAATGTACCTAAATACGGCGATATATGTCAGGACAAGCGACTGAGGCAATACCAAGGGCACTTACCAAACCGCTGCAGAGCTGTCAACGAAGCATCCAGCAATGCCTACGGAAACCCACAACAACACGGTAACGAACAAAGTGGTTACAAGAAGAGTTCGCCTACGAAACCGAGCCAATGTCCAGATGCTGAGAAGATTGGCCACAATTCCAATGCCGATCCCAATAACTAGAAACATGAGCGACTGACTAGCTTCCATGCCGACAGTTTGCATGAAATAGCTCGCGTTGGCAAGAAGTGTAATCCCGAAGAATTGTGGTACGTTGTACGAGAACAAGACGAGCCATGTCCGACGTCGGTTGTGTCCGGTGAAGCAATCTCGCAACTCGCCTGATCTACCTCCGTTCGAGGCCCTTTCATGCTGTATGGTATATTTGAAGGTTTCGATAGCGTCGGCTGCATCCCTAGCAGAATACAGACGTTCATACGCTTTGCGGGCTGCATCTTCCTGGCCCTTTCGAATGAGATGTACCGGACTCTCAGGTAATAATAGTGCCACAGGAAAAAGTACAATCGAGAAGGGCCATTGGGAGGCGAAGGCGATAGTATAGCTCAGGTCAGCAGGAGCGGCGAGAAGAGCAAAAACAACGCCAGAGCCAATGAGCTGTCCAAACAAGGTGAAGGTCGGGATTAGGCATAGCAAGAAGGCTCTAATCGTGACTGGAGCCACTTCCGATATCCAAGTTTGCGTCGCACAAACGAGTGTACCCACCCCAAAACCTTCCATCAATTTACCGACCAAGTATACACCACGACGGCCGCCCTTGTCGTCTATGCGGTTCGAGACAAAGCATATAGCGATACCGAGAGCCACAACCAGGTTGCCGAATAGTAGTGACATTCTTCGTCCATAACGATTCTGGAACCAACCTCCGGCAGCAGCGCCAAATACAAGGCCAATAGGAGATGCCGCCGTCCATACCCCTAGCCAAGAAGAAGGTATGATCAGTTCGTCATTGTGATAATCCCCAAATGCGATTCTGTGGAGTAAACCGTGAGAACATGTATGACAAAGGATCTTTTTTTCTCTGTTTGAGGAGCAGCATGGAAGTCATTCTGGTTTCTACTCACTGAAATCCTGGCATAGCTGATACAGAGCTGACAATGACATTGTCATAACCGAAAAGCAGGACAGCTATACACAGACCCAATGTGTAGCCAACAATTTTTGGATACACCCTGATGGCAAGATAAACAGAGGGAGGATTATCGCCAACTTCTAAACTTTGGTCGACGTGTTCAATCTCCTCTAGCGACCTAGTCTTCGTGCTGTTGGATTGAGGCTCGGACTCATACATGGTAATTATTATGGTGGTAGTTGTTGGGCTCCAATAAACATTTCCTTCCATGAACTCATGAGCTCCAGTACTTTATAGGATTTTTTCTGCTTTGGATGCTGGCTACAGGAGCTAAATAATCTCAAGCTGCGGGGGAAGTCACTAGAGGGATCCATCCATCGTGAGAGCTTTGGATACAGTAATTGATCTTCATGTCTGCTTCAAGCATTCTGGACTAGCCTGATACAGAAATAGCTTGCGAGGCAACGTTCAAGGGTAGGGGTGATTCTAGCTAGCTTCTCGCAGGCCGGATCGTGTGACTTGTCAGCAAATATCACAAACCTAGAGGCTTTTGCTGCGCGTGCTCACTCACCTATCAAATGCGATTCAGACATTTCGTTCTAGCGTATGCTGATGCTAGTAATGTAAATATCGTGATTAAGCATCCCCTAGTTGTTGATCTGTCTCTCTATCAGTAAACCCTGCCTTGGCGCGAACGAGGAAATCTCCAAGACCAATGCTTATTGAAGCCTGAACAGTGAACAGAAAATTCCCTAAAAGAGAGGAAGTTTCAGGTAGGTGTATTCCACATTCAGCGGCAGAGGTGATGTACTACGTGTTCGCAAACTTTTTCTGCATCGGGCTAAGCAGCTGCCCATTCATCTATAAAAGCCATGCGAGCGCTTCCCGTCTTACTGCCAATTTATACACACTATCCTGCCATCGTATGAACCGGTGTTCCGCGTCTACATGATTCAATTCTTTTCCGGGATAAGCACCATCATCCACAACATCAAGCATGGCTACAAATGGCTCAGATCCATTCCGATATCACCCCACATTTACTTTGCCATCTGGGTCCATAGTCCACACATGGTTATGCGATTCTCCCCGGGCTATCATTGTACTACAGCATGGATTCGGAGAATACGCTGAACGTTACGTCAAGTCTCATGCCGAGCTTATACCAACACTGAACATCAATGGATTTGAAGTTTGGGCAATGGATCTGTGGGGCCATGGGAGATCTCCTGGTACCCGAGGCATGGTCAATGTGCGATTGGCAGTGAAGGACCACCTCCAGGTGCGGCTTCGAGCTGCTGAAAAAGGCTTTCGCGTGTTCCTCATGGGACATTCGCTCGGAGGTCTCATCACAGCTGTAAGTGTCGCCAAAAACTCTTCCTCGGCCAGCGATGGAGTTATCCTCTGCAGTCCAGCGTTGCCTGCAACAATGATGGCGTTGGGAGAACACGCTATAAGCCTGGTTGCACGTCTTGCACCGACCATCCGCATCCCAATTCCCAAGTCACCACTTGAGGAATTGAGCCATGATACTCATTGTGTACGTCAAGCGTCACAAGACAGTTCCATGTACAAAGGACAGATCTCTTTCCTGGTCGCAGCAACAGCACTGCACGAAGCAAGACAGATGTGGCCCATTTTGCGTCATTGGACAAAGCCTACGTTGATCATGCATGGGACGAGCGACTCTTACACTAAGCATGAACAGAGCGAGCACTTTGTACGAGAGATAGCGTCCGAGGATAAGACGCTGCACTTGATCAAAGAGGGGTATCATGAGCTTCTTAACGATGCCGACTATGAGAGTACGCTACAAACAGTCCTCGGCTGGTTGGAATCTCAACTGTGTTAGCTATAACACAGAACAGTAATCACGGAATCGATACTCCTTTCATTGCCGAGAAATCGTTGGCGGATTCACTGTAATTACGCTGTATACGTATAATCTCTCTGACTGTCTTGACTAGATAACCGCTACCTGAGTGGGGTAACTTGCTAGGGCAGAAAACACCTCGCAAGCTTGATCCAAAAAGAGAATAACCCAAAGACATTACTAATGAGTCTCGGTGAAGATACAACCTCCGGCGCTTGCAAGACCAAGTAGCCCGAGGATTGGAAGAAATATAAAGTCGACAATTTGCATAAAGTCCGAGCCGGGGCGAGCCGGTGAAAGGCAACACAGCATGGGTTCGATTTATACCTACACAACTCAAAACCTTGCGAATAATTGATTATCGGCTGTCATCTATTTTCGGAATCCTTTTCTTCCTCTCCCAAGGAGCTGATGAGAATCATTGGGCGCCAGTTCGCGATTTTGTCGTTTCTTTAGCAATGATTTCTGTTGCTATGCCCACCATCCTCATTCATCTGGTTATGAGAAGGCTGTTCTATAGCCAAGAGGTTTTTGTGTCTGAGGACATCCGTCGATCTTTCATTCGCGGGCAAGGTTTAATACAATTCGTCCCACAATATTTGTCCCCTGTCTTATCGTCGCTACACGTTATTTGTTATCCCATTGCGAACAATATGCTGGTCTATGGGACAGCCAAATGTCCACAGCTCAAGAATACGTCACCGTCCCTCGAAGCCAACAAGAACAAAGATGTTCTTAGCAAGACACTGCTTGACGGTTGCGCCAAGTTGGCGACTGATGAAGCGGTCGACGGGACTTGGGCCCAGGTTGGGTTCATAGATCTTACAAATCCCTTGAATGGAGGAGTCACTTGGCAAGAAGTGCTGCCATCTAGAACGTGGGTAAATGTCGGAACACACGATGTATTCGTCCATGACATCCGCACTTTCGTTCACGAAGCCCAAGCGACCGAGGTACATTTTTAACTGGAGCTTGTTGATGGAATTCCCCATGGCTGGAACTTCACAGTGGACAAACCTTGGGAGAAACGCTACCTTTATTTGGGTCAGTCAGATCAAGTTCCGACTGCAATAATGCAAGGTAGTGCATTTGTAGCTGAAACTTTGTGGATACTACTGAATCACGCTCGCGAATAACGCAAGTGGGCTTTGACTTGGGCGGCTAGTATACATGGACCTCGGCAATGGTGGCTGTAGAAAGCAGAAACAGAGTTTCATGTCCCAAATACGAGTGGCATACCGTAGAAACTCACGAAACTCGAACTTGCGTTGGCCCGTGCACTCGACGAGCCATACTCTTCTCAGTACTAAAAACTCGCTGATCTCCGCCACTTTTTGAGATTTAGATTCTGAATAGAGGCATTTGTTGGCTAAATACCAGGTAAGACTGCGGGAGCACGGGCTAGCGCAAGTTCAAGTTTCCTGAGTTTCTACGGTATTATCCTAGTTGAATGGTTGATGAACCTCGTTCCGGCGATCGTCATACTTCAGTCTGCAATGGACCAACGTAGACTGCTGTCTTGGCCCGGAATGGCAATAGCTTGCGAGGTGGGGATAGTCCATGGTGGCTAAGTAAATTATTTCAGCTTAGTCGGACTCGATAGGCGTGTCCAGTCACACGCATCCTACTGGCATGAGCTTGACACAACCGGAAAATTAACTTGCACGCTTTCACTCAGTCTCAGTCGTGCAGAAGATCATTTCATGCTGTCTATGCCGTGAGTCCCGCAGCATCGATTGGAGGGCCCTTAGAGAAATTTGACCGAGGCTCGTCTCCATCCCATGATCACAAAACATTTAAGCATCAAGCTCGCCACTCTATTCTGGTGGCTGGCTTTATCATTCGAGCTCGCTTTGGGAGCTATACTTCGCTTTGTTTGACATCTTTGAGATACGCCAACTTCATGACTTCCCACCTTCTGCAACACTATTCGAACATTTTTAAAATCAAAATGAGGAAATCTACGGCTACGTTTTGGTTCACCATCTACGCTCCAGCCATGATCCTCATATTGGGAACTTCTCGCCTGATGGGGATGATGTCTCGTCTCTTGCAAGGTTCCGGAGGTCAGGGTCAGCCAGGTCTCCGGAAAAGAATGCCCTGTGTGGGATGGCTAGTTCCTTTCTTATGGTCCCGAATCTTGAATGCGACACTAAGGCAATGGATGCGGCTTTCAACCCGACGAATCTCATCTTCTGGGATCAAAGACACTGGCCTTGACGGAATTGCCCATTTCACATCCCATATACAGCGACTGTACGTTGCAGGGGCTCGTTTCACAGGTAGTGAGGAACATGAAAACTACGTCAAATGGCTGGAAGGCGAACTAAAAAGACTGCCTGGCTTAGAGGTATCCTCAAGTCATGTTTCTGTCCTTGCATGGCAGCCGAAAGGGAGTTTGGCCGAGTCAGTGTCTTTGACCCTGACAAAGGATCACGACCAAGGCTGCCCAGTCGAAATACAAGTGGCTGGAGCGGTACCTTACTCCCTTCCGACCAGTGGGCGGCAAGGACATCTGATATATGTTCCTCGAAGCCAGAAAATCTCCGGCAATGAAGTCAAAGGCAAAATGATCCTGAGAGACTTTCCAGCACGTCCTGTGCCTTACTCTCTTGGTTTGATACCTTCTTACTTCGCGACTCGCGACTTAGAAGGCGATCTTATGAACTTTTACGACAGACCTGGATTCGCAGACGAGGTTATCCACCAAGATCTTCTTGACGCTGGCGAGGCTCAAGTAGCAGGCGTCTTTTTCTTGTTCGACATACCACGAGACCAAGTTTTATCATACTTCGAACCTCACAAAGGTACACATTATGAGGTTCCCGCTGCCTATCTTGGTATCGAAGAAAGTATGGCCCTTCGAAGGGCGGCATCGGATGTTACGACCAAGTTCTATGCAACCCTGCAGATCAAGGCATACATCGCCAAGAAAACAGCTAGGTCTTTGACCGCCACACTCCCAGGGCAGATCGCAGAGCGCATAATCTATGTGACTCACACAGATGGAAACACATGCGTTCAAGAAAATGGCCCAGTGGCGCTGCTAGCCCTCGCTCGTTATTTTACCCAGTGCCCCTCTGGTCAAGGAAACGGACTATACAGTTTGCTTTCAATGTTGGACATCTACACATCTCTCGCGAGGGCAGTCTTGTCCACGCCAAGGAACTTGATGCATCGTTCGATGACAGTAACGATCCTACAACTCTTGTAGTTCCCATCGAACATCTTGGAACTAGAGAAATTGAGGCAGTCCATCACCCACATGAATTTGGAAGGCGACTTTGCCATACGGGACGTGGTGAAGCGATGTTTTGGTGTGTAGGACCCAGCCCTCCTGTGGTACAAGCTGTTATAGACGCGGTCATGAGGCGGGAGTTGGATAGGGTCATTGTCACACGAGGTGTTTCTACGCCAAACCTTTACAAGACACCGACATTTACGTCATTTGGAGGAATTGGGACCTACTATCACAATCTGCTGCTGCCGACGACGTCTTTGATATCTGGCCCATGGTCCCTATGGGCGCCTAGCTTTGGTCCCGATTCTATAGATGTATTCAGACTCAGGCAGCAAACTCTTGCCTTGGGGGATGTCTATGTACAACTGGAGAAAGCGTCTCGCGAGGAAATTGTAAGCGGATATGAGACGTGTCGCAAGACGAGAGCCTTGTCAGGCTCATCATACATCTTTGAGGAGCCGCCAGAGCAGGCATCAGATGCTAAATCATTGGTTGGCAATGTCATCAAGTATTAGAAGATCACTGCCACTTCAACTTGAAAACTTCACATCATTCGGTTCAGTCACTGACTGGAGTTATGTGATATCTATGTACGACATGCTTCCTAGAAGTTGCGAAACTGAATGAAAGGGTTATCCATGCATTGTATGGCAGTTTATTCGTCATAAACTTGTTCTACTGTTATTTAGTTTACCCGCCAGGTTTTTACCCGCCAGATATTTCATTCGCTTTCTGCATAGACTTCCGATTACCCAAGTAAATACTAGAAAGTTGCACAGGAGTCTTCCCCCGATGTGAGCCTCAAGCCTTGATCCTGTTATAGTAACATGATCTCCAAGTTACAATATAGCTACAAGGTAGCCACATTATCAAAAATGGCTCTTGGGGCTCTAGGCATAAATGCCTACTTAATGGTCCCAACCCATGAAAAGTCCTTCATGGCTATTGAGTTGCCTGTGATGTGATTATGCTATGCCGTATAACTAAAGTCACTTTACTTAATATTCAGCAGCTGACACATTCGTTACCCTCTATCAAAGCCCTTTCCGGATTCCTAAGATATTCTTGACACTGCAAGAATGTAGACTACTGGTAGAACAATAGGGCGGCTACATCTTGCGCAGACTCAGCTAAATGTATCCCATACTTCGCTCGGATGTTAGCTAATGTCTTCCTACACAAGTCTACCTGGTCTTTGGTGCTACGATCTGACCGAGCTACCAGTGCAAGTGGCCAGATGAGATTGTAGCAGTGGCTGCCTTTGTAGTTAGGGACTTCTAGTCTTTGCCCATCGATATCGACCTCTCCAAGCACATAAGGTATGCTGCCACAGACTAGTTCCGTCAGTTGTTCGAGGCTCACCTCCGCTGTCGCCCTGCAACTTTCAATCAGCTCGTCACAGGTCATGTCGTTATGATCCTGAAAACTCAGGATAGATTGACAACACTGAAGCACACCGTGATAGAAGATGATCTGTACGGCGTTATAAAGGATCCATATGGTTCCGAGCCACTGATCAGAATATGTGATGACAATGTGTCCGCCATCCTTGACTGTTGTCGTGGGTTTCCACGATACAGGGAGAGATTCGATCCACTTGTCCATATCTATCCTGATCCCTATCGCATCAAGCAATGCTGTGACCAGTGACTGTCGCTGTTCATAGTGCGTCCCTGTGTTGAGGCGCAACGTGGTCAGACGTTCCGTTAGTTGAGACCAGAAACGGCCTACTTTAGCGACAAGTACGGTAAAGCCTGTTGGAATGTGCTTGATATCAGGCTCCGGCTCTGGAACGATCAGGCACTCATAGCTCGTGTGTGTAATAAACGCATGGATTTGCTTATTCGGTTAGTCCTTGGCTGATTGTATAGTATCTTTCAAATTGTGAAAGGCACTCACTAACTGCGAGAAAGTCCAGGAATAAAGAGAACACCCAGGTAGCTTGCTTAAGAGGTTTTGGTCACGAGCCCTATATAGCTCAGCGATACCGCGCATGTGCAGGGCCCGATTGCTGAGAAGCCCACCATCCATATCCTAGGTCAGTCGGGTCAGTCAAATCACTTTAAACCATAGTGAAATTATCCGGATGGGGGAAGTCACCTCGAATCGATGCAGTAACATGATGGCTGCCACAAGGTCGTCTTGCCATGTGTGCGGTGGTTGGGACAGGCTCTCGTTCACTGCTAAGAGAGCAGTGCCATAAGACCTGCGCGCCCTATCGTACAGCTGTGACGACTTATAACGACGAGAAAGGGCTAAAAATGCTGAAGCATGCGTAGCTGGCCATAATGCGGATGTTGGAGATGAAGACGCGAGGAGGTTTGGCAAAAAGTCTAGGTTACCAGAGTAAATTCCTGGCAAAGGCGGAACGCTGTATTCGGCCAGAAAGTAGGGGATTGACTCCTCATCACGTCTTGAACCGAACCGCAAAGTCGACTTCCCAATAGCGTCAGTTGGATACTGGATATTCGAGTTCGCGGCCTGCGAGGAAGCGCGCCTGGGAGCTAGGCACTCGCCAGACCGTCTAACGACTAGCATGCTAGCAATTTGTTCTTCGGGTTCTCGAAAGTAAAATCGGACTTCTAAAGGTCTACGGTAGCCGGGACATTGGGTCTTATACAGTTCACAGCGACGACAGCCGGGGCGTCTCTCATCGCACTGATCATTTGGCAGCCGGATCAGTATCAGATCCACAGCGGATGACTGGGATGTCAAATGAAGTTGTAAACATACCTTTACTTTCCGCTCTCTGCATAGCGTACAGCCTAAGCTCCTTTTGCCTGGGTAAACCATGTTCTTGAGTTCAACGCGAGTGATAGATGTCAGGATTTGTAAAGACACTGGGAAGGTTTAAGAATTGATTGATCTTTTGCTCGGTTTTGGCCGCAGCGTAACTCTCCGGTTCCCCTCATTTTTCTCCTCTCTTCATCCTACCCCGACCACCTCAGCATTCGCCCTCTCACGTGCCACCCGCCTCATTCCCTGACTTCCCTCTCCACTCCGTACTTCAAGCTTACCGTTCTCTATTGGCTTATCGGCTTAGCGTTGTTACTATTCATTACTACGTCACCACTTCACCACTATGCAAGTTTTCAAGACTGTTGGTTTCTTCTCCAATATCAAACATCTTTCTATATCCACTGATGTCGGACATTCCTATATGCACTCGATGCCTCCGACCTTAGAGCTCTAGTATCTCGGAGTCTTACCAGACTTGCATCGACTGCAGGGCAAAACATGCTACTCGCAAGGCCTAGAGAAAGCATTCCCGCGTGGTTAGTAACCTCTACTAAATAACTACTACTTTTAGCGTATACTGTTAGTGTTCTGCGAAGGGTAGCCCCCAGTTCTCGTGGTTTGCTACCGTGCGCTTAGGTACACTAGCTTAGCGCTAATTATACTAGAGTGGGGCGGCATAATTAGTCTTAGTAGTTCTATTTGTAAATTAGCTTATGTAGAAATAATATAAAATAGACCGATCGGGACAGGGTATAAAAGAAAGATCCTTAATTGAATATAAATCTAAATAAATTAAATACTTTTTATTTTAATAAAAATAATTATACATTATTTAGTTTATTAATTAGAAATATAGTTTAAAAAAGCTGTTAATAATTAAAATACTATTTTATTACGACTTACTATATATCACTAAACTAAAAGCTAATTAACCTAGCTACGGAACTGATATTATATTATATATAGTTAGTTATAAGTTAAATAAAAACGTACTCACTCCTCTTAAGATAAAAGAACTGTAAAATAAGTTATGTAATGATAAAATAAAGACTGTTTTAAAATTAAAATGATTAAATATAACTTAAAGATTAAATAATTATTATAGATTATATTAGTTAGAAATAACTTAAAAAAATTAAAATATTTATTTAAAAATGAAACTTATATATAATATAAACTCAAAATAAGTACATAAATAGACTTTTTATAGCTCTTTTGATAATTAATTTAATATAAAGTTTTATAATTAAGTTTTACTATTTTTATTAAAAAGCGTATTTAATAGAATTAAAGCTAATTATTAAAGCTTTATTTATTATATAATTTATTTATAATCGCCGTCGATTAATCCGTAATTATATTATAGCTAGCTAGTCATAGTAAGTATATTAATAGAAGATAAGGTTATAAAAGCTAAATAAATAGTATCGTAATCGTAAATAGCTTTTTTAAAGCTATATTTTTAAATCGTAAAGTAAATAAAGCTTTAATAATTAATCGTAGTTTTATTAAAAAAGGTTTTTAATAAAGATAGTTAAAAGCGATTATAAAATCTAATATTAAGTTAATTATTAAAAAAGCTATAAAAAGTCTATTTTTAAGCCCGGCTTAAATCTATACTATATATAAATCTTATTTTTAAATATATTCTTTATCCTATATATATTCTATTTATTAATAATTACTAAGTAGATCTTAATAAGCGCTTACTCAGAGTAATTATTATAATTATTTTATTACTTAATTACCTTTTTATCTATATATAACTTATTTATAGTTCTTCTATTCTTTTAAATAATATATTTATTTTATTTAATATATATATAATATTATAGCTCTATAGGCCTATAGGCGGGCCCTAGTTTAGTTATATATATTAATATAATATTAAGTCTCCTTTTTAAAAGTCTAGTTCTATAGACCTATAAATAAATCGATAAGTTCTTTTATTAATCCGTTTTAATTTTATTTAAGAATATTATTAAAATATCTCGAGTTCTTTAATTTATTGTTATTTTAAATTAGTTTTTAAAATAAAGGAGCGTAGTTTTAAAATTATATACTATCTCGTACTATCGCTCGTTAGTTAGAGATATAAGATATTTAAAGGAAATCGAAGTACTATAAATATACTCGTTATATTCTTTTATAATATATTAGTTAGCGCAATTTATAATCGTAAGTCTTTATTATTATTATAATTTTTTTATTTTATTAATATATAAATAGTAGATCGTTTTTTAACTAAGGCTAATTATTTAAAATATAAAAAAGAAATAAAAGAACTTTTTTTATTAGCGGTAGAGGCTTTATATTAAACGTAAGCTAAAATAAATAAATCTTTATTAAAATTAGATCGCTTTTAAAAATAAAAAGATAGTTTTTAAAAAGGGGAGGGCTATCTTAATTCTTTTAAAGAGGTAGTTTTTTTTAAAGAATCCGTTATAATAGGAGGTTAATTTAGCGTATTTTTAATATAATTAACTAGGATTTTATAATAGTTAGGAGTTTTAGTTTTAATTTTAATTTTAATATTTTTTAAAAACTATTAAGAGTTCTAAAGGTTTATAACGGGTCTTATATATTTTTTTATATTTATAATTTTCTATTTAATTAAGAATTCTCGTATTTCGTTCTTAACCTTATAATTAATAATTTATTTAACTTTATATTCTAGTTTTTAGTTTGATAATAATATAATTTTCTATATATAAACCTTTAGGTATAGTTTAAAAAATAAAATAAAAAGACTAAATAATATTTATTATATCTAGGAGTTTTAGTTCGTAGTTAATAAATAAGACTTTTTAATAATTTCAAAAGGTCTAAGTTTTTTATAATTTAATTTATTATTTAGTCGTTTTATTTTAATATTATAATAAAGAAATAAGTACTATCCCCCTTTTTTAAAGTTAGTCTTTAATCTTTAATTTATCGCGTTTTTTTTATATATTAATATATAAATTCAAGGTTTAAAATATTTTTTTTTAAAGTTCTCTAAGTTTTATAACGTTTATTACGCTTTTATAGCCTATAGTCCTTACTATACTTCTTTATATATTATTAATTAAAATCCGTAGTTAAAATAAAAGGGATTTTTTATACTTTTACTAACTATATATTATATACGAATTGGGCTATTAATAATAATATACTTAGTTATTTTAATCGTAGTTTATATAATAACGGAAGTATATTTCGAGAATTTAGTTGATTTTTTTGTTTATTTATTAGTTTATAAGTAGAAAGAAGTTAATAGTTTATAATTTATATTAAGTTACGAAATTAAGGATTTTAAAACTTTAAAATAAATAGAGAGCTTCTATTAAATACTATTTCTTTTAGTATACTATAATTAATAACGACGATTTTAAAAATATATATATTAACTCCTCTACGTTACTAGTTTTTTTATAGGTATAAAGTAAGCGAACTTAATAAGTCGGTTAACTATAACTAAGATATTATCGTACTATATATTCGTAAATAGTTTTTTAGATTTTAATATTTAATAATAAAGTTCTATAAAATCGATTACTATACTTCTATAAATAGTTATAATAGTTATAGCTCGCTATAAGGTTTATATAGGCTATTTTTATTTTTTTTATAAGTTGCGTAGTTTTAATTATTTTATAATTTTAATATATATAGCGATTTATTATAGTACTATTAAATCCGTTTTTATATTTTAATAATTTTTAGTAACCGTATATAGGTATATTATAAATTTCTATAATAAGCTTAGGGGTTATTTTTTAGTCGGGCTAGTATTAATCTTTTCGTTATTATAAAAAGCTTTATAGTTAGTATAAAGCTACTATTTTTTTTTATTTAAAAATAACTTATATTTTTTTGGGACCGTAATTTCGTAATTAGGTTTTTATTAAAAGTATTTACTCTGCTATTTTTTAAACCTTTTTAATAAATAATTTAAAAATTATATTTAGATAGAATTCGCTCTATTTAATTTATAATTTATTTAGATTTTTATTTATTATAAAGTTTATAAAGTTTTTATAATTTATATAGACTATAACTTTATATTTAGTTCTAAATAATTATAGTTTTTATTCTTAAAATACTTTAATAATAGCTATTAGTTTTTATTATAGATTTATTAATTTAATTTTATCCTATAAAATGCTTTAAAATAGAAGTAATATAAGTAAAGTTTTTTTATTTATTTTATTATTTTAATACTACTTTTATAGCGAAGTTTAAAGTATTAATCTCGACTTCGAAAGGCTTTTAAAAGTCTAAGATTATAATAACTAGTTCGGAGACGATTATATTTTTAATTTTAATAAATACTTTTTTATATTTAGGATCTTAAATGAATAAATTATCTTTTTATATTAAATTATTAAGGGGTTTAATAATAATAATATAATCTTTAAAGAATCGTTAATAAAAATTAACGAATCTTAAAAATCTTTATACGTCCTTAACGTTTTATAGTATAGGCTAGTCCTTAACTATTTTTATTTTAATATTTATATATAAATTTTTTTAGTATAATAGTATATTTAAAGAAGTCTACTTTTTATATATAGAATTTGTATTTAGAGGGTTTAGTATATAGTTTAGTATTTTAAAGTTTTTAAAATACTATATAGATATATTTTTTATATATTTTAAGGTAAAGAAAGAAGATAAAGATATTATTAATATAAATAATAATAAAAATATCGACGTATTCTTAGAGTACGTAGTTAATTATTATTTAAAAGGTTATTAAAGTATTAGTAAGTCTAAAGGGTATAATAAAGTACTCGAAGAGTCCTTTATAAGTTTAGAATACCGTTTTTTATTTTTTTTATTTTTTATTTCGGATTTAATTAAATACTTTTTTAAGATTTATATAATAAACTAGTTAGCTCTATATAATAGATCTTTAAGCTCGATAATAAATAATAAAAATAACAATTCTTTTTCGTAATTTTATTAAGTTTTTTATAGTCGATAACGGGTCTTTATTTTTTTATTCCTTTTTTTAATATAAAGAATAGGGATAATTTTATAAGAGAATTTAATAGTTAAATATATCCTTTTTTAAGTTTTTTATTAATATATTCGTTAAAGTACTTTTGTTTTTTTTAATTTATTAAATATATTAAATAGAACCTAGGCTATATTCTTTTTTTAAGTTCGATTTCTATATCCTAGCTACTATATTTTAATAATTCTATTTTTTTAGGTTTTATAAATAGTTTTATATATATCTAGTACTCCTCGGGTATAGTTTAGAGTCGTTACGATTCTCGATTATTAATATTAATTATAAACTTTTTAAAGCTTTTTACTATTTTAATAAAAGCTATATATTGTATTTATTTTCGTTCTTTAGAAGTTCTTAGAAATTTATTTAAACCCTTTTTTTTTTTAAATAGTTTAGTAACTAGATTTTTTTATAGGACCTAGCTAGTAATCTAATCTATTTATAGGTTATACTTTTATAACTACGAGATTTTTAAAATAATATCTATATTTCTAATCTCTATAATATTATATTATAGTTATTTTTATTAATCGTTAATAAATATCGAGAGGTATATAGTTTTTTAATTAATATATTTATAATTATAGTTAACTTATTCTCTTTTTATTATTTATAGTTAGTTATTATGGCTAGCTAGTCGTAGTAAATATATTAATAGAAGTTAAAGCTACAAAGGCTAAATAAATAATATCGTAGTTATAAATAGCTTCTTTAAAGCTATATTTATAAATCGTAAAATAAATAAAGTTTTAATAATTAATCGTAGTTTTATTAAAAGGGGTTTTTAATAAAAATAGTTAAAAGCGATTGTAAGATTTAATATTAAATTAATTATTAAAAAAGCTATAAAAAGTCTATTTTTAAGCCCGGCTTAAGTCTATATTATATATAAGTCTCGTTCTTAAATATATTTTTTATAATATCTTTATTTATTATTATTTAACTATTTATTAAACGGTCGTCCGTCCTATTTATTTATAATTGTACGTCCTATTTATTTATAGGTATCCGTTCTTTATTTTATTATATAATCGTAGTTACGTAACTTATCTATAGTTTTTCTATCCCGAGAGGAGTTATTTTAAGTCCGCTGTTTTTATATATATAGTATAGTAGCCGCTATAGGTCCTATAGGGCAGGCCCTAGCCTTGTTATACGTATTAGGTCGTAACACGTAGCCGCTACGGGCTTACGGGGCGGGCCCTAGTTTTAATTATATACGTTGGGTTATAATAAGTTAAAGGAGGGAAAGTTAAAAAGGTAAAAGGAAATCCGAAAAAAAAATAGTCTATAGAGATAGTAAAAGTATTTATTAATACTATATATTAATACTATGTAAACGATATCGAGAATCGCCCGAGTAGTTAGTAAAGGTAGAATATTAAAATAAATAATTTATTTATATAGCTCTAAAAAGTTATTAATTATTAAAATATTATTTTTTTATTATAATAACTCTAATTCTATTAATATATTTAATACTACTAGCTAGTTATAATATATTCATAGTACTTTTTAATTTTGATTATTAATATATATTTATTAAAACTAGCTAAGAATGATATTTTTCCTTAGCTTAGATTTAATTTATGAAAATTACTTTTGCGTAGCCTTTTAAGTACTATGTTTTTAAGACGCAGTAAGTAGCTTCACTCTAATATAAAAGTTATTAATACTTTAATTAAGGACTTTAATAAATATGCCTCAGGGTATGTAACCTTGCTTCTCAGAGAAATGGGCCGACCACTTTAAGCTCTATGAAAGTGTGTTTGTAAGGCCCCTAGCACCGCTAGATATAACAAGACTACACGTATCCCATCAGCTTCGAGATGGCATTACTACAAGAGGAAGTACTCTTATGAGGGGTCACAGTGAATCATTCTTCAATCCGTTCTTATTCCCCTTTATCTGCCGATCAAAAAGTCCGTATATGGGCAAAGTTGGAGAAAATTCTGGATATGTTTGTACTGGTGCCATATAACAATTGATTGAGTACGTCGCTTGCTATAAATGGTGTATTATTACGAACGTAAGCGGGCATGTCTTTGTCGAGCCTCCACGCGTCGGTCAACATACCAACCGCAAACAGTGGAATCAACGTTCATCGTATCCGTGGTGCGTCTTATCCGGCAGGTCTCAGTACCAGGCCGTACCTGCTACTTCAGATTGTTATACCTGACGATCCTCCGCTGACGCCGCGCGTGCTTAGCATTAACGTCAGTGCTTCAAATTCGGATTCTGAACTTCTAGAGATGTACTTTCGCATCCCGGGTGGAAGAGAAGATGCTGAAACAAGGCTTCGGGGGTCTGAACAGAACAAATATTTTACGGGCTGCCTGAAATATTTAGCTCCTTTGATCTGCCCGAAACCTCGCAGGAACCATCTAAAATCGGCAATCTGAGATCGTGTCGCGATGCTTTCGGCTTTCAAAGGCACCCTCAGCTAACATCCTTCGGATGGCGGCGTCCCGATGGCTGGCTGATCTGTGAATGCCCAGCAGAGATTTGGGTTGTGATGTTTTATTGAACAACAAGACACTTACGATAGATGTTGATGATGCTGTGACAGGTCTCATGTCTGTGCGGGGGTGAGTTCGAGATCAACAAAAGCGGACAACCCGAGAGGCTGGGGCTGAAGCGAGGGTAGCACCCGGAAAGTTTAAGAAATGGGGACTAGGCGTTGTTAGCTCGATGTCGAGATAGTTGCTGTAAGTACATGTTGCATGCAAATGAATGTGGAAGAAAAGCAACATAGAACCTCAATTACTCCAAAGATCAACTATCGCAAGTTCCAAGTTTCTTGTTATTGCTCTCTAACGGTGTTTTCGTGGGGAAAGAATGCAGGGAATCGCGAATGTAACACCGTTAGATTAGGAAATTCCGACTCATTCTCGAATCACTCTTCTGGGAATCGAGCCCTCGCGTCGCCGGATTGCCACAACACCACACGCCCCGAACTGGTGTTCCTCGAAGACAGACTAGCCCCGTTGGTGGAAGTCAAAATCGCCAGCTGAGAGAGTGTCTCAGACGCCATGTTCGCATTCCCATCCCAGCTGACTCCACACCTTAGCTTCCGTGATGATGTCGACGAGAACAGGATAAGCCCCCTGTGACGGCGCTAAGTCCACGAGGAAGAGATTCGCCCGGTGAGTACGCTTCTGTAGAGCTGTATCCCTCTAGATCAGACCGCGCGGGAGCGATGCGCGAGGCTGTGGACTGCCACGGAAATGTTTCACATCCACGAACTACACGCCTGCGCATTCCGTCCAATGACAAGAAGAAGTGACAGGTGTCAAATCGCCCATGATGTCTCAACGTTTCGTCCCGTTTGGGAGCTGTCAGGCCAGCCTTGGAAGTTATCAGAAACCTTGATGATTTATCCGGCATAGTATTTGACTTTGCTTGCAAGGATTGAAATGCAACCATGGCCCGGCTGCACACACGGAGAAACTCGCAACTAGCTAGGAGCTTAGGACCTGCAATATCAGATTGTCGTCGATTATTCCCCTGACCTCATCATGAATGAGCGTCCCGCTCACTCAAACTACGTCGAGGGTGACGTCCTCCCCTCATAGTACGCAGCCTAATGCCCATCAATGACCATGACCGGTGCCGCAACCGAGACAAGTTCCTCCTGGATGCTCTCTGTGGCTGGGGAAGACTGACAGCCATGTGCGGGTGTGTGTACGCTAATTGCCGTTAGGTCCATCGACCTCGTTCCGGAGAGGAGTCCAGGCCTTGTAGCTTAGCATGCTCACCCAGCGCCATGGGTCGCGTGGCGTCACCGGCGACGACCAATTCTTGGAGACATAACCGCTTTTGGTTGGACTTTCCTGTCTTATGGGGATTGCGACGAATGCGGATTTGAGTGTATGCGTAGCTAATAGGCATGCTCTCGAGAACGATGTATCAGTTGCACACCCTCTTGTAAGGAGGGAAGCCTCCGAGAATCGAGACGTTATCAAGGATGCCACAGGAGAGATCGACATTCGTCTCTCGTTATAAGGACAGGAGTGTCTTAAAGGAACGGATTCTTCGCCTTGAGCTCCGAAGCTTGCAAACACAGACTTCGCTGTCGAAACCACTTCCCCTGGATTACACATCATCTTCTCACAATGGTGAACACCAAAGTCGGTCGTCAGCTTTCAGGCGATAGCTCAAATGTTGCTGGCACGCTACCCATGCTCAACATTGCCAACACTACGAGGAACAACATTGTAGCTGTGCTCGGGGAGTTTGTCGGAACATTCCTCTTCCTCTTCTTCTCATTCGCCGGCACGCAAGTTGCCAACACACCTCTTGGAGCACCAGGATCGGACCCCAACCTTCCATCCATTATCTTTATCGCGCTATCATTCGGAGTCTCCCTCACTGCAAATGTGTGGGCATTCTACAGAGTTACGGGGGGCATGTTCAACCCTGTGGTAAGTATTGAGATGTCCCAGCTTGCCACGTTTGTGTTACTCACACGAGATCTTCGCAGGTGACTCTCGCCCTCACTATTTGTGGTGGTCTGCCGCTACTGAGGGCTCTTCTCATCATGCACACTCAAATCATAGCGGGACTATGTGCAGCTGGGGTTGCTTCTGCGATGTTCCCTGGTCCCCTCTCCGTGACCACAGGACTGGGTGGTGGTACAAACACGGCCCAGGGCTTCTTCATCGAGGTCATCTTGACCGCTCAGCTAGTGTTTGTCATTCTGATGTTGGCCGTTGAGAAGCACCGCTCTACATTCCTTGCCCCTGTTGGCATTGGTCTGTCATTCTTTCTCGCCGAACTAACTGGTAAGCACGAACCATCTTGTCTTCAGGCTAAGCACGGTAGACGCTAACATAACGTTCCTTAGGCGTCTACTTCACTGGTGGTTCCCTCAACCCAGCCCGATCTTTTGGACCCGCTGCTGTCGATGGGATATTCCCCAGCTATCACTGGATATACTGGCTTGGTCCGGTCGTTGGATCTTTGATTGCTTGTGGATTCTACCTTTTGTTGCGCAACCTTCGATACTATGAGTGCAACCCCGGCCAGGACGATGATGGCCACGAAACGAGCAGTGAACGCAGTTTCAAGCCTTGACATAATAGTCAAGGCTTCCAGCGAACGAGGATCCGTGCCGCAGAACTCCGCATCTGCTAGAAGTGGACGACACCAAATGGAGAACAAGGGCGAAGGGCGTTAGGTGTTGGTCGTGCTTCAATGCTTATGAGGTTAATTTAGTTTCAATTGAAGAAAAAAGCGATTCCACAGCATTCAGGTTCGGAATACCCAAGCTTGAAGCTTATTGTGAGGGGATAGATATCCGAGCAGCTCTGGTTGCCTCTAGTCCAGTGGAACCGAATTTTTAATTTACAATGATGCCATCATTCTGGAGGAACTCGCTCAAAGTCTTGCCCCATACGATTATGATGTAGAGATGCCTTGAATGGACTAGATGTGTGCCTCGAATCGTCATATTCTGAATTACCGAAGAAAAGTTGAGCAGGGCATTGTGCTACAGAATAGATAACACATCTGGACACCTAAATTCAAGCTATTGAATACTCGCTGCTGCGGTGGCTCAAACATAAGGTAACATGCTATCTTGATCGACAAAAACCGACTAGGAAAGTGTCGCCATCAACGACTTGAGGTTCGGGTCACGACTAGCCTGCGATATTTTTCGTGTTTCAAGATGAGTACTCTGCTTAGGATTGACATAAGCGAGAAGTCAGAAAGCTCACCCTTCTCCAAAGTCTAGAAGCAGGAGAATGTGTGCCTCGGAAAGCCTGCTGAAAATTAAAGCTGTCGCCTAGAGAGCGTGAGGGTGAACTTGAAGCCACACCATCAGCCACAGTCCAAATGCCTCGATTAAGCCCAATTTGTGGCGTAATTCGGTCCCAAACCAATCGTTCATCAATGGTCATGGCAAGGCTCATTTCTGTGGCGAATATCAGCATTGAAGTGGATTAAATCATAATCACTCGCTGAAGGACGACTGATCTTGTCGATCCCGACAGTTTTGAGAAGCTCCATGTTACGCAGCAACATGTGCGCAGCCACTCACCGAGCTAGACAGGTGTCAAACCACATTTCAGGGTCCTGTTCCAGAAGGAATTGGCGGAGTTGGACGTCGATCGGGAATATTGCTGTCAAATTCTGTGGCTCAGATTGGAGGGCGACCCTGCAGGATGCCGATCAGATAGGGTTGACATACCAGGGTCGACGGGATGGTGTCATGAAGCACAGGGGTCAGCCGAATCCTTCGCCCCCGATGCTGCTGTCAACAAGGCTTACTGTCAGTGGTGATCCCGGATCGAGGAACTTGCCCTCTAATTTCACTGCAAAATCTTTTTCTTGCTTGCTTTTTGACAGCTCGATTGAGTTTTGTTGTTGCCTTGTGACGGCCCCATTGGACGGTCACGGGTCCGACTCCGATTCGGTCGGTCAAGTCCGCAGAGCTGGGGTCTTGTGGCACATGACTTCTAAGCCATCTCACCAGGCAAATGCACTGCGCTCTGAATATGCGACGGTCTTACCGAATCGCACGTGGCTGCATCACTTGGTTTAATCTCAATAGTACCTGTATCGTGGAATGTCGAAGCGGTGCAGTGGCGAAAGATGGCCAAGCCCGATCCCTCCGTACGCTGCCAGAATGAAAGGGCGAGAGAGGTGGTAGTCGTTTATCTGCCATTGAAATTCAATGTCGTTTGCACTGCTCAACCTTGAGCTAGTTGTCCAGACCACACGATTGTGTGCCATCATGGATCTCGACTGCATCACATTGTTGGTCCATGCTTCAGGCACCGAAATAGGGCGTCCTCTCATACACAGGAATGCATACTTGTGACCGTTTGGCCTGGAAGCTATGCTGAGGGCATCCATCACGGAGTCCACGCCGCCTCTGCCGCAGCCCTTCTGCGGCATTCTATTGGTTGTCTAAAGAGATGTAGCCCCTGATCCAAAGCTCTCAACTACTCTCAAGAGCGCCTCGGTCTTCGCCAAAGAACTTTACCCAAAATGGAATCGATAGCTCCCGGGCGTATGCGAAGACTCATGACCAAACACTGGTGACTACTCTAAGTCCAGCTTTGAGGTCACCGTTCGAGCCGCATAATAATCGTATATTTGGGGCCAGGCTCACATCAGCCGGGCATTCGTACTTTAAGCCGTTTCATATCAAATCAAACAGGCCATTGTGCTCCAACTTATCTCAAACCATACTACATAAACCTCGCAAGGACACAAATCCCAGTATTGAAAAAGATCTAGTAAGTCCCCGCAAAGCGTACGCACGAACTCGAGCTGATATAGCCCACTCTTCAGGATCTTAGCTAACCCTCTTAGCCTTTGCATTCATCCAGAACCCGGTCTCAAGCTCAAAGAAAGACTCTTGCTAGCTACCACGCTGGCTAAAAGAGTTGATGCCGCCAGAGCCAAGTGACGATATGGCTTTCCCTGTGGGACTGCCACTCCGAAAGTTAGATCACAACTTCAACAATTGCGAAGGAAGTATCTTGTCATTTGATCAAATGCGGAGCCTGACCATGGCAAATCCTCTTTGGCGAGAGTTCATCAACAATCGTTTAGCCCTCGAGCGTCGTTATGGGCAGCTTCTACACTTGTACGAAGAAAGGTTTTCGTAAGCTGTGGCTGGTCAAGGAATCTGAGTCGGTCTGACGTAAATGATTGCAGACAATATTTTGGTGGCTTTGTACCAATCCACTACGGGACCTCAACCAGCAGCGCCATGGGTCCAGAAACTGTGGTCAAACTACTTCTGACGCTTGCAGAACTTTCAATGTCCGAATCTTCAGACTCATCTGAGAGCCCCTTCACAGATGATGACGATACGCTGAAAAGAATGGGTTGGGAGGATATACATGCAAAGCAGCCTCGCTGGGCACTTTTGTCTGACACGTACGCCGCAGCAACAGCCGTCTCTAATAGAACACCAGGAGTAAGAACACATTCAGCACCACCTGCTTTTCCGCTGTTAACGTATTTGCTAAGCACAAAACTTCACTCCAATTTGCAGGCTCTCCGAAGCCTTACGGGAGCAACCCTATCCTGATCCATATTGATGGCGTCTCTGATGACGAACTTAGTGATCAACTATTCGTCGCCAGAGAAGCGGGGTGCATTGGTATTGTCATTGAGCTTGTGGAAACCCAGTTCAATGGGAGAGTCTTGGAACCCAGTCTGCTCAGCCGGCTGAGCACCATGTGCGCGGAGTTCCAATTGCTATTAGCAGTAGATGAAACTCTGACTGCCATACGTTGCGGTGCACCCTTTTGCTTCCAACGGGAGGAGTACTTCGATGTTGCATCCCCCGACCTCGTCTTTTTTGGTAAGGCTACTGGCTCTCAGGGAATTGCCATTGGCTTTGATGGGCAGTTTGTCAAAAGGTTTGATCTCTCGGGGAGTTCACGAGGCCGGGCTGTTCGTAAGTGGCAGAACAACTTCCAAAAGCCACTGCCGACTGCAGACCTCATTCAGGCCATGGCCACGATCGATATTGCAGTCCAGGGAAACTTTGTGATGCTGAGTAGAATCATCGGACAGACCGTTCGCAAGTTTGTGCTCGAACAGGCGGCGGAACGAGGACATGAGGTGACTCCTCCGGACATTCTTGGAGGGTTAGAGAGCCTAATCTTTGTGAGGAAGGATATTGCTGGAGAGATGCTGGTCATGGGCGCGAGAACGGCTGGCTCGTGGATACCTTGGGTTAAGTGGCTCCCTAGACTTGAGAAAGATATGACGAGAAGCGAGGTGCTCGAAGAAGTCATTGGCAGAAGTAGCAGATCAGCTCGCGAGGGGCTCTCTAATTTGCTGGTGAAGCGAGGATCTAAGCCGACTTGGTGTTTTTGGTGCGGGAACCGAACCACAGCGAGGAAAGACGACTGGTGTCGGAGGTGTTGCATTGGCATGTGTTATGAGGACGTATGTGGGCGTCACTTCTTTCGGCATGATTGTATCTAAACCAAGTTGTCTCTAAGCATTTCAGATAGCTAGGATCACTATTTACACCTTCCTCTTGTAGATCTCGGGGAAATAAAATAAAGGAGGGGCGTTGGTCTCTGGTAGAAAAGTCTACTTACTTACATGTACTCAGTTAGGCGTACACTGCTCACAACAATAGGTTTACACCGACATGCGTACTTTCTACTCCATGACAAAAGATTTCACAACCAAAGACTCTGCTCGCAACATCTACTAGATCTATCCAGCTTAAATCCTCATTCCACTTACAGAACCGCCAAAAAGCAAAGTCAATGATCTAGCCCGGACTTAGACCGGAGGCCTTCAGTGTGTTAGACTGACGTGATAACCAACTACACCACCAGACCGCCTATGAGTTGATTTCTACGCGAAGTCTACTCATGGTGCCCTTCCTTGGGGAGAGGTTTCACTCCCGTCATGGACGATGGCCAACGCTAGTGAATTACTCTGTGTCGCAGAGGTCGGAATCGATCGCGAGATGACTTACTTGGTCGATTAATCGAGGCCATGAGCAATTCTATATCTCTAGGATGCTTGGAATAACTATAGATATAATCCTTTGTTTTGGTAATAAGAAAGAGAAAGAGAGGTTATAGTGAGCGCAAGATGGGATGAACTTGCTGTCACAAACAGTTGAGAGCTTAAAGTGTGTTATGTAAGCAGCACGAACTCCGCTCCAACCCATTTCCGATTAGCGACTTGTTCACGATGACGTATGATCTGCCTGAAGGCGTGTCGCATGACCTCGAAGTCGATTGCGGGGTTGAAATGACATACTTGACTAACTACTTAGGTAGTACCTTTGGACGCTATATTCGGTATTCCATCAAGTTGTTGGCTGCCTGCCGTCTCATAGTGTAGCATCAAACTCTAATTCAGATGCTACGATGCCTTCTTCCGACGAACTTCCACAGACAAGAACCCCTCTGCTGGGCAATAATGGCCAGTCAGAGGCAGCAGCTAGAATAGTGTGTTTCCAAAGTCCTAGCTCGCTCTTATCAATGGAAGCTTGAACAGCTAGATGCTCGTTGAGCTAATATCAAGGGTAGCGATCAACTTCACGCAGTGTTAAAAACCAGGGTAGCAGGGCCGTGTCTTTCATCGTCCACATCTTCCGGGGTGGTCTCTTTTCTCCACCAACCTTGACATACGACCCACTACTCCTGCTCCTAAATCACGACGAAAAGGACGAAAGAAACAGACTCACTGAGAAATGGAAGGACAACAAGCTGCAAGAGCTGAACTTCGTTGGTGTGGTAGTAAGTTGAGCTCTTGTCCACAGTCCACTCCACAGTCCTACATGTTCCCCGGCTGTTTTGACTTGTTGCCACATTAGTACGCCGGGCTAACAAAAGGACAGTCCGCTCTGCTCGCAAATGTCCTCACTTCGACCGGTTCATGGCCGAATCTTCTGCCCCCTGAAACGACCACTCCCTGGCCTGTGCGGACCTGCTGGTTCTGCGGCATCGCTTTCGCACTTGCCAGCGTCTTGACAGCGGCAGACCAGACAATTCGGCTCCATAGAATGGCAGGACATAGGGACGGCTTGGTTCTAATCAGACAGTCTCTGCGCACCCAACAGCGGGTTTTGATTGGCACTGAGTGGAAGTACCGCCCTCGTAAAATGCAAGTCTACGCCTGGCAGTTGTCAGTTTTGTTCCTGGCAGGCGCGGTTCTCTGCATGATCTCAGGAATGATCTTCTTGGTTTGGAGTGCCGTTGCCGAAGACATAGGCAGAGGAAAGGGTTTTGATGACAACGGCAAGGTAATCAAGATCATATTCTTCATTTTGTTTGATGAGACTAATACTCATCAGGTTGCTGTAATATTCACATCATTTGCCCTTATCACAGCTATCATCTTCGGACTAGGCCAAACAACGCTGTACTACCCGGTACCAAAGGGAGGCGACATTGAAGATAGTGACTAGAATGATAAGTGAGTTCATCCTCTCAGATATTCCTAACGGCACTTGGCTGATAAAGAAGCAAGTGGATTGATGCCATTCAAGGCTAAGCCATCGAGCACCGCCATTACCGACTGGAGACTAGAATTCCATGAATTTGTCCCATGTAAACAAAGGTTTCAGGGAGTAAAGTCATAATCCAGAGCCTCTTTGACAATCATTCTCAAACCCTACTTAGACGGCGCAGTTGAGCGAAATATATTGATTATGGCATCATCTACGTCAACCAAGTGAATTGATGGCCTTCGTGCTCAACTCAAGCGGCAGACTCCTTCGGTTTCTGACCCGCAACGGAGTGGTAGAATACATAAGAGTGAATGCCGGTATTGAGTAGATCTTTTCGTACATCAATCAGGAAAATCTCGACCTCAGGGGCAGACCATCCCAGACCTCGTGTAAGTGGACCCATCGTGACTCCATGTATGCCGTCGTAGAGAACAGCTTTGCAGTATGCTCCAATCATTTTCAGATCTTCTCCCTTTGGCCACTCGCCCACGGGAACCTTTTGAACATCTTGTACTTGATTGATAAAGCCCGCATCGTCAAGACGTTTCGGGCTGATGTCGGCGACATCTGCTTCGATGCCAAATTTTCCAAGGCCTTCCCACACAAGCTTCATCATCTTGGTGAGGGCATAGTCCGGGGGCATTGTATCATCGTCGCAATTGAAGTTCCACTTCATGTCCTGGAGTTCAATCCAGCCTCCTGGTTTCAAGGCGCTGGGCAACGTTAGATAATATTGGAGTAGGATCTTGAGAATGATATAACCTACCGGAAAGCTTGGGCAAGGAGCTTTTCCCAGTCTTTGATCGCTGCACCCATGTTTCGCATGTGAACGTAATCAAGAGAGTTTGCTGGGTACAGCCATTCGGCTTCAGCATCGTCAACAATGAAAGCAACATTGGCTGGGACATATGGAGGTTGAATAGGGCTGAGATCGATGCCCGTGACCTCAGCTTCCGGATATTCGTCACCCACTGTGAAGATTAGTCCCTTCCTTTGTGATTCACGGCCAGCAACCTATATCAAATGGATCAACTCACTGTCAATTGCCCATATGCCAGTTCCGGTTCCAACATCTAGGATCTTCTGAGGACTCTCGAGGGGCGCACTGTGTAGTGCCCCGCCGCAAAGGGTGACCACCATGGAGTGCTTCATATCCTCCCTTTCTTGCTCAGCATCATCGTTAGGAAATGCATATCTGCCTTCCTTGAACTTGTGGTATCTCCTTTTATTTTCAAAGTTGAAATCACGAATTGTGGACGCCAGCGTAGTTGATGCGTTGGATTCTCTTTCGGACGCTGACTGGTAACCGTCACCGTCATCATCGGTCTCGTCTTGGGCCTCCACGACTGCATTTGGGGACTCAGATGCCGTCTCTAGTGGTTCCTCTACTAATGCAGCCCCAGGAGATTGGCCAGAGCTCGGTGACGTGATTGTTGAAATCACAGCCGGAGGCGACTGGGCGGCGGTGGCTGGTGCAATCGTTGGAGATGCTGCCTCAGCCTCTCGTACAGGGGATTTCGGAGGAGTGCTTGAGACAGCCGGTCGCTCAGCCATCGTATTTTGTGAGTCAATACACGCCCGAGAAATTTTTTGAAGAACGACTCTTTGAAGGAATTTCGAATGCTGGGAACTTGGGACGAAGAAAATGAGGAGAGGAGGGAATATGACGAGGAGGGAACAAGATATTGCATGTTGTCGACCGTTTTGTTTCCCCGCTCGTACTTGGCGAGATACTCAGACGCAGACGGCTTGCGAGGGTTCGAATCCTGATCCGCCGTATCTCCGGGTCGGCATCGAATCACATTCAAGATCTCTGCATAACATGTATGCTCATTCCACTCGGCGTCTGCAAGATTAACAAGGAATGGCGCGGGGTTTCTGTGCTTTCAATCGCGTGTCTTCTTTCCGAAAACACAAAGAATGAAACGATGACTAATACATTTTACCATAAAGTCCAAAGTTCGAAGCCCTTCGAGAGAATGGCAGCCCACCGATCAAGATGCCATAGCAGACGATCAAACGGTCTCGTACAAGACACCAGAGCGGAGAGTGTCAATGCTCGGCGAGGGGCTCATCCCCAATGCAAGAGGCTGGGGCCTGTAAAATCATTCTGGGAAATTTTCCTTGATCATTCCAGAATTCCCAGCGTATTACAACGGTCTGACAGAGTTCGGTTAGTAACAGGAGGAGAGCTGTGGCACACCATCTGTCGGAGCTAAGTCCGACCCCCCGATGGCCAAGTCCGGACCGGTCGGGGGTACCAAAAAGCCTGCACAAGAGTGGTCAGCTTTTGCGGTTCTCACAATCCAAAAGCTGCCTTCCTTTCAGTAATCACATATTACCTACAATAATGTGAGTATTCAAAAGTTAACTGTTGATTGAAGGTCAAGCAATTATATGCATCATCAACAGTTTCCTTCTACTAATCGGTGTGATATGTCAATTATACAATACCATCTTACTCAGGCGTCACTGTTGTGCAGAATTCACTCAGGAGGCCTTTTGCCTACATGGACGCCCTGTATTTCTGGATACTATTGAATGTATTATTCAAAAGCCGTGGCGCAACCAAATATGTTGAACCTTGACAATTATTCCTGACTAAGCACTTTTGGGACACTCAACTCTTCCTTGAAACCCATCTCTCGCGGCCGTCCTTCAGCTGCCTCGCCGAAGGTATCTCACATTACAGATAGATGTAGCAGAATGGACTACCTCCAAGTGTATTTAGCAAGTCGCTGATAGGCCTGTTGGATGCGTTCGGTTCCTGTATTACGAGATCGTCAAGGCGAGCGTCACGGCTAGGAGGCGTGTTCAAAATTGTAATTGTTCCAGCGATGTTGAAAGCCTCGCCTAAATGAAGAGCCTGCCACAACCAATAGACGCGGTCGACCATCGCGTGGTGAAGAAAGAAAGTCGGGTCATTAGTGGACGAAAACAGGTCGGAAGCTTCACCGTTGACAATGAAGTGCCCGGAAGTATGTGTACCTGCTCAGTGTCAGATACTCTGCTTGCTTGAAGTGGGTTGACAAATTATGACTTACCCAGAAATCCATCACCAAAGCGGCCCTGGAGTTCGTTCTGGAATGTCAAAACGTTCTCTGCCGCAGCGCCAACGGTAAGGTTCAACACATTCTCAGGAGTCATCCAATGCTGGGATGTCCAAGCGCTGATATCTCTGGAGAGACAGCGAGGATTATAGGCAAGAGGGCCGCCAGGGTTGACTGCCAGACCATCAATGCCAGGGCTGACAGGGCCAAGATGAACGGTCATGCTTGAGCAGGTAGTCAGTTCTATGTTCTTTCCTTCTGGTCCGAAAGGAGGCTTACTTGGCGAAAGGGCCGCTTGTGACACAACCACCTCCCTCCCCAGAGGGGATGTAAACACCACCACCCGACGTGCTGCCGTTGTGATACTTGTAGGCACCATTGCCACTCATGCTGGTTTCGCTGCCATCAAACATGGGCGACTTGGAAGGATCCTCTCGGTAGGAAAGCCAGTTCCAGTACTAGCACACACCTCGTCAATCACTGGAGTTCCGATTGCCCTCCAACGCCATTTACTCACTGGTTGATAACCATTGTAACCACATTCCTGTCTCAAAGCATTCTCATAGGCCCACGTAAAGTAGCGATGCCACGTGAGGAAGTTGCCGGTCCCGTGGATGCTCAAGGTCTGGTTGATGTGAACAGCAACAAAGTCATCATATCGATTGCGAGCGCCGGGTGCGAAATCCGTCAGCTTGGAAGGCTTAGTCAACAGGCAATTGACAGCGCTGGTGTAAGCCTTCTTTTCGGATCCAGAGAGCGAGTTCCTGTTGACGTTGTCAGTGAGTAGACCTTGGTTCCCATTGAGCAGTTACGTACCAGTCCCGGCGAACACGCGCGTTGAAGAGGGTGCAAGAGTCCCTCTTGCCAAAAGTGCCGTTTCCTTCCGCCGCTTGAAGAGCCTCGATAGCCTGAGCCTGGACCTCCGACAGTTCGTCGCCTTCAGAGGCGAGAGCAGTCGCTCCGTAGAGACTCAGCACCGCGAAGAGGTTGAGGATACGCATTGCGACGCGGACGGCGGCTTTCCTGGAGTCGGGAGCTGGGGTGCGAAATTCCGTGAGACTAAGAGCGCTAGGCAGTCGGATAGAACAGGTAACGGCGATGATAAACCGTGGCAATCGTTATTTATCTTCAATCTCAGTGCCGACAGGCAACCTTCTATTATCCATGTCAAAATAGCGCCGGCGCGGTGGGATGACAACGGCACGCCTCCAAGAAGTTCTAAACAGGTACATCGGCCGGGAGGCGAAAATGTCGACAGGCTTGATGCCCAGGCCGTATTAATTAAGTGGTGGATGCGTTGACTCCAAGATGAAGAAGCGTTCTTAACCCTGACCATGTCTGCATGGTGGATAAATCGTTGGTTGGCTGTCGTGGACCTTTTCCGAGGTCGTGACATGCTGAACTTCAAATGAGCCGGCGTGGATCGAGTTAGAACCCCAGACATGCTGGTAACAGCGTTACATTCCTGGTCAGCGCTAATGATAGCAGGTAAGCGACAGTGTCGACTAACTCATAATAGTATAGGCTGAATCATGAACGGTCCCTTCTCCTCGAGCCTTTCCCTTCCCAAATGACCATTTTCAACTTCGAGTTCCCAAACTCTATTGTTAGTATTATGCCAAATTTCTTGCCGTGCGTTTCTGCTCCGGCATTTCGGGGTTTCGAATGGGCCCCCGGCAACGGGACCGGCTCGGACAAGTTTCTGCTTCGGGTGCATACGATGATCCAACGACCTTGGCATCCCACAAGACTGCGTTCCACCCTTGTCCTTCTCATGCCGGAACCATGGCTAGTTTCGCCGTTTCAGAGCCGATTTAACCGACATTTTCGAAGAGGTAAATAGAGCCAGCAGAGAGTCAAAATCTATGAACTACCTTATTTCAGTAAGTGAGTTCTCTTGAGAGCATAGTGCCTTCTTTATTGTATGATTTTGAAGTCCAATGTGAAGAAAAGAGGACGTTCGCATTCCATTACTTACCATTAAGCAATAGCAAGTTTGATTTTGCTTAGGACTTCATTCTTCGTCAGCCATGAAACAGTGTTCTTGTGCGCTCCGCCGCTTGCTGCCAAAATAGTCTTCCTCGCCTGTTGACATTTTTATGGCATTTTTGAACAACAAAGAGACATTCTCGAAGACTCCAAGAGATATGATACTTCAGTCACTGCATGGAGTTGATTTCCTTCTTGTCATCCTCATCTACATGTACCATTACAGCCTGCAGCCGCGTTAAACTCCCCGACCCTCTACCTTCTTTGACTGGAATCTACGAGTCTGGTTGCATCCGCTGCTTACGTGGCTTTCGACCAATATGGCATCCTTTAGCACGATGCCAAACCTATGTCTGTGACGGATACCATCCTTAGAATTCGCTCAAGATGCTGAAACCTTTTACGTTGGTGACTGGCGTTTGGTATTTGGCGTAGCTCAAGGCGAGACAGTCAGGGTGTAAATAGAGATTTACTTAATTGCTATGGAATGATGTTGGGAAAACATGGATCTAGGTGCTTGCGCAAGTCGAAAACATGTGGTATGAAGTGGTAAGAACCTGCGAATTTAGAACGATTGCAGGCATAAGTGTTTCTCGTGGCTTTTAGAGGCTCGCGTCGTCATTTTCTTATTCTTGTGTACTTATCAATGCATTGTACTTTCAAAGGCTCCAGCGCCTTGGTACCCTCCATTTCGTTCTCATTTGCTTTTTAACGCGCGGATTCCATTCGTTCGCGCACGCATCCTAACCGAACCTATTACACGTCTGTTCCCAAGTTTCGGGCCTTTCACGTCTTCCTTTGGCTTCTTTTCAGGAATGCTGTGCTGTATAAGTCAAGGGAACATCAGAAGGGGTCTGCCTGGCGATATCATTGGCGATCTGCGAAATGATGGCTGAGGTGATGGGGGTATCGCTCGGAACCCATCCGATCAGTACAGGTAGTCTCTCGTTTCCTATTCAATCTCAGCACCTGGAAACTAAATGAAGACCTCCACTATTGAGAGGATAAGTGAGTCTCACGGAAAAAGTATTCGAGGAACGCTCTGTTGGCCACTGGCTTGCTCGGAGAGCCCCATACAGCTAACATTAAGGATGCTTCGCCTAAGAACAACGGTGTGGATGATTCGGGAAGTGTAAATGTTGGGTTAACACGACTCATGGCTAGAGCATGTCTTGCACGGGCGTTGGCCATGGCGGCTGTGCTTATCGTTGTTGCATCACCAAAGTAGGTAACGAAACCGTCGAAAGTCGCCTTGTCGAATCGATTCGACGGATCAAAGTACATGTCTCGACGTGATAGGCTGCCATCGTGCTCAATGACGTTATGCCGGTTTAGCATATCTAGATCGATGAACTGAGAAATACGTGAAATTGATCAGTACAAGTTCCATGAAGTATTTAATAATATAGATACAGGTATTTCGCCTCACGTTTGCGTTCGGTATTGAGTTCAGCTTCAGTGCTGGCGTGAACGCAGCCGTAGCTAGGTCTGCTTCAATATTCACCGCATCTTTGAGACCTTTTATGACGATATCGAGAGTAATGTTGCGACCATTGTGAGGCAGAAAGCCATGGTTGGCGAGAGTATTTAGCATCGGGCAGGGCGCGCGTACTGGGTAATAGCATGTCAGCAAGGAAGACGTGATGCAATGTAAATCAGGCGTGACTCACAGTCTCCAGGATTCGGTGGTGTCCACGTGAAATGATTAGGCTTTAGCTGGCATGCTGCATCGTAGCCTGGCACTGAGGTTGATGGTGGTAGGATTGACTGGAACGGGCACCCACTGCCGGCGCCAGGAAAAGTCGGAAGTGCGTATGCAACCGGCACTGAGCCTAGTATTATCAAAGAAAATTGCATCTTTTCAACTTTTCTGGCGGATCACCAAACGAGAAGTGAAACAAAAAAATACGGACCAATTGAAGTGGACGTTTTACGCAGGTGTGTGTAAAGACTTAATCAGCATACAGCTGGAGGAGGAACTGCAGGTTATCAAATGATGATTCAAATGCATGTTTTCGAGGGTTCAGGATGTTTAATATAGAAGCAGCGATTGGAAAGAGAGTACTTCCCGCTCTTTCCGTTCGTCCTAACAATGATGGACAGCTAACGTTAGTCGTGAGTCCGTTGCAACGGCTGTCTTCCGAGGCCATTGTTCAAATGTTGATCTTCAACGTTAGTCCAATTTGTGGCTTGAACCCCTGATTTCTATGGTCTCTTACATGAACTACTTTCCCGGATCCTTCACGAGCCGCAGTTCGCGCCCAGCTTAGCGGCTCGATGGATTCCCGAGGTCATAGCTTCTTGCAGATTAAAGTCTGTAAACTGGTTGTCGACTTCGCAAAGTTTTGGAATCATGCAAGAGCTCTTTGTTCCTATTCCCCGATTGATATTTCTGCAGTTTAATATCACGTTGGCCCTGAGTCAACATTGTCGCGCAGTCCTGAAGTCATGACAAAGCAGTCGCCAAGATCGGAGGACGGCAGGCTTAGCGCATTGATCTCCAACTCAATCTGAATGATGCTACCTTGAGAAACCCAACCTTATTTTCGCAAGCCCGAAGGTAAATCTGCGTCTGGAAAAAGGTTGATTCAAGTTTTACCTTACAGTAGCTCACATGTGACAACAAACTCAATTGGCACCCCAAGTTGAGTTCGTACTTGATGAGAAACTAGCATGCTTCCCGATATAGTGCTCTCCAACGCGATAATTAACCTGCACTCAGACGCTATACCAATCAGAAAACAGGCAGGAGATTTCGACGGTAAAAGCTATCAAGAAATGAATGAGTGACGAATAATGTAAGCCTGACAATTAATACTCATTTCACGTGATGCTGACTTGGTGCGGCACACTCCAACATCAGATGGCAGATGACCCGAACTTGAATTCACACACTCCGAGGACGACGGTTAATATCGTACCATTTGCCAAGCAATTTTTTCACTGTCTGTGCATTGACAAACCGCGTTTCACCAAGCTGCTATCTCTATAAGAATAGTCAATCAGGATTCATCTATGAAGTCAGCGAATGAAGTAATAACAACATGGAAAGCAAGGCTTTTTTGTAAAACATAAGACCTCTGCAGTATCGTCCGGTTTCAAAGGTTCATTCACGAGTTCTCCTATGCCAACATATGGTACTGTCTTTCACGACGAGGAATGAATCATGGAAATTTGTGGCTGGAACTTTGTGTCATTGTCATTGGCGTAATAGCGGCTCAACCTTATTGGGTTGCAATGCCAAGAGGTTCCACGGCGTAACCGAGCTGCGCAATCGCATTGGCGCGTACGGCCGTTCCTGGATCAGGCAGGTCGCGATAGAGTCGTAATGGAGCAGAAGAAAATATTGGCTCTGGGCTTCCTCATTAAGTCTTACGTCCCCGCGTTTCTGGGGAGCCTAGTACGCGTCGAGGTTAATTGATAGTGGCTCCGGTCGTTGAGCTGCTAGCAACATCACCAGCTTCCTTATCTATCGCCTTGGCGGTGATCACGCGAGCGAAGAGATGCATGCGTCGCTTCCAGTTCCGTGGTTGAGGGAAGTCTAAAAGGCCAGCGAGCCGCTGCTTTCCGCCCAGCTTGTTGGGAATACCTCCTCGCTCGCCCGATCACAATTTCTCGTTTCCAGCCACCATACGGCAACTTCAAGTCTTGTGCAAGACCCCGCCAGTTGTGTAGTGACAATCCACGAGATGAAGACGTCCGCTCTCGCATTGGCCCTGCCGGCGCTAGTCAGCGCTGTCAAGTGCAAGCCCTACGTCGAGTCCGAGAAGCTCCAGGAACTCATTCACATCGAGGACCTTCTCGCCGGGTCCCAGAAGCTCCAGGATATTGCGGACGCCCACGAGGGAAACCGCGCCTTCGGTGGTGGCGGCCACAACGCGACCGTAGACTGGCTCGTCGAGGAGCTTGAGAAGCTCGACTACTACGACGTCTACAAGCAGCCCTTCACCGAAGCATTCGCCGGTGCCAAGGCGACCCTCTCCGTCGCAGGCGATGCCATTGACGCCCGTCCTCTGACGTACACACCTGGCGGAATCCTGACCGGCGCTACCTTGGTCAACGTTGCCAACCTTGGATGCGAGGCGTCGGACTACCCTGCCGAAGTCTCTGGTGCTGTTGCGCTCGTGTCGAGAGGCACTTGCAACTTTGCGGTCAAGGCCACCCTTTCCAAGTCTGCCGGCGCTGTCGGTGCCATCATCTACAACAACGACGTTGGCGCGCTTTCAGGAACCCTCGGCGCGGCTTCGGATGGTTATGCCCCGACTGTGGGCATTACCCGTGAGGAGGGACAGGCCCTTGTTGCCTCCCTTGCGGCTGGCCAAGGGCTGACTCTTGATCTCAATGTTATCTCCATCATCGAGAACCGTGTCAACTACAACGTCATTGCGGAAACGAGGGGCGGAGACCATGACAATGTTCTCATGATTGGAGGCCACTCCGACTCTGTTTTTGCCGGCCCTGGCATCAAGTAAGTTAACATCACTCTAAGATACGGTTGGAGAGACGGACTGACCCAACTCTTTCCAGCGACGATGGCTCCGGTACCGTTGGTGTTCTCACTGTCGCCAAGGCCCTTACCCAATTCACCACCAAGAACGCCGTTCGACTTGGATTCTGGGGTGCGGAGGAGTACGGCAAGCTCGGCTCCTACTTCTACGTGAAGTCTCTCAACAGCTCTGAGGAGGAAATCTCAAAGATCCGAGCATACCTCAACTTCGACATGATTGCTAGCCCCAACCCCAAGCTCGCCATCTACGATGGTGACGGCAGTGCCTTCAACTTCACTGGCCCCGCCGGCTCTGATGTCATTGAGAAGGATTTTGAGGAGTTCTTCGAGTCCAAGGGTCTGGGCCACGTACCCACTGAATTCAACGGCCGCTCTGACTACGCCGGGTTCATCGAGAACGGCATCCCGTCTGGTGGGCTGTTCACTGGTGCAGAGGGCCTCAAGACGGAGGCCGAGGCCGCGCTGTTCGGTGGCGAGGTTGGTGTTGCCTACGACGTTAACTACCACTTGATCGGCGACGATATCACAAACTTGGACAACGATGCTTACCTTGTCAACACCAAGGCCATCGCCCACAGTGTCGCCAAATATTCCATGAGCTGGGAAACCCTTCCTGCTGTTGAGTTGAAGAAGCGCAGGTGGGCTGCAGACACAGCCCAGCATCTCAAGCGTGCTGCTGAGTTGACCGGTCACTCCCACGACGGACCCTGCGGTGGCGGCTCCCACTTCTAAAGAAGAAGCACCCGAGTGACTGACTCCTACGGGGGGGTAGGACTCCAACCATGGATACCTAGCCTACCCTCGGCTTAAAAATAGACGAGAAATGAATGGATGACAGACTTCATGTTATTTGCCCTCCCGTTGCGTGACTGAATGCAGTGTGATATTGCTACAGGCTTGCCAGGATCCTAGTAAACCGAATCCTTCGCCTGTCAGCATCGCACGACACTTTGGGAGCTCTACTCTTCAATTAGGCAGTTCTTTCGACCAATCAGATTGCACTGAGTTTCTGTCTTTTCTAGAGGAAGTAATAAATGGTACTTTTGTGGTACTTTTGCACAACCAACTCTAGTCATCGCTTTATACATAATCAGAAGAAGTCCAAATCCCGTAGATACAGACAATTGTGGTAAGGCTAAATGAGCTTGATTATGATGTCGGAGGGTGCCTCCGTATCCGCGACAAGACAGGCGAGTCTGGCCTCTTGCATATCTCGGCTATCGCAAAAAGGTCATGTGGACACCATTTTCCAGCTGTTGGAACTTATCATGCAGCTGTCGAGCAGCCCACTCGAGACTCTGAACCCCTGGCGTCTTTTTTGTATGCCCCATCTTGTCAGGCAACGACCTACTGTCTCCTAAACGAGATAGCCTTACTCAATGAACCCAAGACATGACTGCATCATCATGATCTTACTAGCGGAGGCGGAGCAGTGTGGCACAGACTTGGCCGAGGTCTAGGCAAGGAGCAATTGAGAAAATATGATCGCACCGGATAAGCAGACTCATCACATTCCTACACCAATCATAACCTCGGATTGGCAACATCCTCCAGCGTCGATGCCTACGGCTGGGTCTACGGCAGCAAGTCAGCCGCCCCCCTTGTTTCCTGTTGGGGGCCGCTTCTCCCCAAGAAACCCTAGAAACACCGTTGGTTGACCCCTGGAACGGGCGCGAACCCCGGTTCTTCAGTCCACGAAGAAGGTTAAGGGCCTCTCCGCTGACAAGGAACTGGAACACCGGGCAGGCTCGCATTCCGACTTCTTCCCCGGGCATCTCCGGCTGATGATGGCGAGGCCAAATCCTTCAGCATTGGCAGCACTGTAGCAGGCTGTAGGGCGACCTATGAGACTTGAGCTTGGCACCTAGTGGGACGCCGGCCACCACGGACTTGTACAGGGTGCGGCGAACGCAACCACTTCCGCGATCTCACCGGTCGATTTCGTGGGGGCCGAGTCTGAATCTTGTTTCCACTTTAGTTTAGGCAACTCTTCAGTCCTTGATGAGGAACCGGATCATGACCAGTTGCACTGCATGTCTTAACTTGATGGCTCATGGAAACTTGCATAGGGCTGCAGCGGCTGTGTCGTATTGCTACTCAGGTTATGAGGGTCGACGGTAAGTATCTTCGTACTGCGTACTTCGTGACTGTGCCTCCTACGCCTCAACCCTTTAGTCTCTTCGTTTCCGTACCTCACATTCGAGAGCTCTGAAAGAAGTTCAGTCGTGTAGCAATATATAAGAGGCTCTGTTCTCTTTGTTTTCGTCCTGTTCTGTCTTCATTAGCATCAAACAACCACTCAGCATCTCGCTCATTCACCCTCCCGAGCTCCCGTGTCACAACAGGATCCAGCTTGAAACTTTCACTGCCTCTTTGCATCAACATCCACACCTTATACGGCGAGCTTTTTGGCTTTACTCAAGGTTCTTACCTCATATCCTTTGTTCAAAATGAAACAAGACACGATTTTGCCGACCCATGGGCCTCTGCCTAATAGCCCTCCTGCTCGGCGTTCAGTTGGACGCGTCCTCTTGGTAGCCCTCTTTACCAGCATCCTGGTCCTATCCTTCCTCAAGGGCGAGACTATTTTGTCAGCAGTAAGTTCACTTTCGGAGTCCTTCTAGCTAGTATTGTTCCCCAACCTTGTCACTTCCACGACGCTAACTTGATGTTTTCACCAGATCACCGAAAATGCTAAGGGCTGTGAGCTCAAAGCTCATGGGACAACAAGTACCGCTGCGCTCCGTGTCCGAGATCTCAGTCCCCTGCAAGAAGACACTGCTATCTCTACAGATGGTCGTTCTGGCTACAACCGTCGTGACGAAGATGCGACTATTGGCACCGACGGACGTTCCGGATATAACCGACGCATCCGCAGGGAGACGTCAGATATCACCACGGACGGTCGTTCTGGGTACAACCGCCGTGAGCAAGATACCGCTATTACTACAGATGGACGATCTGGATACAACAAGCGCGAGGAGGCTCTTTACTCTACAACAGATGGCCGATCCGGATACGACCGTCGCGAACAGGCTACTGACGCCACTACTGATGGAAGGTCAGGATACAATAAGCGGGAAGAAGCCTCCGCCGTCACAACTGATGGCCGCTCGGGGTATAACCGTCGCGAGGAAACCTCAGACGTCACCACTGATGGACGTTCTGGTTACAACAAGCGCGAGGACGCCACTGCCATTGGCACTGATGGGCGCTCAGGGTACAATCGCCGAGAGAATGACGCTTCAGCCACAACTGACGGACGATCTGGGTACAACAAGCGTGAAGAAGCCCTTGACGCTACAACAGATGGTCGATCTGGTTACAACCGTCGTGAGGAGACAGACGGTCGCTCAGGATACAATAGTCTGGAGGACGGTCGCTCCGGGTACAACCGTCGCGAAGAGGGCTCGGACGCTACGACGGATGGACGATCGGGGTACAACGGTGTAGAAGACAGAGCCTCTGGAGTCGGTCGTCGCGAGGAGGTCGCTGGTGCCTCTCCTGATGGACGATCTGGCTACAACAAGCGGGAGGAGACCGATGGCCGGTCTGGCTACAACAGTGTTGAAGACGGGCGCTCCGGATATAACAAGCGTGAGGAAAGCTCTGCTATTGGTACCGATGGACGCTCAGGTTACAACAGGCGCGATGAAGCCTCTGAAATCACAACCGATGGACGCTCCGGGTACAATCGCGCAGTCTGAATTCGAAGAAATATGATCCCCTGTAAGTATACTGCGCCTTAGATCCAGATTTAGATACATCGAGCTCAAGCTCCGCCGTCGAATATCCATAATAGTTACTTAGAATTAGACTGGTAACATATATTATCTTCAGCTTCATTACACTACTTCCCGGTCGGGATCTTTATTCTTGGACGGAGTGCTCCTTTTATGAGAGTGGGATTGCCTGCTAACGCATATCCATGTCATCGACGTTTAAGAAAACGTAGCCCCGAACGCAGTTAGAGAGATCCTAAAATAGGCTACCCGGACTTTTGGTGTAACACGACCGGACTCCCCCATATGTATCACCTTACATAAACAATGGCTGTGATACTTCCAAGATCAGCCATGCTGAAAGCCCGACTGTGGAAAGAAGATCATGTAAAGCGGTCAGTCTTACGCTGCCTTCTTGGAGACTCTTAGTGCTAGTTGATGCCAACCATGGAGCAACGCGGTATTTCCCATACCCAGTCATAGAGCTACACTCGGCCAACAGTCGCGCCCGCAAGGTCACTTCAGGAGTAAGGGTGGAGGATACTTGGTCAGAAGCCACATCGTACCGCCCGCGGTGGATCTGCTCTTGACCAGAGAGGTCCATGTGGATATTACTGTTTTCATTCCGAACAAGCTGATGTATAACCAATCTGCCATGAGCAAAGTCTGCAGTACTCTCACGCTCATCAACCAAAGCGGCCTTTCTGCCACCAACCCCCCTGAGCCTCATCGCCTGCCTTGACCTCTGTGACCGTACTCTTAGCCTTCCTCAGCGGATCGACCTGGTTCACAATGAACTCATCCATGTATCGCCCGCCCGTACCTCCTCCCTGATTGATGTTCTCTTGCCGAAGACTCGCTTCGCTGCCGACCCGCGACCTCCGATCCGGCTCCATCTCCATGTCGTCCTCGAGTTCCACGCTTTCCAGCCTCCGAACCTCCCTCGTAACCTCAACCTCCTTGGTGACAAAGATGCCGGGGAATCGTTGGCGCAGTACCGGCCAGAAAATCGGGACGCTGCTGGCAACCATGGCCAGATCGACTTCGACGGCGGATAGGACGATGCTGAGGGGACCGTACCACATGGGGTCTAAAGTCGGGCGAGTGGCGGATCGGTGTTGGATGATGGAGTAAACTCGGACGACTGAGACGCCGTTAACCCTACAAACTGTGTCAGCGCTCTTGGGATCCCTGAGAGTGATGGTCCGCTGGTGGGGAGGACGGGGGACAAAACGCACGCAATGCCAATGACCAGCAGCGCAAGCAGTCTCAGCTTCGACTTAAGCGACTGTTGGGGTCTGAAGTAGAGCGGAACCGGGATGGCGAGAACAAGAACGTCCAAGGCAAAGTTGACCGAAGAGTGACTCTCATATGTTCCCGAGAATATATCAGAATTGAGCGAGCCGTACGCCCAGCGTGTGGCCGGGATGGTCCAGTTCCAATATGCTGCGACAGGCACGCAGGGAACCCACCCCAGAAACGAGTAGGCGGTGGCCCATAGACTGACAAAGATGATTAGATATATGCAGAGCGATCGAAGAAAGGATGGCCGGTCGAAGATGCGGAGGTATTGAAAGAGGAGAGAGATCTTGATAAAGGCGGTCGACATTTGGTAAGATGCGTTTGCAACGTAGAAGGTCTAAGGCGAGGGGTTCTTGGTTAGCAAGTCGACATCATGGGCGACTATCGGCGGGTTGACTTCGTACTCGGAGGTAGTTCTGGACCTCTGTCGCAGAGAGGGTGTAGATATGTCTTCCCATCCCATATTTGGTAGCTATTGACCAGAGGATTAGTTCCACATAGGCGAGACGGGGAGATTTGATGGGGTCTTACCAACACAAATTCCAACAGATCCAGTTGTTGTGGTCAACTATGTTAAAATCATCATGTGAGACATTATTCGTCATCGAAAGAGTATAGTGGGTTACACACCAACGACAATATCACGAAGCAATCATCCCATCCTAATGACTGAACCAACTTGGCCCGCACATACATCCGGAAGGCGACACACATCCATGAGAAGATCTAGGCAACGTCGTTAGTCACATGGCTGGTATGTCTTTGAAAGGTTAGGGGCTTACCGCGAAGGCGATGACCACGCCTAGAATAGTTGGGGTCTTGTTCACCAAAGGCGTTGGCTCGCCCGAGTTATCGGCCGTTCCATACAGCGCATGAATTGTTGCTCCGTCCATGGTGATCACCACGGACCAAGACCAGACATTAGCTTAGGTTGAGGTTGACGTAAAAGGGGCTAGACCACCACCTAGCCAAAGCCAAGTCAAGACGTCGAAACGGAAATGAATGAGATGTCAGAATCGAAGCAAGCTCCATTCATGTCTCTCAATGTTGTGGGAAGAAGAGGAAAAAGAAAGATAAACGCCAGGTCCCGAAAAAGAGATCGACTCTAGAACGATCTGACCTGTTCCACGGCTGTGGTAATATATTCTGCTCACAGGAATGAGAAAACGGGCCTGGGCCATCGTTTCTTCGTCGTGCCCACTTTGACATATGCCGAATGCACAGATAAGACCGGGGAAGGCAAGGCGTAGACTTGGAAAAGGGTCCTGTCTCTCAGGTTCCCTTCTACTCCACAGTCGAAACCATGCCCCCTTTTCCCACTACGCCAGGAAGATTGCAACAACAAAGGCTTGCACAACTGTTTTTGGCGGGCGAAGGAAGCTGGGCAAGCATCATGTTCGCTGTGTGGCTCTCAAGCCCCGGCGGCCCACGATGCCGTGCTGATCTCTCTGTCTGGTTCTGCTTGAAGGCGTCCGTGCGAATACAACCCCAACCCTCCCCCTAGTTGAACTAGGTCCCACCAGGAGCGACGTTCGCAAACCGCCTCCTCGAGTAGTCCTCCCATGTCCCCGGTCGTCGTCCGAATAAGTCTTCAAGGGCCAGAGAAACAGTTGGCCCCGGCAGGCAGGTGGAGGCTGTAAGTCCCGGATCATTCCAAAATCCAGTCTGCACAATCTGCAGGAGCTTGGACAGCCACGTTGTCACCATTCCACACCTTTTCATTTGCACCAAAGTTGCAGACTATTTCTCCTTCTGGAGTACGATCAACCCTGTGCAAGCATTGCATCCAGGTCCAGAAACCTGGTCTCACATGCCACTAAGACATGCAGAGCGCGTCTGCGAGGCGCCTAACCTCGAAACAGCGAAACATGGCAAGACATCCCACGAGGCACGTCTTTCTCCCCGATGCGCCACGGATTTGCCGCTGGGGAAAGAGAAGAATACTGGAGCAAAGCCTGTGATCGGTGACACGCACATCTACAACGCTGAAGCCTGGAAAGGAGAGTGGGAGGAAAGGAAAAAGAGGAGATTGCAACCCCACGATCTCAAGATTCCGCGTTGCTGAAGTGAGAGGCGTTAAGACCCCGGTTCCTTGCTCTGCGACGAAAGCTCGAGTCAGTGTAGCGCACATCATTGGGGGCGACCCGTGTGTTTCAGCGAGTTTTTGCGCCGTAAGCTTTTTTCTTTTCTTAAACACTGACTGGCGATTAACAGAAGGAATTAAGCACTAAGAAACGCTTCGTGTGACGATTGTGACAACACCCCTCACTAAGGTATGTGACGAAGCCAAGAAGCCATCGGCTCGTCCAAACTCGTCAATGAGGCGATAACGGTGTCCTGTCAAGCCAAGAAACTTCAAGTCGCATTGTCCAATACATCACACTCCTCACATCACTCGCCAGTCCCCACGAAGTTGCGTTCGCATCGGCTACTATCTTGTCTTCCCGATCGCAGCGAGTCAAGTCACCCGAGACGGTTATAATTCTCGGTCTAAATGTCTTTGATAGTGGCGGAGATATTCTGCCTCACTGTATTCCTAGCCACCATCACTGGCTTCAAATGGGCTATAATTGCGCCGTCTTAAGACCGAAAGCAAGATCTCAGCCGGCTATCGCGGACGCATCCCAGGTCTTCCGGTTTTGAAAAAGGAAGCCGCATCGCCGCACCATGCTGTGGTGTAGCGATTCAGATCATGACAAGTGACGTCCTCAGGTGATTGGCAGTTTCTAGTGAGGTGATATTGGGACACAGACCTCGATCCGAATCACCCACGTGGGTTCTGATGTTGGTTTCGCGTTGCAATGGGGGCGATGTGAAGGAGGGGAAGATTAGCCGTTCGAGCCGGAAGCAAGTGCCTGGAACCTTCAAACTATGGTGAGCCTCTCATGCTTCAACCTTAGTGGTTGAGGTCGTAGTCTCGATTTTCAAAGTGAAGCTATCGCCGTCACCAGCTGACTTACATATATGCCGACGAAGACTAGGTGATTTCGCAACGTCTGAGAGCGAACCGTTGCTGACAGGCAGCATTATTCGATAGACTCGCAATGCCAATGGCCACTCATGTTGAAACGGAGGAATTGGACGGGTCTGAAGCGTGAGCTACCAGTGACCACTATCCTGATTACCGCCGCAATCTCAAGACTTGGCGTGTTGGTCCCCGCCGTAAATCAGACCAATATCGAGATCCTGGTGTGCTCGGACATCATTCAAATCAGATAATCAGACTCCTCATTGAAGTCCCTCAAAAAGATGCATTATCCGAATCGCAGCGCGTCACACCCGGTACAGTGAGCCTATCGTGGCTACGTATCTGGTGGTGTCTGGTGGTGACGACCAATTCACGAATCATTGCAGTATTGAGCCCATGTTCTGTGCAAACTGGGCTTGAATTGGAGCAGTAATTCTCCGAGCGTCTGACTCAGGTAACAGTGGATAAAACTCTCCCTGACAGCTGTCAACGCAGGTTTGTCGCAAATTGCAATTAAAAATTCTAGGTGCTTACGCCATGTAAAGCACCGGGCCGGCGGGAAAAGAATCAAATCGTGTCTCTGATGACGAGATCGTGCCCGTGCCAAACGTTCACAAAAAAACGAGGCGGCTAGTTTGAGAGAACAAAACGACGAAACAAATTTGCCGAGCCTGCCAAGTGGAAAAACCCTGAACACAAAAACCGCATCAGCCCTCTGAAGGCTATCTAGTTTAAGTTTAAAAGCACGTTGTCATACGCGAACTGTGCCATGCAAACGAAGCTACGAGACAAAAGAGTCTAGCTTCTTTCAAAGAAGCTTTGGCGAGAAGAGGTCAACGGCAGGCAAGTCTGTTGGATGTTCCAGTCTTGTGCAACCCGAGCCGAATCATTGCGGAAAGTGGGTGATATGGACGATCATGGAACATGACAAGAACATCTTGCTACCTTTCAAGAGTTGGGATTTCCCCTGGATACAAATTAAAACTCCCGCGGAATGAAGGATGGGGACGTCTAATCATTCCAAGGTACGGAGTATGGGCGCTGTATCAGTGGAGTTGGCGCAAAGTTGAGTATGCGCCCCTGCGATGGCCAACTCCACTGCATGGTGGGGATTGCCCGGCTGAAGATCGTTGATGCGAGACATGAAAGGCGGAAAGTATGGCTCGAGAGATCCTGCCTTTGAACGGAACAAGATGTCAGTCTTGGGCATCGAGCTAGTTTAGCTCTCTATCCGCAGAGTCTAGACGTACATCGTGGTTCCGGACATCCCACCTCGAAACGTGAAATCGGGGCACCGGCTCCCACTGAGAAACTCCCGATGAACTACGCGCCCGCTGCGGAAGCAAGAAATCGGAACCTTGCGCCGGTTTATCGGGAGTTTGACCCCTGCGGATTGTGTCCGAAGCGCTGTGGACAGGATGAGGAAAAGCCAGACTATCACTGAATAAAAGACACTCAAAGCCTCCATTGCGAAGCCATCTTCCGGATTGGCCGGGGCCTCCTATTGCCTTCCTCTCAATATCATGAAACCTTTCCTTCTTGGATTCAATGGGAGCTTTGACCCCGAAGGATATGAATATTCTGCTCACCTCGTGGAGCAGCAATCCTCCCATTTTGACATTTCCCCCTCATTGACGTGGTAACGGCCGCGAACGTTGAGTTCATCCGTCGTCGTGATTACATGCAAGAACTCCAGGCCCATGCTCCATCTTCATGTCGGAATACTGACGTGATCGTGAATATGGAGATTGGAGACCATGGACTAGAGTTAACCCATTCCACCAATGCTCTCAACCTCCCTATCGAACATCTAGAAACATGCATAGGCTGCATTATTTGCTGTATCTTGACTCGGGGCTTCGGAAGTCACTACCCATTGCATACCATCATCTTCGTACGCTCCATATTCGTACAGATACAATTGTCCACAATCATTGAATTGGCCAGTCAGAACGATTGGAATGTCCAGCGCAACTCGGAAACCGGGAGGCAAGCCCACGAGTAAGTCATCACTCTCTTGCGCTCCCCGGTCCACGATCCAAAGAAAAGGGAGGCCCGAGCGAAGAGACCAGGTAGGGTATCATTCTCCCATGCAGCCTCTTGAATAAAATGTCCTAACAATGCCCCCATCCTGCATCCTACAGTGACATCCGCAGCATCGCAACGGCGCAGCTTCCGTCCAGATGCCGTGAGGTGATCGTCATGTCAACCGTCCCCGCCGCAAGTGGCCGCACCAGAGACTGAGAGTCTCCAAATCCGTGGTCGACGAGTCGATGGTTCAATGGTGCTGGATCGATTCCCACTCCCGTCGCACGAAAGAACGCATTCTTGAATCCACAAGCCGTTGAAGCAAAAAAGTGTCCCATCTTTCTCCACTGAAAGGATCATCAAAGTCGCAGAGTGCAAGACACTGGAATCCGCCCAAACTACAACCATGAGCCTTCTTAAACATTCCCCACGAGACGAGGGCAAAGACACGCGAGTTGAAAGTCGCTGACTGGCTCCCTCCCACACAGTGACACTACTGCGTGTCCCCCCGATGTGTGTCACCGTGTCACGCCCCCATCTCGCCAGCGACCCTGACAGAAAATCCGACGATCGGCGTTGAAGAAAGAAGCCAAGACCCGGGAGTTGTGATGGGGAGGATCCATATCGGATGACACCCGACTCCGTTCTGTCTCGCGCCTCTGCCAGACTGCCACCGCCTCTGATCCAGAAATCCCTTCCCCGTCGAATCGTCGCGCCTGTCTTTGCTGCTGTGTATGAATGCCCCTTGTCCAGTGTCTGGCCCCCCCAGCTGACGTCTACACACCAAGCATCGGGAGTTCACTCCGTTCGTAGCAAAGGGGCCGAAAGAGGCAACAGGGTCGTGGAAGGGGGTCAAGACACAATTCGCAAGCTACGCACCTTTTGGGACGATTGCGAGTATTGTCCACTTTGTATCCGTCTTAATCCAAGTTTATCAGCATCACAGCCTCAAAGGTCAATTCACCAACTCCAAGGGATGGGGTCATGAGCCTGAAAATAGTATTTTCATTAATCCGCTTCAATGCGTTCAAATTCTCAAAATGAATCCTGGGTTTGATCAAGAGGGCACCCCGTCTGAATCCTACCTATGCGCCCGTCCCGCCAACAGAGAGTGGGAAAACCATCAAACGCCTGTGCCTATCCAATCCGTATCCCTCTCTAACTTTTTGATTTTACGAAGAGCCAGTTGCCAGAAGTATCACAGTAATGTGGTTGTCGCAGTTGTGAGTCGAAGCTGTGACTTAGCCCACCAACAACCACGCTCATCCCGCGCGCCCAAAACCTCCATGTCTCAAAGGCACAGGGCCAAGCTTCACAGATCCATCCATCACCCCTCTCGATTAATCTCTAATCTCCCCGGTGATGTACCCAATCTGTCTCCTTCCATTAACCCCCGCGTTGGTGAGCTGGCTCGCAAGGTTCGTCTGCCCGTCAACAAGCCTCCTCTGCTCCGCCAACCGCGCCCGGAACCTCTCCTCCTGCTCCCGGTCCAGACGATCCACGTCCTCCCTCTCCGCGACGCGAATCGCGCTCAACGTCTTGGCCTGGTCGACCTTCTCCGTCGCAATCTGCTTCTCCCACTCCAGCATCATGCTCTGCCGCGCCATCGTCAGGTCCGACTCGGCCAGCTCCACGGCCCGCGCCCGCGTGATGCTTGCCTCCGTCAGCGCGGCCTGGTGCTCCAGGTCCGCGCTGCGCTCGTTGCGCTTCCGCCGCATCTGGGCTGCAAAATGGTCCTCCTCGATGCGCGCGCGCTCGTTGAGCGCCACCAGCTCGTCCTGCGCCACGCGCTGCCGCCGAGAGTCCTCGAGCTCCGCCTGCGCAGACCAGATTTGTGCCTGCACCGTCGCCAGCTCGCGGTTGCGCGCGATGGAGAGGGCGTGGTCTTCCTGCTCCAAGTTGATGCGGTCGAGGCGGGCGCGGCGGGTGCGTTCTTGGGCTTCAACGTCCTCGGGCATGCCGACGGCGCCTTCTGGTTGGGGCCCCATGTTGGCGTAGTAGACGTCTTCGGCGCGGTTGGCGCGGAGGAGCTTGATGAGGGCGTCTTGCTGGTCTGATTTGGGGAGGACGTGCATGACGTACATGGTTGGCGAGTAGGTCATCTTGCCGTCCGAGTAGTGGTTGAACTTTTTGTTGATGTACTTCCACATACCCGCCTTGAGGAGTGTCCGACAAGTGACGAGGGGGTCCCGGGACTCGAGACCTAGGAGGAGGATCGACTTCCCTTCTGATCTCAAGGTTGTGTCGGAACCAGCTTCGATAAGGAAGTTGATGGCCCTTTCCATAAGCTTTTGTCGCGCGGCAGTGAGTTCGCCGCTATCCGCGCAGTGCCGCGCAAGTTCTCCTAGTGCACTCCGGCCGCCGTGAAGTGTACTTGGGAAATCAGGCTCATGTCCGTACTGCACCAAGACCTGGCAGGCTGAGAGGTTCAGCTCGCGGGCAGAGTTGTGAAGTGATCCGTCATTGCGCGAGGCGCCAGCAGCTAGTAGGTTGGACATCATCTTGATGGCTGTGTCCCCTCCAACCTCGGTCGACAGTGTAAGTGGCGTGTTGCCCTTCACATCGCACACGTCCACTTCTGCACCTTCTAACAACAGCATTTTGACAACGTCAGGTCGGCGATTCCGGATAGCCAGCATGAGCGGCGTAGATTGGGATATCTTCGACTCAAAATTGACCTTGGCGCCGGTCTCGATGAGCATCTGCACGATGCCACTGCTGACCTTCTTCTGCGGCTGGAGAAGCGCCCACATCATGAGCGTAATGGCCTCCTCATCAAGGTCTTCCATCACCTTGCAAGGCATCATCTGATCGTAGTAGTATCCGGCATCCAAGAGGGCCTTGGTAATCCGAATCGATCGCGGGTGCTGCTGCAGGGCGAGGAACATTAGGGGCAACGAGTCCGGTGGCGTGTACATGACGTCCAGCCTCGTCTCTCCGTCAGCGTATTCAGTAAACATTGTAATTAATTCCAGGGCGTCGTCTTCCGAGGCCGGGTTGTCAAAGATGCGGTAAAATGATCGGGATATGGACTCGGTGTTGGGCTTTTTGTCTAGTAATCTCTTGACCAAGAAGGAGTTGCAGGCGGCGGCGGCTGACTGCAACAACTTGCCGTCGGCGTAGTTGACGTCGACTTTGTGATCGAGAAGGATGTCGACGAAGCCGTTGGCGAGTGCTAGGCTGTCGGGCTCGCTCTCGGTCAAAGGTAGATCGACAACCTGGGTGAGGACGGAGCTGAGACCGTCGCCGTGAGCTCCCTTTTTCAGGAAGCTGTGCAGGATGGTGAAGCCAGCTTCCGAAAACCAGGCGTCTGTGTTTTCCCTAGTAAAACCTTCTCTGATGGCGAGATTAAGGTCCGCCGACAATATTTTGGACTCGAGCATGAAGGCAAGCGGCTTCACCAGAGCTCTCCTCGTGGCATCGACTAGGGTTTGGCAATCATTGGCGATCGGCGAAGCACCGTATCGAAGTAAAGACCGGATGATCTTGAGGTCGAGCTCCTCTTCGTTAATCGCGTTGTTCAGTACTACGTGTAAGTCGTCGGAAACAGGCAAACCGGCTCGGAACAACATATCGATCGCGGCGGCACGGGGTTCACGGCTAAGTTTCCAAGCAGCCCTTAGCGCCCTATTAAGCGTGGCATGCGAGGGCTTGTGTTGCTTCCTCTTGTTAGACCCCTTTAACGAAGCGTGGGATTTGGCGGAGGCAATGGATCTCAACGAGGCGCTCGATGGTTTACTCACTAGCCGCGTCCCGAGTTCGACCAACCCAAGCATCATTTTCAGACTGCTCAGGTAGGCGCTCCTCGTGGCCGCCCAGATGGCCTCGCCCTTGTTGTAATTCGGGTCTGCGCCGGCTTCCAGTAGGATCTTGACCAGGTCGTCGCCTTCTTCGCCGAATCGGACCGCGGATGCGAGCTGCGCGTCGAGTGCTTCACCTTCTACGCCGTGGATAAGGAGAGGCTCGAGGATGGCGGCTCGCGTTTTGAGGTTGCCGACTTCGGTGGCGGCTTGGAAGCCCCTTTCAATCGTCGATCGCTTGGGTGTTGTGGTGCCGCTGAGCAGCATGTTGAGAACGTCGGCGGCGCCCGAACGACATGCCTCCACGATGGCGTCCTCGTCAATCTGCGCCCCATGGCTGACGAGGAGATTACCCAAGACCAAATCACCGTCCGCCGCTGCCGCAAGCAAGGCATCCGAAAGTACGGAGCCCGAGGCGCCATGCTGCAACAGCACCTCGCATATCGCCGCCCTTGCTTCTCGGTTTGACAGAAGAGCCGCCTCGGCAAAGGCATCGTTGAGCACAGGGAGAGGGTGCTTTTGCGCCAATACGAGTTGAACAATATCAGGACGCTCCTTCTTGACCGCGGAAACCAGGGCTTCTCCATCGCTTGTGTTGGCCTTGGCAGAAAGGGTTCGGAGCAACGGTATGTCGTTCGTGTACGTGTTGATAGCGAACCCAAGGGCCCTGTTCACCTCGGCACTCGGCGCGCCCGCGTCCAGCAGCTTCTGGGAGAACTCGAGACGATCCATCGGGTCGGCGATTCGCAGGGCGTGGGGTAAGGCCGATGCGAGCGAAGCTGGGTTCGGGCGGGCCGCGAAGAGGAGATCGGTGATCTGTGTGTCGCTTGCGGCTACGGCGTGACAAAGAGCGGCGGCGTTGTGAGAGTTGACGTCGGCACCGGCGCTGAGGAGGACCTTGACGATGGACAGTTGTCGATGCTCGGGAAGGGTCTGAAGGAGAGCGTGGACCTCCTTCACGAGGACGTCGTTAAAGGGAGCCCTGTCTTTTGTCTTTTGCAAGAGAATCTCAAGCTTGGCGGCCTTGGTATCTGAGAATATTAGTTGCCCAAACTCGCTAACGGCTCTGCTGACTGTTGCGTGTGAAGGTTTGCCGTGCATGAGCAGCGTCTCAAGAACTGGCGGATCATGGCTGTGGATTGCTGTTACGAAAGGTTAGCATCTCCGTTCTCTCCCTTAGCCGTCAATCACTTACCGGAAGCCATGGCAATGCCGTTGTCAACGTTGACATCGGCACGACCCTGCACCAACAACACTTGCAAAAGCTTCAGATCAGCTGGCCGATAATTCAACGCGTTGAGCATTGCCTGTGAGACCTTGACCGGGTCCAAGTCCGGCACCGACGTCAAAAGCAGCGTTGCCATATCCAGCCTCGCCTTGGCATCCTGAGTCGCAATGATCCTGGGCAATACGCCAGCGGCAGTGTGAGGTGTCACATTCTTCTTGAGCAGCGCATTGAGTAGCCTCACGTCCTTTTGCGACACAGCAGCTACTAAAGCTGAACCCTCGTTGGTGTTGATGTCGGTGTTGTACTTGAGAAACAGTCCGATTAGGTCTTCGTCGCGATGTGGTGGCTCCTCATCAATGGCTTCTTGTAACGCGTCGTGAACAATGGGCCCAGCGAGACCGCTCGTGAGGAAACACTCCACCATGCGATACCTGTTTTTCCGTGATAATGTCTTGGTGAGAGGGAAGATTTGGGCTAATGTGTCGCTTGATGGTTTGCTCATGAGAAGCTCCTTGGCCATGGCCGCATCACTCCTCATGACTGCGATCTGCAGAGCCAAACCACCCTTGTGGTCGACAGATGCCGTTTGGTGGCGGTCATACACCATCGATCTCGGTCCCTTCTTCACATCATGTTCGGCGATGGGACGTCCCCCGGGGAAGACGGCGGTGAGAAGAAGCTTGGCTGAGTCAACGTCGCCTGCCTCCGCCGCCTCGATGAGCATGTCGTGCAGCGCAGTCCCGTTTGCCCCTCTCCGTAACAGCAAATCCAATAATAACCGACGGCTCTCCACGCCCATGTTTTTCGGTATGAGCTCGACGCACTCGGAAGCATGCGTTGCACTAAGTTCCGCATTGCCGCTAAGGATGATGTGCGCCACGTCTACCCGTCCATTCTGAACGGCTTTCCGAATGGCCATTGCGTCCTGATACTCTATTGAGACCCCGTACTTGACTAGAAGACTGACCATGTCTTGGAACTCTGCTGCTGCGGCGTGGATGAGAGCCATGGCGGGTGCATCGCCGTCTGTGCCGGCGCATAGTAGTAGCTCGGCTACGGCAAGCTTGTCTCTTGGATTCATCGAAGGATGATCCAACAAATTTGAGAAAGCCTCGTCCAGTCCCGGCCGTTTCGGCGGATGGTTTCCCATGAGAATCGCAAGAGCAATGTCGTGGCGTCCCTGGCTAATTGCGACTTTGAGCGCCTCCGCTTGGTTGTAGTCACCATCGGCATTGGATCGACTTAGTTGAAGCACCGTTTCCAAACATCCTGCCTTGGTCGCGTCCACCATGCACTGCGAGAGCCACGAAGTCGGTGGCCGGCCCTCAGACCGCAGAACAATCCCCACCAAATCCGCCTGTCCGCCCGCCGCGCACGCCTGGCGGAACGATTCCTGAGCCTCGGGGCTATGCGCCACCCCGGCGCCGTAGCGGAGAAGAAGTTCGACGACCTCTACGTTCTCGGACTGCATGGCGACCGGTAATGAGGCGTCCAAGGCAAATGTGTCGGCGTGCGGTAGCAGGACCTGAATCATATCGACCTGGCCATTGTGCACGGCGTGTTGCAACAGCTTACTCCGCTCGCCGAAGCTGTCGAGACTTTTCCGGCGAGGCAGGATGCTCGTCTTTGCCTTTTGAGCCATGTTGACGTCGCCGCCGGATGAGACCAGCTGTGTGATGAGAGCCTCCGCCACACCGGGTGATCCGCGGTCGGCGACGTGCTTGTCGAGGGTGTCAAAGACGACCTTGTAGTCCCACGACTTCTTCTTCCCCGTGAAGGCGCGCCGCAGGTTAGTTGTGGATTCTGTGCGGCCGTGTGACATTTGCTTGCGCTTGAGTAGCTCCTCGGCCTTGAAGTCGTCCTCCGGGGTCCGGAAGCTGGGGGGGCTGGAAGGCCGCGTCAGGGGCGTCGGTGACGGCGGGGGCTCGAGACCCCATTCCTCCGCAAACTGGATGATCCGCCGCTGGCGGTCATCCTCTGTCGGCGGAGTCGGCATCGGGGGCGAGCCGGGGGGAGAAGATAGGAATGGAGACAGTTTGGCGATGTGTTATACGGCGATGACCTGGCCGTATGATGCGAGGGAAAGGGTAAAGGAAAGGGACAAGAAAGAGCTGTGAGCGGATAGCTCTCGTGAGGGTGAGGTTGAATGAGCTGAGAGAAGAGAGAGAGAGAGAGGAGACGTGCGGCGCAAAGTTTCGTTTTCGTCCCAAGATGATGTTGCACGCTCAACGGCAGAGGGACGGCGGACAAGACGGCCTATGGCCCGGTAGCAGTGTTGGGCGGAATAGCATGAACAGAGGAGGTGGTGAGAACAAGCATCCAGGATCGATGGTAGGCTGACATAAAGAAGATACAAAGTGTGGTGGCAATGGCGATTGGTGGTGGTGGAAGAAGAGACGTTGGATGAATGGACGGATCGTTCGTTTGGGGGGCCTGGGAGGCTTCTGTCTGGGGTTCGCGGATGTTCGGCCCAGAACGACTCGTATCGTATCAGCTCTGCCCTCAACCGCTTAGGAAGAGGCCAGACGGGAGATGGCAGACACGGGTTGACCGCGGAGCTGAACTCAAAAAGAGAATGAGGGAGCGAGAAGAGTAGAATGAAGCAAGCCGGGTTGAGGCAGAGCGCACAGTTCTCTGACGGCCAGCCGCAGCGGAAGCAGCAACCAGTAATACGATCCGTAGCCCGTGTCCTTCTGCAGAGGCGTTATAAGACGCGGGTGTGGTGACCTTGGGAGTGTACGGACAGAAACTCGAGGCGAAGCACACCGCACGAAAGATGTCGGCGAAGAAAGATCGAAGGTCCAACGGGCAGAGGGCAGAGAGCAGGGGTCGCGGGTTGGGTTGAGTTGAGTTGAGGTATCCCGAGGTCCTAAGCCTTGTGGCGACAATGCGTCGCGTTTCAGCAGGGTGGAGATCAAGTTTTTCGTCTGTTCGTCCTTTTCTCTCTTTTTCCTCTCAGAGACTTGCTTCGAGACTTGCCCACTTAGGAGGCTGGTCCCCTAGTCTTTTCCAGATACGAGTGTCACAATCGAAAAACGGTTAGGGTGGCCGGGACCTCTTAGGAGTTGGGGCTCGGGAGAGACAAGCGTGACAAGCCTATCCGTAGGCTAAGCGGTTAGCGGACAGGTCGAAGGAAGGGTGTGGCTGGGGGTTTATGAGGTCGGACGATGCCAGGCCCCTTTACGCTTCACCAAGGGACAGTGACGTCGATCAGATTGATGGATGGGATCGTCGGCCTTTTTTTCTTGGACGTCGTCGTGATGAAGCTCCGGACTGGCAATGATTAAAGGGGATATCGCAGTTGACTGAAGCTTGGATAGCTAGGGGTATCCCCCCTGAGAGTGGATAAGATTGACAATTAGAGGCAATGAAGAAAATGGAGATTCAACAGCAGCAGGGGCATAGAGAGAGGATAAACGGCAGAAAAAGTTGGAGTATGAATAGTCATCCGCCCAAAGCCAGTTATGCAAATAAGCCTCGAGAGACCAGCCATTCCTCGTTTAAGCTTGTTGGGTGACCCGGGGGGACAGCTGCCGCCTGCGCCAGCGCGTGTGAGTGGTGAAGATAACTGGGCTCGGTGAGCGGTCGACGCGAACGTGGCAGGGCATACGCGGACACGTTGACGATCCCTGGACCGCTGAAGGTCCCGTACAAAGCGTGGAGGCGTATGGGGTGAAGAGGTTAGCGAAGCAGGAAATGGCGGAGGAGACGGCACAGAAAGTGGAGAAGATGAAGGGGTCGAGGTACGGAGGGGACCGAAAGGGCCGTTGGAGTACCCGAATGTCTTCGAGACCTCAAATTGAATCTCGAGTCCTAGGCCAAGTCTTGGGCCAAGAATCGCCCAGAGGCAAAGTAATCCCTCACACATGAATGTTGTGAAGACCCCAGGTATCCTCATGTTGAACGCCGGTATAGACAGCAACTCAATGGCTTCAGCTGTGTTAAGATGAGTAGCATGTGCTTTTGTCAAACGTCTCTCGGGGCCGAGGGCAGAAAGACTCCAAAGCCAAGGAATGCATGGTCACCAAGTGGCTCTTCGTTTAACTCGAGTAAGGTAACCATACAGGTATTTTGAGAAACCCACCCAAGAGCCTATGCTCCAAGATTCTGGGGCAAAGATGAACCGATCCCCGATTGTTTGAAGGACAAGAAGGGAGAACACAGGCGCCGCAACAACCCCTGACCCTTGGCAAAATGGTCACCAATCCATCGAGAGAAAAGAGTCACGAAGCATTCTGAACGGAGTAGGTATCCGTAGATAACCTTGCAAACTGCCTTGCCGTTCCGACCACCTGGCTGTGCGTTCCCGCTTTGGGTTTGCTCAACTACCGTACCTCTAACTGTGTGGCGTTCGACGCATCAGCCCACGCGCAAAAGAAGGCTAAGAAAGTTCTTCTGCCGCCCTTCTCTTACGTGGCGTGCATGGTCGAAGGATGGCACATACACAATGCCCGCAGCTCATTCGTCTCACCGAAACACTCCACCGTAGAAACAAATGTACGCTACTACACTGCTGTACCTTAGTAGTTAGACCAAGGTACACACAAAAGCCAAGCCGGGCTGAGCCTCATTGGAGACGCCATCGATTGCGTCCAAGGTGTTCCCTTTTTGACGCGTCTTGAGATCGATTAGTGAAAGGAAAATGTAACCCACACTCTGGGAAAGATGCGGTGACAGGTTGGATATAGCCACTTACAGCATGCTAATAAAAAGCCAAGCGATCAAGACCAGGACTGATATATAGAATGGATGAGATCATTAAGAAGGATGGAAGGGTCCCGACAAGTCTGAAAAGGTCGCATCTATAATGTCACCGCGGGAAGAAGAAATGAACCCCAGACAAAACCGATTGGCGATCATCCGGGTGCCCCGACGCATTGCTGTGCGCACTCAATCCGAGTCTTGGCAACTGACTAGCTTCACAGATTCCCCGACTTTGGGAGGGAACATGCTGGTTCACCTCTGGATGCTTGACGACTACGCAGTAATTATCCATCAAACTCGTTTCTTCCCATGATGTATCCGCACCAGCAAGTCCATGTTGAACTGCATCAACCCAACCACCATGAACGAACGACGATGAATAATGCCGCGATTACCGACCCAGCAGCGGCGGCGTATCGCCCAGATCCGGGCGCCTGTCATCTCTGCTCCAGAGACTACCTGGCAGCATCGCTGCCCGCCCTGCCGCCGCGACCAGCGGTTCATGCCAAGGGTGTTGAGGTGACGCTCAATCCATCATCAGACTTCCAAGGTTTGCAATGCCTTGCCGTGGATGGATGCGCCCGAGCACCGCTGTGGTGTCAAGCGGGTGACCAAATGGTTGGATCCCTACTCTGCGATTTTGCCTTTCCTTCTCTTTGCTTTGCTCGAGTTAGTTGTCTTCCTACCAGACGCATACTGTAGTAGAGACATCAACTTCAATAAGTGTAATAAGATGATAGTAACAGCTGTGGTCCTGGAAAACATGAAGGTTATCTAGGTATGCATTGACCGGCAAGACATTTTCTCATCCACCCCAGTGTATGGCAAGTCTTCAGTTCAACCCACAGTGCCTCCCGAGTTCCCTTCTCCATTACCTACTCGGGCTTCAGTGATTGAGTGGTTGCTCACTCTCAATGCCAGCTATAGAACTTTCGCAATGAGTCGAGTAAAGAATCTCGCTCTCTCAGTCCATGGCGACAGTTCCCCTATCCAAGTTGCGATTGAGCGCACCAAGACCCAATCGTTTGAAAAGCAGTGATTATAATGATCACATTGCTCGACCTATGTATGACTTGTCATGAATTTGAAGCACTCCGCAACCAAATGAATGAATATATGATGTGAAGCCCCCCTTCCCTCAGTCTTAGTCTTGTCCTTTGTAGACCTCTTCTCATACTCACCCTCACTCTCATACTCACTTTCATTCTCACTCATACGCGACCGGCAAAGACCTCATCCACCTTTCAATGACAACATTCCGCCCATCGGAAAGCCGACCCCTCTCTCACCCGTCACCCGAACGCAGCCCCGCCTCCGGACCCCCGCCCGCCCCTCATTGCCGACCTGAGAAGGAAAAGAACCCCGCCATCACCCAAAGCTCATAGCTCCCGCGCGCAACGAGAATTGGCTGAAGCATTTCTAATCACGTCTTATGAGAAAGAAAGCGCTCCCCCCTCCCCTCACTTCATCGGAACGCTGACTAAACCACAATTGTGACCTCAAGCGCAATCGGAAGCTATTCCAATACTGCATAAACGCCCCTCCATCGTCCCATAGGCTGCAGACCAAAAATAAGAAAAACGAGACTGAGACCTTTCCTCTCTTACCATCGCCAATGTCCCAATTCCTCATCTCGCGACCCTCCACATCCATCCGCATCCTCGCCAGAAGCTCCAAACTCACACCCGCCCTCACCAAATCCACGCCAATCATCCCATCACAACCCTTCCTCAAGCAAACTCACCACCAAACGCGCACCTTCATCCCATCACCAACCCACCAAACCTCTCTCTCCCCAGCCCCGCACTTCACAATGGCCTCCTCCCTCCCTCAAACAATGAACGGCATCCAAATCCCCCGCACAGGCGGCACAGAAGTCCTCACCCACCACACCGACCTGCCCCTCCCCGCCCTCGCCGAGAACCAGGTCCTCGTCCGCAACGAATACGCAGGCATAAACTACATCGACACCTACTTCCGCACCGGCCTCTACAAAGCGCCCCTCCCCATCACCCCCGGCCGCGAAGGCGCCGGCACCGTCGTGAAAACACACCCCTCCGTCGCGAACCAATTCAAAGAGGGCGATCGCGTCGTCTACATGGGACCGTTTGGCTCCTACTCGGGCTACTCCGCCGTCAACGCCGCACAACTCCTGCACATCCCCGACGCGCTGCCCACAGACAAAGCCGCCGCCGCGCTCCTGCAGGGCCTCACAGCCTGGACGTTCATCCGCGAGGCGGGCGAGGTGAAGGAGGGGGAATGGGTCCTCGTCCACGCGGCCGCCGGCGGCGTCGGGCTGCAGCTCGTGCAGATGCTGCGCGCCATGGGCGCCAAGGTGATTGGCACGACGAGCACCGATGAAAAGTGCGCGCTGGCCAAGAAGAACGGCGCAGAGTTCATCGTCAACTCGCGCTCGCAGGATCTCGTGGAGGAGGTGAAGAAGATCACGGGCGGGCACGGCGTCGATGTCATCTTTGACGGTGTCGGGAAGGCGACGTTTGATAGCGACATCGAGATGGCGGCGCGTAAGGGGAGATTGGTCGTTTTTGGCAACGCGGTGAGCTCTTTCTCAACATCCAGACATGGTTTGCTAGTCTATGAGCATCACTAACATATTTCTCTTAGTCGGGAGCTGTTCCTCCCTTTGACATTCTCAAGCTGGGTCCCAAGAACTTGAAGGTTATGCGGCCCATTGTTAACGGCTACACCGCGACCAGGGAAGAGCTGGAAAAGTACAGCACGGAGCTGTTTGACATGATTACCTCGGGCAAGGTGGAGGTGGCCATCCACAAGGCGTACCCGCTCAAGGACGTCAAGCAAGCCCACGAGGACCTCGAGAGCCGCAACACGACGGGGAAGCTCATCCTCAAGGTGGATTGACTAAAAGCATCTCTGTGATATTGATGAAAGCGGGCCAACCACAACCAGGGTTGCTGTAAGGAAGTGGTATCTTGAACTTTTGTTTCTTTTTTTAATTAAATACCTCTCTCTATGGCGGACGTCGAATCATGGCTCTCGCTGCAAATAGCACCAGTTCTATCATCATCTATGATAAGCAACCAAACTTTTTCTTTCTTTTCGAGATGTGGCTGATGCACCGATACATATCCATCCCTGCTTTTGCTTAACCGCTCGTGGGCTTGGCGTTGGCAAGGAGCTCAGGGGGAGGGTCCTGGCGGTAACCCTTGGGGTTGTTGCTGACCCAGCGCCAGAGATCCTCACACGCCTTCTCCAGTGTCTCCTCAGTCTTCCAGTTGAGCTCCTTGTTGGCCAGGGACGGGTTGGCAGTGAGATCGAGGACGTCGCCCTGGCGTCTGGGGACAACATCGTAGGGCAGATCGCGGCCGACAACATGGCTGAAAGCCTTGATCATCTCAAAGACGGTGCTGCCACGGCCGGAACCGAGGTTCCAGGCCTTGACACCAGGCTTGTTCTCGCGGAGGTAGTTGAGGGCGCTCAAGTGACCCTTGGCCAAGTCGACAACGTGGATGTAGTCGCGGATGGCGGTACCGTCTCTCGAGGCGTAGTCTACTCATGATTAGCGGGGCTTCTCCATCATTTCACCATATGTACTTACCGTCACCAAAGACGAGGAGCTTGTCGCGGTCACCGGTAGCCACCTTGCCGAGCAGAGGCAGCAGGTTGTAAGGGACGCCCTGGGGGTCCTCACCCATGAGACCAGAGGGGTGGGCACCGCAGGGGTTGAAGTATCTTAGGAGAGCACCGTTGAACTGCTCGTAGGGCTTGCCGGCCTTCTTCAGCTTGTTACGCTCGGCGTTGATGTGATCAGTAATGACCTGCTCGACAAAGGCCTTGGTGTGGCCGTAGGTGTTGGTGGGGCCAATCGGGCAGTGCTCGGGAATGGGAATCATGTTCTCGAAACGGGTGGCATCGCCGTAAACGGTTGCCGAGGAAGAGAAGACAATGTTGGGAACATCGTTGTCCGTCATGGCCTGGAGGAGGGAGACGGTACCGGCAACGTTGACACGGTAGTACTCGAGAGGAATCTCGCCAGACTCGCCGACAGCCTGTGATCGATCATGTCAGTTCTTGTGGTGGAAGGGCATCGCAAAGGAGCAGAGCAGCTGACCTTGAGCGCGGCGAAGTGAATGACACTGTCAATCTCGGGGTGCTTCTTGAAGACCTCATCGAGGCCGGCCTTGTCGGTGACATCGACCTGGTAGAAGTGGGGTCGCTTGCCGCTCAGGAGCTCGATGCGGTCGACGGCAACCTTGGAGGAGTTATACAAGCTGTCGACAATGACCACATCGTAGCCATTCTGGAGAAGGGTGAGGGAGGTGAAGGAGCCAATGTAGCCGGTACCACTGCAAGCCACCAAATCGCGCGGTTAGCCTCAATACTCTACTCTGACTTGCGCCAACGACCAACGCCACGGCGGCGGGTGTCAACGGTGCCACAGGCAACTGGGTTGCCATAGACTTGTTAGTCAGGTGGGAAGAGGCGGTAGCTTACCCAGTAACCAAGACAGTTCCAATTGCCATCGTGAAGAAATTTGCTGGCGTCGATCGCAACTAGATGCGGTGAGGGGTAATTTGGAGGTGGAGAGGGGAGAGTAGGTTGTCGAAGAGTAGTGAAAGATGCGCGATCCGTCGGGGTATCAAGTCGTTAGGGTTTGAAGGAGAGCGCAAGTCAGTCGTGAGTTTGGGTCTGGAGGAATGACGAAAGGGAAGAGTTGAGAAGGATTGCGGGAGGAGGCGAGAGATATATCTGGCGGTTGATGTGAGGGGTGGGAATAATGAGGCGACGGTCGCAATAAGGAAAAAGTAAACGGGGTCGTCTGTCTGTAACGTCCAGTCTGAGTGATGATGTGGGAGAGAAATTGGCTCGGCCATGAGTGCCACCGTTCGCGCCCACGCCCACGCCCACGCCCATGTCTACCTGTACGCCCACCATGCCCACCAGCGAGGCCAAGCAATAGGTTGAGTGCGTGCTGCCAGTCCCAGAATGTACGGCGCAGGTACTGCGTGCTCAGTGGATTTGGGGCCATCTCAATGTTCCATTTGCAACGGCCAATCTGGCGCGCCAATTTGGAGCCGATGGCGGGGTCTTGCAGGCGGGGGTGGCACCAATCTCAGACTCTGTGACTGGCTGCGGAGCCGAGTAATTTCATCCTCGATGTTCAAACGGCGCAATTGTTGGCACGCTGAAACTTGCAACGACCGGGGATCGCGGTGCCGTGGAGACTGATCTTCGTGACGGTGGACGGGCCGACAAGGTCCCTACTGATTGATCATGTTGACTGCTTCTCCTTCATTGTCACCGTATCACTGGCTTGTGAATCTTGCCATCCAGGACGAACTGAGTGAATACGGTCAGGTATCCGTAGACCGACAAACTGACGAGACCTGAGAGTCAAGAGAAAGATCGGATGACGGATCCAGAGGTGGATGGCCTGGTGGGGTGTCTCCCCGGCGCATGCTCCCCGTATCCGTATTGTTTAACCCTTCCCGGATGTCTCTTTGCTGTTTGTTGGAGCGGCTGGGTGGTTGACCGGCCTAGCCTCGCCGAGTAGGTGCTTTCCTGCCCGAGTTCTCCATATGCGCATTTGCGAGATCCAGTCTGGCACTGCAGTTTTGCCATGTTGTCCGGTTGTTCGCCCGAAAGGACGAGGGTGAGGGGCCGGCGGGTTCCTGTGTTTGTAGACGGCAGCGGAATGGAAGTCAGGTCTGGGCCTAGGCACATTGCTCTAGCGCAGGCGATACGGATACCATGGCTCAGGGTTAGTCATGGCATGTCTCCCATGCTGCTTGGCACAAGTCCTGCATCGAGTCAAAATGCGCAGCATCTCCTCGACGTTTGGCGCAATATTTCAATTGCAGGGCGCAAGAGTGAGATGGACAAAGCACGTGGTGGGAATCGCATGTCGATGAATCTCCAGGATGAACCAGCAATTCGAGGTGGAGTCTCAAAGGTTGTGGGTAGGGCGTGGAGCAATCGGTGACGTACTGCATGGTCTGGATTAATGAGCTGTTGCAGCCTCAGGTTTACTGGTGCAGCTTATCCTACCTACCTAGGTAGGTACCTTACCTAAGGTAGGTAGGTATCAAGATAGGAAATCGGCTTATCGATACCTCATTATCACGTGGTCGCAAACCTCACTGGCTTACCTAAGGTAGGGATCCACAATGTTCCCACTTACGTAAGATGCTAGACTCGGCGGCGCGTAGCTGGCCGACCACCGTTGCGGGGACCACAGACACGCTGCAAGGGTCTGAGCTTTCTCTCTGCGCCCGACCCCCAGTTGCTGGCTGGGCGGTTGGCGGTGGGCGGCTGTCCGTCGCGAAAACATTCCCATGCCCGGTGTGTATGTGTGTGAGAAGTTCCTCAAGTGATCGCTTCTAGACGACACAAGGAACTCAACGAACCTCGGGACATCCCTCGCCTTGCATCGCCGCTGTCGCAAAACTCATTCTACTCCACCGACAATTCATTGACCTGCTCATCCCGCACAACCTGCCGCATTCTTTCGTCAAGCCCGTCTTTCTAGTCCTCCATACCGACGATCCGACGCGCGCGTGGTTTGGCGCGACTTGTGCCCGGGAAAGATGGTCGTTGCGACCAGGGACCGCTCTTCCTCTCTTTGTTGACAAACCGCCTCCCTCCCTTCCCGATCCGGCGGGCCTGTCCCTCTGGAATAGCTTCATTTTTGGGATTCTCGTCTCACTCGAAGCTCCTGCAACCGCCTCCCTTGCAGCCTACACAAAGCCTCATTCATATACGACCTCCAACCTCGCGCCAATTCTTCTCGAGGTTTTCCTTTCGGAGCCGCCTCCCTTGTAGCTCAACATAGATCTCATGCTTCATTGCGCCTGCCATTGTTGACGAGACAAAAGAGACCTCGGATTGCGACAAATTATTTTTTCAGAGACTCGTTGACAACTGCAGCGCATGTCTACCCAAACAATTATAACGTGAGTTGCGTCTTTGCAATCCTTTCTACTACTCCTCCCATTGCTTCTTTCCTTCAATGCTCTTTCTTCTCGCGCTTGCCGTCTGTGAGTTTGACCTCATCGTCACTTCCTACTTCGACAATTTCCAGCCCTGTCTCATACCTCTCCTCCTCATACATCGTATCTTTTCTCATCTTCACCTGTTCACCCCTCTGCGTCTCATCTCACTGCTACGTGGTGTTGAGTAACCTCACTTGATACGCAACCCGCCGTCCCAACCCACGACTCACCATCCTCACAGACCTTCTTCCGTCACACTGCGCCAAGATGCCTCCCAAGAGAAGGGTCCGTGACGATAACGGTGAGGCGCCATCCACCTTGGCCGGTGGTGCTGCCGTCAATCGAGAGTTGCCTCCGTTGGCATCGCGACTTGACACATCGTACGGATCTGCACCTTCCACGATTCTACGGAACACTCGCCGCGGTCAACAACGCAACTTGCAAGACATTATCAAGGAAACACTACACAACAGCGATGATTCTGATGATCCGGGTGACCCGGGCGACCCGGACGATGGGGATGGAAGCGATGATGGCGATGATGCCAGTCCCAGCAGCGGTGAGAACAGCAACAGCAAACAGCCACAGCCGCCTCCTTCTCGAAGCACAAGGGAAACAAGGCAAACAAAGTCGCCAACCCCCAAACCAGCGCCAAAGCCCAATCCGCCGCGTAGAGTGCAACCGAGTCCTGATCCAGACCCTGATCCCGACCCGAACTTCGACCAAGACTTCGGTCCTTATCGAGAGTCCTCAGAATCCCCCGATCCATTAAGGGATGCAACACCAGATCCGCCCCTCGCCCGGCGCTCACCGCGACGACAATCACCAGTCAAACCCGGTAAGTACGACCACGTGCGCGACACCAGGTCTTGCCTTGCCGCGGTCTCACTTCCCTTGCTAAACATCGTCTCAGCTCCCTCTATCAAACCTCCTTCATTCCACCAAGGCCCTCTAGTTCCTCCACAGCAGTTTTTGCCAGCTGCTGCACCGCCAAGAGGGCAATTCTCAACAAATTCACAGTCGATGAATAGGAGAGCCAGCTCGGAAGATCCTGCTCAAGGCCTGACACCTGCTAGACGATCTCTTCCTGCTGCAAGCTGGAACTCCGTCTTCGCCCGAGCCATATCCGAAGAGCCCTATTCCCAGTCTCGCTCTCAATTCACCCAAGGCCCTCCGGAGCCGACTCCGACACCAGACTCAGTTCGCACCTTTGGCCAGGAAAGCTCACTCTATGGGGGTGCCGATATTGGCTCAACCCCGTCGCAGTCTCTCTCTTCAGAGCGTGGTGGTCGCATGCGGTCAATAGAGGAGAGCGAGGAACCCTCTCCGCCCAAAGAACAGAGGAGAGGCATCGATCTACTCAGTCCATTGAGGCGCCTGGCACGCGATCCCCGGCACAACGCGCAAATGGCACAGCGAAATTTGAGTCAGACCATCCCTCACCAAGGTATCATCCAAGCGCCGATCACCAAAGTTTCTGATAGACCTCCTCCCGACCTGCTATCCTTACTACCCTCCCAGAGTACCACGCGTCCACCTCAACAGGAGCCACCAAGTACACCGCCATCAGATCGATTTCGCCAGCGCAGCAGTAAATCACCTTACCAGGTCTCATCTGCTCATCTTGTCGACCAATCTCCTGCCAAGAGAGACCCTCCAGGGTCAGTCGCAAGCTCGCGTCAGCTCGCAGCTAACAAAATTTCGGTGTCACCTTCTCCTGCTGCAAGGTCGAGCTCAACTCGTCTGTCAAGTCGTGTTAGTGAAGGCCCATCTCTCAATAATCAATCTCCTCAAGTCTCAGCCCGTCACCCTTCACCTCGCAAGCCAATACAGGCCGTGAACTTCAATCCTGCTCAGAGAGGACCGGCGACTGCCGAAGAGGATTCTGCACCTCTTCGCCCCCTATTTGGCAAATCTCTGCCCGTCAATGGAATTCCAGCACCGTCTCGTCCCTTGGCCAATGACCCGCCAGCCATCAGAGTAGAAGCTCCAGCGTCCACGGCGGGTGGAACCGGCTCAACAAGGCTTCCCAGTTCAAGTAGTCTTTCTGGCAACGGCAACAGTCGATTAGCACCTGGCCGGAGCGGGCCTGGTATGTTCACTCCTGAAATGCGAGCAAGGATACAACAAGAGCATCGGCAGGAACGGATGAAACAAGAAGCCCTTCGAAAGGAGCGTAATGCTCGTTTGCAGGCATGGCCACGGGTCTACAATACAGTATATGAATGGACACATGTCCCTCGACCGGATAGCCCCGAGACAGACGACGGCTTTGGATCCGATACAGATGGCCATATGGATTCCATTGTGACTTCGCGGCAGGTTCCCTACAGCGAGTTCTCGTGGGCAAGTTGGATCTTGTTCAAGATTGCCGATGCGTTTGTGGACTTGATCAACTTTGGCTTCTCTCAGGACTTTAGGTTTCTCAAGGCTTCGCTCGGCGTTCTGCTTCTGTCACTCCTGATGTGGAGTGCCTTGGCAGGACTAAACTCTACGCCGGCTCTTGGACTAGGCGGTATCCAATGGTACGGTCTTTCAGACTTCTCACACAATCTCGGACAATTTGTCCCGCTTTGGATGTCGCGACCGGCGACGCTCTTCAGCGACGATGACGCTAGAGAATACGTCCGCCAGCAACGCAATCATGAATACGAAATCACCAAGTTGACAACGGCCAGCAAGCTTCACGATGGATCACTATCGCGCTTGATGGAGATTGTTCCCAAGGTTGTGCACATGAAGTTGGACAAGAAGGGCCGGCCCGTCGTGGGAGAGGAATTCTACCACGCGTTGCGTGACCTCATGAAGAGTGATGCCGAAATTTTGACCTTGAGCCGGGGTCATGGCGGCTACCACTTCATCTCCGATGAGAACTGGCTAGCAATCAAGAGCAGGCTACAGAAGGATCCCGTGTATCAGAAAGCTTCTGAGCCGCCTGCGCAAGGACTTTCCTCTGCCGACGTCGAGAATATTTCACAGTCCAAGTTCGACAAGACCTGGGAGAAGTGGCTCGTCAACAATAACAAGAAGATCGCCAAAATACTCGAGCCTCAGTTCAGCACGTCCATTCCAGACAAGATTGGCAAGGATCTCGAATCGAAGATTGAGAGGTTCGTCAAGGACCAGTTCAAGAATAAGGACACCAAGGACGTCGTGGTAACACGAGATGAGTTCATTCGCCATCTCAAGGGCGAGTTCGCCACCCACCGGAATGAGGTCAAGGCTGAGGCGCAAGAACTGCAGAAGAAGCTCGAGCAGTATATCAATGAATCGGTCGAGGGCATTTTGAAGAAGAGCCCGCCAAAGGGCGTCACACGGACCGAAATGATAACGGTGGTTGATGGCATGATCCGCCAGGCGATTGCGAACGCTGGACTGGAAGCGCTTGCGCAAGGCAAGATCGGTGCGGTATGGGATAAAGAACTCCGCCATCAGGTCAACTACTTGGCTCATGGTAGCGGCGTTATTGTATCACCCGACCATCTGACGCCCAATTACCTGCCTCCCATCAAGGCCAAACTAGGCACCGAGAGTTTCAAGAAACTAACATCACGGAGTCCTCACATCCAACCCCCCGCTGCAACGCTGTACGGCTGGGAGGATGAAGGAGACTGCTGGTGTGGCATGGTTGTCGTGGACAGAGATGGAAAAGAAGGCGGCGTTCGCATCGGCTACATCCTCAGTCGAGAGATTGTCCCCCAGCATCTGGTCGTAGAGCACATTTTGCCTGGAGCTACGCTGAATCCCGACGCCAGGCCAAAGGACGTCGACATTCTGGCATATTACACCGACCTTCACACGCGTAATCGGGTTGCTGACTTTGCGGCTGCCCATTTCCCAGGCACCAAACTCTCGGATGGCTGGGTGAAGATTGGTCAACTTACTTACGAAAGCAGCGACACACTCAACGGAGCACACGTACATAAGCTCAGTTCGGAGCTACTTGCCCTGGGGGCCTACACAGATCAAATTGCGCTTCACGTTACCAGCAACTACGGCTCGGACCACACGTGCTTGTACAGAGTGCGACTCTATGGCGTGGAGAGCGAGGCTTGAGGAGAGACCGGAGCAAAGGATGGGGGGGATACATGGAACCTTTCAGGTGTTGTGTCTCCGGCGTTGATTCGACTGGGCCTCGCTACATTTGCGTGGGACACACTGGCTTAGGGATGGCTTTTTGCAAGACGTGAGGGTTTTCCAAGCGTTTGGGGAACGAGGAATTGTAAAGGCACTTGGCGTTGGGGGTTGACGATACCCCATGGACTTCTTTTTGATGCAGTCCTTAGGCAAAGAGAGTATTTAATGCATAACGTTTTTAAATCCTCTTCGCTGATGAATGATGTCCACAGTCTAGTACATGATCAAGTGCTTCTATTGTGGCAGGCAAACCTTTTCTCCTTTTGATTCAGTCCTCTCAACGGGGTATATATCTTTTAGTTCAACAAGCCCGAAGCCAAAGCCTCGAGGTCCTCCAATGTCTCGGGCTCGTGGTCAATCTCAAGCACCTTGCCGCCCTTCTTGGCCTTCTTCTTCTTCTCCCTCTCCTCGTCCGAGTCATCCTGGAACCACTTCTTGGTCTTCTTCTTTGGCCTCTCGTCCTCGCTGCCGCTGTACTCGCCGCCTCCTTCACCCGCAATCGGCAAAGACCGCAACAGCGCCAACGGATCTTCGTCCCCATCGTCACCGCCGACGACCTGCGGTCCCTCAGCACTCTTCGGCACACCCTCCCCGCGCTCCTCGGCCTCTCGCTGCTTCCTCTTGAGCCTCTTCTCCTTGAGCCGTCCCTTGGCGGCGAGCTTATCATCCACATCAGCCTCCTTGACGCGCGCCGCCTCGCCCTCGACGAATTTTTGCCGGAGCGCCTCCGCGGGTCCTTCCTTTTCGAAATCGTCTTCGTTTTGCAGCTCGTAGATTTGGTGCGCGTTGCCGTCCTCGTCAAAGACGAGCTTCTCGCCGCGGCCCTTGAACTTGAGCATCTTCTTCTTGGACTGGAGGGCCTTTTCGCGGCGCTTGGAGTCGACGATGAAGTCTTGGCCGCCGTAGGATATCACCTTTGGCTTGGCGCCTGGTGCGAGGCCGGATTCGGCGTCGAGTTCGGAGTCGTTGAGGACGCGTTTTACGGAGAGGAAGTCTTCTTCTTCTCCGTCTGCACCGGTGCCGGCGCCGACGGCTGCTGCGGTGGGGTCGGTTGCGTCGCCGGTGACTTCGTCGCCGTTGGCTACGAGTTTGGTGTAGTGGCCTGAGAGGACGTCCTGGTTCGTGCGCTCGAACATGCGGTCGTACTTTGTCCTGACCTCGGGCTTCTTGGGCTTCTTGGGTCCCGCCGCCGCGTCGTCGGAGTCCTCCTCGTCTTCGTCGGAGGACATGCCCTTGCGGGGCGCGTTCTTGACCTTTTTGATATCCTCGCCCTTGCGCATCTTGATCTGCGGCGCACCGGGGAGGCCGAGACTTGCGGCGTAGGCGTCGAGGTCGAGTTTGTTGAACTTGAAGACCTCCTTGTCCTTTTGCAGGTAGATGGAGCGGACGTAGCTAATGAACGCCTTTTGGCCGAGGTACTTGAGGTCCGGGTTGGAGAAGCACATGCTCTGGAGCTGGTCCTTGATGCTCTTCTTCTTGCTCTCCTTGACGGTGATCTTGTTGATGGGCACCTTCTTGAGCTCGAGGCGCTTGAGCATGCCGGCTTCTTCGCTGGGTTCGAGGAAGAGGACGGCTTTTCCGTCGCGCTCGTAGCGGGCGGTGCGGCCGACGCGGTGGATGTAGGTATCGACGTCCTCGGGGCAGTCGACCTGGACGACCCAGTCGACGGCGGGGAAGTCGACGCCGCGGGCGACGACGTCGGTGGCAAAGAGGACGGAGGCGTTTGCGTCGGCGAAGCGCTTTGTGATTTCCATGCGTTGGAGCTGTTTTTGCTTGCCGAGGAGGTGGAGGAGGGGCACACCGGGCTGGAGGTGTCTCATGCCCTCGTAGGCGAAGCGAACCTGCTTGCCTGAGGAGAAGAAGACGATGATTTTGCTCTTGAGGTTGGCTTTGATGAAGCCGAAGAGGGTGTCGAGCTTCTCGTGGAGGGGGGTGACGATGTAGTGCTGCTGCAGGTTCTTGGGCGTGGATTCTTCGTGGACGGAGACGTATTCGGGGTCCTTGAGACTCAGGCGCGCGAGGTCGGAGATCTTTTTGCTCTGGGTTGCGCTGAAGAGGAGGGTCTGTCTTGTGGAGGGGAGGTGGTCTACCAAGGCGTCGACGGCGTGCTGGAAGCCCATGTCCATGATGCGATCCGCCTCGTCGAGGACAAGAATCTGGAGGTTGTCGACGTCGAAACCGGCCGTCTGGTCGAGGTGCTGCAGCATGCGACCGGGCGTGCAGACGAGGATATTCATCTTTGACAGACGCTCAGCCTCCTCCTTCAAGCTCTTGCCTCCAATGACGAGACCGGCGGAAAAGTTGTGGTAGCGGCCGACCTTGCGGAGGACCTCAAAGATCTGGGCGGCGAGTTCGCGGGTCGGGGAGATGATGAGGGCGCCGAGGCCGTCGAACTCTGTCCATTGCGCGCGGTAGAGCTTTTCGAGAACGGGGATGATAAAAGCGAGAGTCTTGCCACTGCCCGTCTTGGCGGCGCCGAGGATATCGCTGCCCTTGAGAGCGAGGGGCACGGCGCGGGACTGGATATCGGTGAGGGTCTCGAAGTGGGATTTCTCGAGGCCCTTTCGGGTCGTTTCGCAGAGGGGTAGTTCGGAGAAGCTGGTGTATTCGCTCTTGGGGTCCTAATAATCGTACAGACACAGGGTCTTCGGTCAGCCTTTGTGCAAAGATTCGCAATCTCGCCGGCTTGGGTGTGGCGGGCGGGCTGGCGCGCAAAAGATACTTACAAAGTCGGCTACGGACTTCTCGAGCTGTTCAATTGTTTGCTGCTGCTGCTTTCTCTTCTCGAGGCGTGAGTCTCTTTTGAGGACCTTGGGCTGCTGCTTCTTCCCTGATCCCTTTGCGGGAGGCTTCGTGGGAGTCGCCATTGTTGTCGTTTCGTTTGCGTCAAGCTCTGTCACTACACCGCGGAGGATCTCAGAAGGGCAAAAAAGAAAAAGAAAGAAAGAAAAAAGGTTCAGACGGGCCTTTCGAGGAAGCGCCTGGAAATTTTTGGCGACGGGTTGCTGCGGTGGAGTGAAAAGTTCGGCATTCGGCGACAGGGGACGCCGTTTGTGGGGTTGGTGGTGGCGTGCATCCTGGCACCTGGCACCGTCTGGCCCGTTAGGTTACTCGAGATATCTTCTTTCTCCTTTAGTGCTATCCATGTCACCATTCCCATCCCAACATAAATCTCGTACTTACCTATTATCTAGGCGATAATAAACATTGAAGTGAGTATGTACAGCAAACAAGCGCTCAATAACCTCAATGAGTACGTCGGGTAAAGCATAGAAGAGCTGGCTCGTTATCCAGAAAAAATTGAATTCATTGCAAGCGTCGACATGTTAATATACGTCTACTCGAATCTCTAGGTGATCCCGCGACCCTCGTCCGCCTACATGCTTCCGGCTTTCATCCACTTCAGCATCCAAACGCTTTCCGTGGTCCTATCTCGACCCTTCGCTTCAGTGCACTCTCGCTCTCTCCTTGTGCCGATCTCCTGATAAGATCGTCCGGATCAAACTCAGTGCCAATGGGGTTCTCTACGAAGAGAGAAGATGCCATAAAATCGTTTGCTTCTCGAATTGTGTCAAAGTTGTCTACAAGAAGTTCAACGCCGTTGCCGTCTGGATCTTTGTAATAAAGACTTGTGGTCGGGCCATGGTTGACACACCAATAAGGAATAATGCCATTGGCCTTGTGCGTCTGGTAAGTGGAGAGCAGATCAGCCAGCGTCGAGTAACAGAAGGCGACATGTTCCAAGCCTGTTGCTTGCGGTTCGGCAGTCTTCAAGCCGGGAAGCTCAACAATCGCAACGCGATGGTGATCGTCCTCGTCATCGAAGCGTAGGATGGACAGAGCCTCATTTTCGAAAGCCACGATGCAGCCCAAGAAACTGACGTAGAAGTCTACCATTACACGAAACTGATTGGTCTTGAAGACGACATGTCCCACTCGTTTCGGGCTCTTGACGAGCCCTTGGTTTTGGCCAATGTTCAAAGCCATGTCTGAATCGGTAGTGAAAAATATGATCAATAACCTAGAGACAAGATGCCGCAGTTGTGAGGCTCGGCCAATAAAAGAGAAGAAGAAGTCTGTAATCGAAGGGGCATAAAGTGACAAAGGCGATTGTCGGCTGGATACATTGCTAGTCTAGTGCCGAGCAACAAAGATATATGAGCTGCATGTTCTATCAGTCGGAAGTTTTCGGCGAGATTGGTGCTCTCAAACTCGCCTATTCGCCCAGAGTCTGGTGACGAATAACGCCCGTGATAGAACCTATCTCTGTTCTTCATTTGAGTATATCTTGGCCTATCCTCGGTCTCGGTATCGCCTTGTTCACGCACGTTCAATGTCAGATAGAGTTACAAACCTCAGACGATATCCACAGAACCCAGTCTCGGCTCCGGGCGCAGCGACGAAGTCCGGCTCCATCTGACTTGGTGGACCGTGGGGTTTCTTGGTTTGACTCGGCGGCTGACACGGACTCAATCACCGAATGACGAGTGTGCGATGGAATCGTGAATTTATTGCATGATACTCCGTCACCACTTGGGCACTTTATTCTTCTCTCGTCAACCAAACCACAGACAGCCCTTGAAATCCATTTCCGCATTTACGTTGTCACCATGACGTCTCTCGTTGGGCTTGCTGAGTCGAATCTCTCATACTATTCGGTTAGCATTTCTTTTCTGAAACCGCTCGCAAGATGAAAGCCACTTACTCTAGTCATAGGTTCCTTTGGCTTACATACTTGCTTTTATCCCACATGTCTACGCTAATACAATTGCGGGTGACAAATATGACGTGGCTGAGCCTCGTAAGCTCCTAGATGCTGTATCAGGCGACGAGCGTCTCGACAAAAGGGTAAGCAGTGCTTAGAACTCTTCGTCGCATAGCTGACAAAAATGCTTCCAGGTTCGCCAGAGAATTCAACGTGCCAAAGCTGCCCACGACAATTCGACTGAGACGCTGGGTCTGTACGCTGCAGGTGTTGTAGCTGCAAACTCGGCGGGTGTTGGCAAGCCAACGTTGGATGTACTGTCTCTGATATACCTTTCTTCCAGAGTGGCATACACTCTCATCTACGTCAAATTACAGGACAATCGCAAATGGGCGCCGCTGAGAAGTCTCGTATGGATTGTTGGGATGTGTATCATCTTCTCTCTGTGGATCAAGGCGGGTAATGCAAAGTAACCGTAAATAGTACGTGTATCCGTAATCGAGAAATCTGAAATGTGTCCCTGAGCTTCCGATTGTAAGGCTCCGAGTGTCAAACTCTGACTGGTCATCTGTGGAGCAAGATAAACTACTGGGAATGCCTCAGATTAAGCCTCTGCAGGCGGCTGCAAGGATCCTTCGCCAGAGAGCCCTTGCAGCCTTCAAGCTTGCATGTTCCATGACACTGACCTCGGCCAAAAGTAAAGAACGCCCAGCTAGTCCTGTCACTTAGCCTGAAATTCACCTCATGTATCGTTCCTGTCAAATATTGAACCTATTTGTGGCAACGTATTGGGAAGCCCGAGCCGATCCGATGAGGGGCTGTACGATTCAGCGGTAGGCGAACCCAAAAATTACTGCCGCGGTCTAGATCTTTTGAAATATAGTATATTTAGACGCATTTGTCCTCGTGCTGATTCAATTTGTTTGATTACCTATCTTGCTCTTTCGCCAATCGCTTTACTCCGTCACCCGAGCTTTGATATCTTCAATTATCATGACTTTCCTTCTATGGCCTAGGGCGGAGCCTGCCTTCGACCGCTCCGAGCTTTTGTCTTCGATTAAGGGCAAAGTCATTATGGTTACTGGAGGAACAAGTGGCCTGGGGAGACAGGCGGTATTGGAATACGCGCGGTATGGTCCAGAGAAGCTATGGCTTGCTGCACGAAACGCCACCGCGGCAGAGAGGACCATCAAGGAAATTCAAGATGAGGCTCCAAATGCATCCATCGAGTTCATTCATCTTGAGCTCACTTCAGTTGCATCGATTCATAATGCCGCTCGCATGTTTCGCTTGAAAGAAAGCCGACTAGACATTCTCATGCTGAACGCTGGAATCGTCGCAACACCACCCGGACTGACTGAGGACGGCTACGAAATGCAGTTCGGCACCAACTATATTGGGTCTGTCCTGCTTGCGAAACTTCTGAATCCAACCCTTCTCGATACTGCTGAAATACCAGAAGCAGACGTCCGAATCATCTTTTTGGGCTCTCAAGCAGCCTCGATGGCTCCGACGGAGGGCATTGTCTTTGAGGCTCTCAAGACAGACTTTCGTGAAGTTGGCGCTTGGGCAAGGTATGGTCAGAGCAAACTCGCAGTCATTTTGTATGCCCGGGAGTTGGCGAGGAGACATCCCAAGATCAAGGTCTGTGTCGTTGATCCAGGCTTTGTAGATACGAATTGGGCACAGTCTTGGAAATCATCAAGCTACATACTTGAAGCATTGTATCCCATTATGAGAATGGCATCAAGCAGCGTGGAGAGTGGAGTTCAAAATCAGTTGTGGGCATCAGTCCACCCAGATGTCAAGAGCGGGGAATATTATCTTCCCGTCGGGAAACCGGCCGTAGGAAAGGGAAAGTTGGCAAACCAAATGTTGGCACAAGAGCTATGGGAGTGGACGGAGACAGAGCTGGAGGGGATGAACTGAAGAGTGCTTAGAATTCCAAGCGTTGAACCAATGTATGGAGATGATTCAGCTTCACAGCGTGAATAATCAGTAGGCACCGAACTTCAACTGAATGTAGCTCCCGGAATGCAATTTCATTTGAATATAATACGAACAAGTCTTTCGGAGAAGTATTGGAAGTAAAGAGGTCCTGCTCAGCTCGTAAAGCCATAGCGTGTTTTATGTATTTGAAGGTACGAAGATTTAGTTTCACCAAATTCCAGGTACGATTCGCCACGGAACAGTTCTGCAGTAGTCCTCCCACACCGGCCCGTACTTGGCCGAGCATCTTGCCTCATCCCGAATGCATCGGTGTACGAGCAAGATTGTCATGAACATCGCATAGAACCACACCAAGCACTTCGAAGATCCCACTAAAGCGCACATCGCGGTACTGAGGAGCAAGTCTCCAAAGTAGTTGGCATGACGCGACCAGCCCCACCAACCACTGCAAATAAGAAGGCTCTGATGACTCTGGCCGTCCGAAGTCTTGTAAGATGCTACCAAGACTTTTGCCGGACTCCCCCAAATGGAGCAATCGCCGTTGGAACGACGAACTCTGTCCTTTTGGCTGTTGACAGCCCGGAAGATGATGTACCCAGCAACTCCGATAGAGAAGATGGCGACCTGGTGAAAAGTTGAGGTTCTTGCTGGGTAGAGCCCGAGAAATTGGGTTTGAATGGTATACATGCTCGGGAGCCAGACAAAGGACCCCCAAGCTAGGTAGAAACCGAAGTGGTCGTGAGCAATGTCAATGGTGCGCAAGTACCAGGACTCATTAACGAAGAAGTCAAGGACGTACACTGCGTGCAGAATAGTGACAAGAACAATGTTGGGATCGATCCGTCCATGGATCTCGTACTGATATGCGATGTTGGACAGATCGCTATATTTGAGTCAGCTTGTGTGAAGCTGCGCCATTCTTCCTGGAAACCTACATCAGTGTCCATGCAATTATGCCCGGTCTGCCATTGGTGAACAATTTCAGGTCAAAGTCGCCCCAAAGTCGTGGATTATGCTCGATTCCCATGTAAAAGTCATAAAATATGGATCCTATCATATGTCAGTCATTGTGTGACCATGGAAAAACATGGTGACCGTTGGCTTACCACTGAACTTCCGATCATCTGCATGGGTTGGCCTGAGGTGCGCTTTGATGAAAGCCAGGACAGATAGCAAGAGACCAGCAGCATTCATTGTGAGGACCAGGCCACCCCAGTTCTTCGGGATGAAGGCAGGATCCAAGAGGCCGAAATAGCAAAGCGCAGCGGCAAATGCATGGGTAACGAACCAGGCATTGAGCCCATTGGTACGATAGGTCAACAGATGGCCGGCAGGACTTCTCTGGCCGTCGTGTATTGGGCCTGGCAAATATCGAAACAGGATGCCTTGAAAGAGGATCCAGAGTGCAAACACGCCAGTGGACTTGAGGCTGAAGCATGGCCAATTTGACCATACGACAGATATCAATCCATCTTGCAAAGTAGCTTTCAAGAAGTCGGACAGAGAGCCTTGGAATGCAAAAATAGTCACGGTCGTGGAGATGACCAAAGTCGGCGCAAGCATCACAAGAAGCAGTGAGCCGACTGAGCGCATCCAGGATCCGCGACTTGATCTACCCCAAGTTGGCCGTTGTGCGGGCTCAAGCTGAAGCCGAGACCGGCAGTAACCTTTTCTCATCCTCACGAAAGTCGACTCAGGCGCCGAGGGAACATCTAGAGACTCCATCTTGATTGTTGACGATGTGGAAAGAAACGAAAAAAAAAACGCGAATAGATGTGTAAAAATGCGAAAGGAGCGACTTCCTGAACTTGGTGTTGGTACAGATGCTGAATGCTCGGAGAAGTCTCCAAATCTTTCGTGTTGACATGTATATATGTTATCAACACTTGCCCCCGAGTCACGTATCAATCATCATGGCGTCTCGGCATTGAGTGCTACCAAATTGGGCCGTCTCGACCGGAGAATCTTGCCAACAGCCCGCCTCGCTCTGAGACTGGAACATTGTGGATGCTATTAACCTAGCTTGGCGCGCTCAGAGGCTCAGCAGGAAGCTGATCAAGACTGATGGAGTATGGGCCCAGGGTAGTGTGCAAAAGTGGGATCAGGTGTTTAGCATAGCGTCGCTCCCTAGTCCTTGAAGCACATGAATCGGGTCATCCCATACACAGCACGCGGAGAACTGGTCATGCCCCCGTTTCTTCCACTGAGTCTATCTCGGAATCATTCGTCCGGAGATCGGCACAGGCTGCGGGTTCTAGATCTTGCAGGAAATAAGGTTTCCGGTCCGCGCGCAATACTCACAAAACGTTATACCAGAGCGGTCATGATTGAAACCGAAAGCGACTAATTATGTGACTCGGCGACAGCAATTCGGCCGACTCAGCCTGGAGGTCCGGTAGCAATATGGGCTCGCTTCCGGCCCAGAACATAATGATTACCATAGCATAGGACTTAGACTTCTCATGCAAATTGATGTAACCTTTGGCTTCGAGTGAACATCCGTGGCCCACAAAATCCACGATGGGCAGTGGCCGGACGGGCGTACCATTGAGCTGGTGCGATGACTTTTGGCAGAATTGGGTTTTGGCAACATTGTAGTTGAACAGGAATATCAGAAACCAGTGACTATATTTGAAGTGGATTTGGAAGAGATTGTGACACTCTTAACTACATGTTTTCTGAAGTCTGGAGGTTGACATAGCAATCCTTGGGCTCCACAGTTATGCTCTCCCTGAGCTCATAGGTGCTAAGGTTGTCGGCGCATGGCTTGAAAACGAAATTCCACACAAGCAACGCAAGAACCATGCGCAACTCAAGATAGGCGAGACGTCTACCAAAACATCCTCTTGGTCCACCACCAAATGTCAAGATTGGCCCTGCTTGAGGATCAAAATCAAAATCAGACAAAGTCCAGCTGTCTTCTTTTCCGACGAATTCTTCGCTGAACCCGCTCGCTCCCGTCTTTGGTACAAGCCAGCGCCCAGCACAGAACTTTCCTACGTCGTCGGAAAGCCAGTCTGGAACTCGCTTGGCTTCTTGCGAAGTTCTACTTCTCACTTGTTCGTCAACGCCCAGAGAAGGCTGCACGTAGCTCGCCCCCTGTGTGAAGATGAAGATTGTGGTACCTTTCGGCACGAACTTCCCCATCACGATAGTATCATTGACAGCTTCGCGTGTTAGAATCGAAGCTGTCCGTGAGAGTCGTAGAATCTCTTCCAGGAAGGCATCAAGATACGGAGCTGTAACCGTTGTGAGTTCGGTTACACTTGGCTGTCTCCTCTCTTCTACAGCATCTGGATAAATTGCCTGGAGATGTTTGCGCAATGTATGCTGTTGTTTCTGATTATCGGCTAGAAACTTCACAGCCCAAGACAAGATGGACGCAGACGTTTCATGGCCCGCGACGATGTATCCAAGCAACTGTCGTGAAGTCAGCATGAATTTCTCGTCTAAGGGGAAATCAAAAAGTTTACCTCGTCTTCCAATCTCTTTGAAGTGAATGAGGGTTTACGTCCGGACTTCTTGGCTGCTGTCACTTCTCGCAAGACGATGAAGTCTAATGCTGATTTGGCTGCCTTCCCTCCTTGGAGCGATTCGTCGCTCAGCGATGATACTGCCTTTTGAATCTGGCTCCTGATGAACTGGTCCTTCTTCACGAATACACTGCTCACTCTCGTGAATGTCTTCAACAGCCATGCAAACTGTTTTGGGAAGGGCGACGTGACAACCCTGCCCATAAAGTGGGTGATATCAACAGTAGCCTGGTACTCAGTAGGAAGCCCAAGACTCTTGAAGCATGCAGGCTCTTTCGGATCTGTTGGCACTAGGAAGGGCCTATGGCCTGTTTCTCGCAGTATGTGCTGCCGGAGAACACCGCCATTGCTTGTCTCGCCAAAGGCAGCGGACATGATGATATCTAAAGCAGCGTTCTGAAGATCGTGATGGGCTTCAAACGGACGGCCTGCGGCCCATTTGCTCTTCACACTCCACAGCTCTATGAGAGATAGCGCTTTGCTGTAAATCTCGGGCGCAGAAACCTAAGTAGGCAAAATTAGCTGAGAAAAGCTTTCTAGACCGAAGTCGTCAAAAAAAACTAACCTCATTCAAGAATCCTGGGGCCATCAAATCCTTCACCAAGTCCTTGTTGCCTTTGAATCTGGCGTCAGCTGACACCATCGAAAGATGATGCTCAGGTAAAATGGTCGACATAGTTTCTGCATCCCTTCGGCAACGGTCAAATTCCTTCGTTCGCCGTGCAACAATGTCGTAACTTTCACGATAGTCAAACAAAACCACACATGGCGGTGCAAATGGGCCTAGGAAGACCTGAACCATTGGTGACCCGTGTTTCTGAGCCAGGTCGCGCATCCACACAGTAAAGCCTTTTCCGTGGGTTCTTGCATGCTGGAAGGCAGGAAGGTCACCCAAGAAGCTTTTCAGAGCGCTCTCGTTGTATGGAATCCCAGTGAGAGGTCTTGGGAAGCCTTTCAAGTAGATGTAATAAACAAGCGTAAAGGTGAGAAATATCAACGCCGGGATGGGTGACTGCAACACGATGGAAGCCGCATGATAGGTGTGTTTGATCATGTTGAGAACTTTGCGGGATGGAGTTGATGAGTGAGGATTAATTCCTAGGAAAATCATAGACCACGGTCAGATAGACTACACCGAAGGGAATCGCAACGAATGTGATTATAGCGAACGAGATAAATTTTAGCTTGCTTGAGGGAGGCTGATCATATCCCTGTTGATCCTGGGACCCTGTCCCTACAATGATCGGTTTCGAGACGACCGAAATTGTGGCTGGAATACATAGCAATCTTGGCAATGGATCGCTTATACATTACTATCAGTACGTGTTGACCTGTCCGGAATCCAGGCCAGGCTGGAAAACACGAGAGGACCGTGCCTTTTATGGTCCTTCTCCATATGGGACCGAAACCGAAGTTGTCACGAGCTATTATGGCACGTAGCAATGGGCAAAAGAAGTGTGGCAAAGCTAGCTTGTATGACTATAGATGAAATAGATAACGGAATATGTCAATATAGGTAGGAAATGTAAGTGAGGTCCCGTGCTAGCGCATGTGACAGTCACTTCGAGACAGGCCGAGTCTATCCCTGTTCCATGACAGAAGTCATCCAGTCTGGTAGATATCCAAACTCTATCCGCCTGACCGATGCTAGTGAAAGTCGGACTGGAGATTCAGCTCCTTCAACAAAATCGGATGGAATGGCAGAAGTCCGGATGAGTCCAGTCCGAGCCTTTGCTGGGGATAGAACCACGTCGGGGTCGACCAGGCAAGGAACACAAGAACCCATAGGTATCCGACAAAGACCCGAACTCTGGACGCCGAATGACACACTGGCGCTTGTTTCGAGATAGCCTGGATAGCATCTTCAGCGATGATTCCAATGGGCTGCAGCAAGAAGAACATAAAAGCACCGGCGTTCTTTGCTGTCATTCCCATTGCGATGTCAGAAGTATGATGAATCAGACCGGAAATGAAAAAGGAGATAAAGATACGAAGGTATCTAGAAACCAGTCTTTGCCGGAATGGGAAAATGTGGTGTTCAATGACATCGGCATGGCCTGTGAGGCCACTACGCAGACATTGATGCCATGAGGTCCTGAGTGGAAGATTGTCAGCAAATAGACTGGAACGCAATTGTATCGTTCGACTTACCCCCAGAAGCCCCTAATGGTTGAGGCAGACGAAAAATCCCCATAGAGTGGAGGACAGTCCTCGACCTTGCATAGAAAAACGACAACGAACCCGAGACAAGTAACTTCGAACATGAGTAGGTTTATGAGAGCGGTGCAGGCCCAGAACGACAGGGTCCCAATGATGCGGAACGTGATGTCCGCTTGCGACAGCCTGACGAGACCCTGAAACGCCAGCGCTTGTTTGTCGCGACCGACAAAATTCGGGTCCGGAGGCGGAGCCTGCGTCATGAGGCTAAGAACCTGAAAGGCAACCAGGATCTTGAGAGATCGTTTCAAGACAAATGCTACCCGGCTCTCTGGGGGGTGTGGAGACCGTTGTTGTAATCCAGGGACATGTTTGACCTGCCACCTCGTGCCGATTCGTCTGAGCTTCCAAAGCAGCATTAGAGATTCGTACGTTCGGGCCACGAGAGAGGCAGAAGATGGGGTGAACCCAGCCATGCTCTTGGTGCGGGCGTCCGATTCCCAGATGCCATCCCACTTTCTGACTAGGACAAGCTCAGAGGCACTCATAAACTGAATCCATAAAAGTGGAACGATCGCGGAACGCCAGTGAGGATTGGCGATCCACTCACTAGACGCGAGCTGGAGCGCGTAAGTTAGGGTCGCGAGAGCAAAGACTCCGGTCAGCCGGATGAAGGACTTTGACGGAGGAAGAGAGAGAGTGATGAGCAGAAATGTAACCAGGAACGTAATCAATAACGACCCAGTAACTGCCGCACCACCCGGGTAAGATTTTATGAGCATTGTTGCGAAAAGAGGAGTGCGTACGTCTTGGCGTATGACAGTAATCGAAAGCACTGGCATGGAAATGGTACAGGCTGGCAATGAGAGATGCTTCTTGTAACATCAAGCGTACTTTTCAAAGAGACTCATCGAGGCAATAAATAGAAGTTTGCAGCTTTGTGTGCTCATAAGACCGCTTGTGGCAGCTTCACGGCACTCAGGTGGCGGACTTGTACCTGTTCTCGGTAGCTAGGATGAGGGTCCAACCTCTGGGAAGGATGCGGGCAGCATAATCCTTGACCACACACAGACGGCTACATTAGTCATTTCGACTTATGAATAGATTTTGAGAGCAATAGATGGGCAGCTAGAAGCCTACGAGTTCCACATTATCAAACCGAGTCCGAAGGGAAGATGTAAATAGAATCATGACTGTATCGCAAAAGGTCTGCGATCTCAGTGTTATAGCTCCTTACTCTCCAATCTCTCGCCATACTCGTTGCTTTACCAGGCTGAAGACGTATTCCTCACGATGATAGACATTACTGAGCTGAGCCATTTGCTAGTTGCTCTAGCTTTCTTACCTACAGCAGCATTTTTTCTCTTACGCTTGGTTGAATACTTGACCCTTAGACCCGGACCAAAAGAGCCTCCTCTGGTTAATGCTTCGATACCTTTCATAGGTCATATACTCGGACTTCTGAGATATGGAGTGTCATATTACATCCATCTGAGGTAACTGAATACAGATGGGGCACTAAAACCCTTGATCTTATCAAAGTATGTTTTTCTCGACGGATTATTGACTTTGAAAGCAGATCATCGACCAAACTTCCAATTCTGACGGTGTACTTGGCCTCTCAGAAAACGTACATCGTCAACTCACCAGAACTTATTGCCTTGATATCTCGTCGCTCAAAAGAAGTTGATGGCAATGTTCCCTTCGTCACCATCGTCTATGGCAAACTATTCGCTTTTTCTCAAACCGACATCTCGGAGTTGCTGAGAAACCCGTTGCAGAAAGGTTCGCTAAGACAGGAAGCCCACGCGATGGAGCATTCACTTCTCTCTCCGGGTTCTCTCTCTCTGAAGGAGGTTTACGAAGAGATTTTCAACGGCCTAGCAAACCATGTCAACAACATCAGCGAAGGTCCAAGAACCATTGCCCTCCAGAATTGGCTCCAAGAGATATTCACAATATCGACTGCAAAGGCCCTTCACGGACCAGACGGCCCTTTTACTAACAACAAAGAGTTGCTGCAGGCATTTTGGTATAGCCCCATAGCTTTGCCTTATCAGAAGGTTTATTGACTTTTTCACAGGGACTTTGAGAATGGCCTCAAGGCTCTGACGATGGGTGTTTTCCCCACCATCACGGCTGCGAAGCCAGCAGCGGCGCGTCAAAAAATCGTCGATGCTCTATTGCAATACTTTGGCGACTCATTTCCCGAAAATACTGCCTCTGAATTGATTCGGCGTACACGCAGGCTTGCACTGGATCACAGTAGAGGGCCTGAGTTCATTGCTCGCTATGGTCTGGGCCTCATGACCGGATTCCTGATCAACACAGTACCTGCAGTCTTTTGGATCATCCTGCGTATTGCTAAAGATGAAGACATGCTGAAAAAGGTTCGCCTGGAGCTTTCTCTGATCATCCAGCCATGCGCACATGATGAGAGCTTCTCCACACTCGAGGTCGCCGCTATTCGTAAAAGCTGCCCGCTTCTCATGTCCATTTGCCATGAGACTCTGCGATGCATCAGTTCTTCGACTGGCACCTTTCTGGTTCACCAAGATGCAGAAATAGGCGACGAATATATCCTGAAGAAAGGAGCCATAGTCCAAATGGCTGCAACAGCGATTCACTCGAATCCAGATGTTTGGGGTGCTGACGCCGACGCATTCGAGCCGGAAAGGTTCTTGAGGCCGAGCAAGGTACACCCAGCAGCAAATCGGACATTTGGAGGCGGCAGCACTTTGTGCCCCGGAAGGCACCTTGCAGTGGACGAGATGATTACATTCACGGCGATGTTTCTCTCTAAGTTTGACGTAACTTTCCCCGATGGCGCAGATAGTTTACCCAAAGAAGACGATACGAATATGCTGTCGGTGAAAAAGCCAAATTCGGACGTCTTGGTGGGCATCCGAACAAGGCCGGAAACCAAGCATCAGAAATGGTGCTTTTCCACTGGCACATTGAAGATGTAGTCTAAAGCATCGGATCCTGATGTTCTTTCTTTCCTTCCGCAAAGCATATAGAAAACTTAGAAAATAAAGCATTCCCGCTGCAAACCCCGGTCATAATCTCGCCGCCCAGTACAAGCTTGAGTGATCCGCCTCCAGGCATCAAGTTGACTCCATGTCAGGTGAGCGCTAGGGGCAAGCAATCCATTTGTTAATTTCTGCCATACGAGCTTGTATGTCCTGGTCCCTGTCTGAAAGTTAAGATCTTGATACGAAGTACAGTATGATGCGAGTGACCTGAAATGATACTATCGGCTGAAACTCCGTGGAAGCCGTGGGTAGCGCGTCAGAGGGGGGACTGACAATGTGGTAGCTGCTCACCTAGACTGACTCTTCGTAGCTAAGCCGATTAAGTCGCTCTCGCTCTCGAATATTTCCGTCCTCGCCGAAATGGGCCATTTTGAGATCCGTGGTCTTGTAGCTATGCGCTCTCACTCGGCTGTCTCGATATCGCAAGACTAGGGTAAACAGTCATCCGGATTCTTCTCGGTCGCCTGCGTCTTGTCTGCCCACTTACAACGCACAACCTCCTTTCCTATTTTCAAGATCTCCTTCTCTCACGTTGTATGCACGTCTGCAACTAATCATTTTTTCTTTTTCACCCACACAAGCATCAATCCATCATCGTGTCTATCACAGTGATCATGTCAGTCAATGACAGCAGTTCGGCCACTGCGCTGTTATTCTTTTCAGCTAATACGCTTTCCAACCAACCGCTGGGCCATTTCCGAGTCACCCATATGTACTCTTTTTTGACTACAGCGGCTGGCTTCATCTTGCTCTTGACGTTTTACGGAGCCTTCAGAAGAAAAGACACTATTCCGATGGTGAACGCTCCCAGATTCTGGGAGCCTCGGTTGCTGGTTCAGTTCTCATTCCTATTCAATGCGAGAAAACTCGTGTCCAAAGGCTTGAAACTGAATCGAGCGTTCCGCATCCTGACCGATATAGGCGTCATCACAGTGGTTCCCTCAGAGTTTGCGAATGAAATTCGGACTGACTCGCGGCTAAGTTATTCACAAGTAATCACTGAGGTATGTATGACAGCATCTTCCACACTCATAGGTCTGAACCCAAACTAATACGAGACCCGGATTTGTAGAATTTCCATGCTCGGTTCCCTGGCTTCGAAGGTTTCCGGGAAGGCACAGCCGATGCGGCACTAAGTCGTGATATCGCCAGAAAGCATCTCACGCACTCTCTAGGTATGAACATGCTCATTTGCTGACGAGAGTATCGTATCTTGACTAACGTTGGCCATGTCAGATAAAGTTACAGGAGCTCTAGCGGAGGAATGCACGGCTGCATTGAAAGATCACTTCCCAGATGCGAAAGGTATGCCTGAATGAAGAAACGATACTGCCAATGACCTTGATCTAACATCTGTAGTAGACTGGACAGAGATCAATCTTCGTGAGCATGTCCTGAAGCTTGTGGCACGTCTTTCCTCCCGCGTCTTCCTAGGAGAAGAGATCACGAGGAATGATGATTGGATAAAAGTCACCACTGAATACACCACTGATGCTTACATTGCGGCCAAAATCCTTCGTTTGTGGCCGGCCAAGCTTCGCCCATTGGTTCACTGGATACTGCCATGTTGTATCAAGCTCCGCCGACATGTTTTCAAAGCGAGGAGTATTATCATAGCTGCCATTGAGCGGCGTCGCCTGGTAAAAGAAGCGGCTATCAAGTCTGGAAAGCCTATTCCAACATTCAACGACGTGATTGAGTGGCTTGAACAAGACACCAAAGACACGACAAGCGATTACGATCCTGTTGTTGCGCAACTCATTTTGTCACAAGCCGCAATTCACACCACGACAGACCTGCTCACCCAAGCCATTCTTGAGATTGCAGCCACTTCGGAAATCGTCGAACCTTTACGATATGAGATCAATGACGCCGCCAATAGATTGGGATGGAGCAAGGCGGCGTTTCACGAGATGAAGCTCCTTGATAGCGTGCTGAAGGAGAGCCAGCGCCGGAAGCCCCTTGCAATGAGTGAGTTATAATAGTAACGCATTTTTAGACAACGCACTCAAAGCTAACGCGCACTTGATAGCATTCATGCACAGGCTTGTCTTGGAAGACACAACTCTATCTAATGGCGACACAATACCCAAGGGGAGCGTCATTGGAGTTTCTGCAGACAAGCTATGGGATCCGAACGTGCATGAAAACCCCGAGAGATTCGATGGGTATCGTTTTGTTCGCGTGCGGGAGAGTGGTGATAGCAAGGTTGCAAATCAGGCGCATCTTGTGAGCACAAGCCCGAATCATCTTGCGTTTGGCTACGGGAAGCACGCGTGTGCTGGCCGCTTCTTCGCCGCACATGAATCCAAAATGGCGCTCTCAAACATTTTGCTGAGATACGACTGGAAGCTAGCACCGGTCTCAGCAAACGAAAAGCCCCTTGAGTTTGGTTTAGTGCTTGTTGCCAATCCAAAGGCAAGGATCTCTATGCGATTGAGACAGCGTTCATAGTTGTCGAGCTGCATGAGACATTGGACCATTCCCTGCATATACACACACAATGTTCAACCTCGTATTTCATGTTTGAGAAACGGCCGTCAATATAGTAGTCCCAAGAACCTTGCATTTTCCACCCGCGTGCCCAGGTTGAAGCGCACATCGCCACGAGATGTTAAAACGGACGTCTGGAAACTAGGTATGTGGACTATTTGACTGGGTACCCCAGTCACACCAAGAAGCCAGTCAATTTGAGTCACAGTCACCTTGCACTGATCCATGTCGGAAACAAGATATATTAAAAAAAA